GGGGCCCAGGCAATGACTCGATCCCAAGGACGCATTAATTAACATTCCGGTGCATTGCTTAGTAGTCCAGCGGATATGTGAAAAAATTGTGCACTTTTGCATAAAAGCGTGAAACTTGGCACAGATGTTTATATTCATGCGAGAAAATGTTTTAGATGTGGAGCCATCGCAAATTTACCCTTTTAGGGGCGTGGCATCCATTTAAAAAAAGGGGGGTGGGACTTGTCGTGCCCGCAGTAAAAATGGTTTTTCCCACTTGTTACAAAAGCAGAAAACTTCACAAAGACATAATTATATAGATTATTAGTGTTTTCCAGATTCGGAGCCACCGCAAAAGTACCTTTTTAGGGGCGTGGCAGCCATTAAAAGAAAAGGGGGGTTTAATTATTATGCCCACTTTGGAAAACATTGTGCCCATATTTCATGAACGAATAAAACGTCCCACAGACGTTTATATTCATGAGAAAAAAAAATTCCAGATGTGGAGCCATCTTGAACACACCCTTTTACGGGCGTGGCAACCATATAGGAAAAAAAAGGGGGCGGGGTTTTCATTATGCCCACCCTGGAAATAGTGTTCCCACACTCATAGAGAAATGGAACTTTCCACAAACATTGACATTCATGAGAAAACAAATTCCAGATGTGGAGCCATCTCGAACACACCCTTTTAGGGGCGTGGCAACCATATCAGAAAAGGGGGGGCGGGGTTTTCATTATGCCCACCCTGGAAATATTGTTCCCACATTCATAGAGAAATGGAACTTTTCACAGACATTGACATTCATGATAAAAACAATTCCAGATGTAGAGCCATCGCGAACACACCCTTTTAGGGGCGTGGCAGCCATATTGAAAAAAGGGGGCGGGGTTCTCATTATGCCCAACATGGGAAAAATGTGCCCACATCTCATAAACGAATGAAGCTAATTTCCACAGACATTAATACTCACGAGATAAAAAGCACACGTGGAGCCATCGTAAACACACCCTTTTAGGGGCGTGGCAGCCATAATAAAATGGGGGGGGGGGGGTAGTCATGATGCCCCTATAAAAGAAAGTTCTTATGTAGAGCCACAGCAAACTAATCCTTTTAGAGGTGTGAGGGGCCTACTCACTGTGCCCACAATTGCATTTTTATATTTTGTTGTTGATTTCTTATAATGTTGATTGGCCAATAACCTATATTATTTGGTAATACAATGACTTACCCCAAAGAGCATGGGTAAGTACCAGTAGGCTAACCCATGTTATATTGTTCAATGTGTGTACTTGCACCTATATTATCATGCACATCTAAATTCCAGAGTGATTTCATAATTACAAATACACAGCACACAATGGCAGCCCTAAACTCTAACATTTAACATTAAAGGGCCATGGAAATCCTTTTTTTACGGGGGGGGGGGGGAGTGTAAAATCCCCCTACCTCTTACCTGTTGCGCCGCATTGACAGCAGATTGGGTAACAACACGATGTACTCTCCTCACAAAGTGGTGGAGGGGGGGGGGGAGTGTAAAATCCCCCTACCTCTTACCTGTTGCGCCGCATTGACAGCAGATTGGGTAACAACACGATGTACTCTCCTCACAAAGTGGTGGACACGTCCACAATGACTTCACATTCAATGAATCTGTGTACCCCCACCACACAACACCTCTGTTCTCTTAAAAATGGTATATCAAGCACTTATGAGTGTTTTTCTTTACCCCGACCAAATCCATTAAAAAAAATCATACGTTATACAGGTGCGACACTGCATATGCCTTTTGGTCTGTCAGAAAAAAAGGCAGGGGAAACAATGTATTTGAAGAAGTAACACTAGTCTTTCCAGGATTAACTGAGGTACCCCAGTTTATACCCCTAATTCAGATATTGCTGCAGTTGAAAGGTTATCAATAATTCTACAGACGAAAGAACCAGTAACTGGGTTAATATAGATGAGGCAAGAATGCATAGTGTAAGAAAACAAAGGGTTTGTCAACAGTAAATTCCAACTATAAAGGCAGCCCTACTCCAACACATTAAACAGCTATCTGAGGTGGATTTTATTATATGAAACGCGGTCAAATTTTCCACGTTGTGCATATTGAGTACCCCCCCCTTTTAAAAATGGATGCCGCACCTCTAAAAGGGTAGGTTTGTGATGGCCTCACATTAAAAATTAAAAGATTTTTATGAATGTATTGTCCGAGTGGAATTTAATCCATTTATGAAAGGTAGGCACAACTTTCTTTTATAGGGGCATCATGACTACCCCCCCCCATTTTATTATGGCTGCCACGCCCCTAAAAGGGTGTGTTTACGATGGCTCCACGTGTGCTTTTTTCTCTTGAGTATTAATGTCTGTGGAAATTAGCTTCATTCATTTATGAGATGTGGGCACATTTTTCCCATGTTGGGCATAATGAGAACCCCGCCCCCTTTTTTCAATATGGCTGCCACGCCCCTAAAAGGGTGTGTTCGCGATGGCTCTACATCTGGAATTGTTTTTATCATGAATGTCAATGTCTGTGAAAAGTTCCATTTCTCTATGAATGTGGGAACAATATTTCCAGGGTGGGCATAATGAAAACCCCGCCCCCCCTTTTTCTGATATGGTTGCCACGCCCCTAAAAGGGTGTGTTCGCGATGGCTCTACATCTGGAATTGTTTTTATCATGAATGTCAATGTCTGTGAAAAGTTCCATTTCTCTATGAGTGTGGGAACAATATTTCCAGGGTGGGCATAATGAAAACCCCGCCCCCTTTTTTTTCCTATATGGTTGCCACGCCCCTAAAAGGGTGTGTTCAAGATGGCTCCACATCTGGAATTTTTTTTCTCATGAATATAAACGTCTGTGGGACGTTTTATTCGTTCATGAAATATGGGCACAATGTTTTCCAAAGTGGGCATAATAATTAAACCCCCCTTTTCTTTTAATGGCTGCCACGCCCCTAAAAAGGTACTTTTGTGGTGGCTCCGAATCTGGAAAACACTAATAATCTATATAATTATGTCTTTGTGAAGATTCTCTTTTGTGACAAGTGGAAACAACCGTTTTAACTGCGGGCACGATAAGTCCCCCCCCCCTTTTTAAATTGATGCCACGCCCCTAAAAGGGTAAATTTGCGATGGCTCCACATCTAAAACATTTTCTCGCATGAATATAAACATCTGTGCCAAGTTTCACGCTTTTATGCAAAAGTGCACAATTCATCGATATTTTGTCACATATCCGCTGGACTATAGTTGCCGAACCTAAATCAAAAAATGGTCGGCAAGACTATTGACCGTTTTGTCATTGTCATGATTTTGTAAAACAACACTCTAAAAATAAAGCAACTAACCGTTTAACGCTTTCTACAATTAAAAACAACAACAAATTTATTTTGTGTGTGTGACTTAATACTGTGGCGGATCTTGATTTTCTCGAGAAGTGACGGTCTCAAGAACCCTCCAGACGAGCGGCAGTCCAGATGGTCCTAGGGCGGTAATCCGTTTGGAGACTGTCTGTCGCCGCACGTAACTAATTTTCCCTTATATTGTTCGAACGACAAATCTACCCAACCAGACACTAAGTGGGACCCAGACACATAAGCTCAAGCTTCAGGAAGTCTCTTTATTCAGCCATGCAACAACTGAAGTTCCTTTATTAAAAATGCTTCAACAAAAGGTAAGTACTTAAAAAGATGGGGGTTTCCTTAAGGGGAAGGGTTTCCTTAAGGGAAGGGGTTTCCTTAAGGGAAGGGGCTTCCTTAAGGGAAGGGGTTTCCTAAAGGGAAAGGGAGTTTCTCTAGGAAGGGGGTTTCCTAGGCTCCAGACGACCCTCCGAGGTCTCCCGAAGGCAGATGCCGATCCTCCTGATGAGCTCGACCCTTCGTCTCCCACGAGGCAGGGAAGGGGTTTCCGTAAGGGAAAGAAGGTTTCTTAAGAGAATGGATTTACTTTAGGGAAAGGGTTTCCGTAAGGGAAAATAAGTTTCTTAAAAGGAAATGGTTTCCTTAAGGGAAAGGATTTCCTCAAGGGAAAGAGACTTTCTTATCGATAATTCAACAATAAAAGTGCTTCACTAACCACATCTGCCAAATATGTCTACGAAAGCAAATGGAGAATTCCTTCACAGAGGTGACAAACATAAACCCAAATATGCTGTCTTCAATCGAACGAGTATATTAAGCTTCACTTAATCAAGTAAACCACAGGATCATCCCACAATATTGCACTTCTATTTATAAAAGAAAAGGAGTGTGTAACATTAACGATACAGCAGCTCAACACTCACGGTAAGCTTTAGTTGCGGTCACTCTCCGACACAACGCTCTGTCTGTCTCAACAAAGCTTTTCTTAGTCTGCCACTCTCGGTGCGCCAAAACAGTCTGGCCAGAATGCGCGCGAACGCTGCCTTATATACCCCCCCCCCCCCTCTCAAAATAGCGCATAACTATGGTGGGCAACATGTAAAAACTATGGAGCGCCGATTACATTTCGTTACAATACCGATTGACCGTTTTACAAAACTGTAAAACGAAAAAAAAACAGTCACTGGTTCGTTTACTGTTTTTGTTTTTGAGGAAATCCAAAACAGTAAAACGAAATAACGGTAGGCCTATGTCCCGGGATTGAGATGAAATTACTACTCACTACCCCATAGACACGTGTACAAAAAAGTCACTACACAAGTTCTACACGGCAGGAGAATCACTACTCCTTGTGTGTAGTGGCTTTTTGTACACCTCAAAAAGCAGCTCTTTTTTTTTTTAGTCTGTACACCTTCAAAAAGCAGCTCTCTTTTTTTTTAGTTTGTACACAATTGTATGGAGTAGTGATTTATGCAGGGGCTATTATTGACGTTTTCATGCTACTTCGCTGCGCTCATCCGCATGAAAAACAGTTCACACCCTTGAACAAACGGAACAGAGAAATACAGAATTTCATTTCTATTTGATTTATTAGCATATGGGATTGCGGTTAGTCTCAGAGTGACGAGTACACTTGTGTTTGTCTGTAAGATTACAATTTTTTTTACTGTGCAATTAGATTTTAATTAGTTAATTACTTGTTAATTATTAAATTGACAGAATTTATTCCACCTTGTAACATGGCCCTCTCGGCCCTTCGGACTCTGTCCGGATCTCCATTAAATTAGTACAAACTGTAAAATAATTTCTTGAATTATAATTTACACTCGTTCCACCTTGGAACATGGCCCTCTCGGCCCTTCGGACTCTGTCCGGATCTCTTTTACATATACAAATGCACTGCACAGTTCTTTGCATTATATCCGGTACCTGTACAATCATGGAGCATGGCCTTCTTGGCCCTTTCGTCTCAGTCCGAAAACCATCTTGATTATTAATAGGAATACGTTCATGCATATAACAATAATTTCTAATTAGATATATTTTAAATACAAAGTAACACATTATTAGCTTTCACATATCTTTGTCCTCCTTGGCCATTCATCCATAGAATTCTGATATGAAATCTGGCAGTTTTGTTTCTTAATTACTGATTATACGTGATCAGTGATAATACATGATACATCTTCATAATAAATAAATTAATTGAATTAGATAATGCAGTATTTACATGTGGATAGAAGCGCTTACATATTCTGTAGAACCTTTGAGACATGGAGACGTTGTTCGATGTTTCTATTGTGTACCTATTCTTAGCCTCTGTAGTTTTCCACCTTCCATGTTGTTGTATTAACTCTTCAGACACATCATGATTAGCTAAGTGTGAAGCACCCCCCGAACGCATACTGTGAAGACCAAATCTGTTGGGATTTGTTATTCCAATTTGTTTCAAAGCGTCTAAAAATATCTCTCTACATCGTGTGTAACTCAGAGGTCTATTCCCTACTGGAGTGTAGGAGTTCGATTTTGAATGAAAGGATAGCGGAGTGAATATGTAAACGTCTTGTCCGATATAATTTTTACACATCTCTAGGTATCTTTTTAGGATTTGAACAGGAGTGTAAAATTCTTTCGTATCTGAAATGTAAGCCCTGTTGCCTTCCCTAAAGATATCCGTTTTAGATCGAGGAATGAAAATACTTAAACCCGCTTCATTAGGTAGCATTTGTATGTGACTTGCCCTAATTTGAGCCATCTCATCATGTCGAAAAAGGAGAGTAAATTTCAGGACAACATAACATGCCGTTCTAAGCTGCATCAAATTACAATTAGGGTTACCAAAGAAGTGTGCGATGGACTGAACTATCTCAAAAGAAATCGGTTCTTTTTGCCGAGGTGGTTTGTGAAGGTTACGCTTCTGACTAACAACAACGTTTTGCACTATTGAAGTGTCTACAGGATTTGGATTGCAGTTGACTAGTGAATGTAGCCATTTAATAGCTGAGGCCAATGTAATGATGGTGCTGTCTGATGTAGAGACAGATGCCTTATCGACAATGAAAGTGGCAATGAATTCCTCTCCGACTGGCAACTTCAATGGAAGATTCAGCTTTTTAAGCCACGAGAAGAATTCTCGACATTTGTAAAGGTAAGAGGTGATAGTACCGTCTGCCTTGGCCGTCAGCATGTCTCGAAAGGTGCGCATCATGAAACCTTGAATTTGCTGAGGAAATTCCGACCAAAAACTATGTCGTAAAACTATCTAATACACAAAAAAACAAATATAATATTTATTATTAATTCAATCATATGTATTAGCTTTAGTGAAATCAATGTATGCGGCTCCCACTTTGCTTTTAAATAAATTGGATCCTATGAGGGAATTCTCATTGCGTCCTAATTTAAGATTATCCTGTCCAGGAACAGAAATGAACTGTTTGATACCCGACTTATATGATGACCATAGTAAAGGCCAAAAGGAGGAGGAGGGCCACCAAGGGAACACAAGTACTCCTTTGCCTTTACACAAAAATAAGTGACGAAGAACGCTAGGGATAAGTGAGACTGGTGGCACTAAGAGGCAATTTTCTGTTGCCCAATTTTGCGAGAAGGCATCTACTTCTGAACATCCAGGATTCCAAAATCTTGAAAAGAACTTGGGCAATTTTGTGTTATAGTGATTGGCAAAACAATCTACTGTAAATGGACCCCATAGCCCCATAGAGACAAAGAATTCTTCAGAAATCGCCCAGTCATCCAAATCAATTAATTTACTGATGGAATCAGCTTGCTCGTTTGCTGCTCTAGGAATCCACTGTACCTCTAGTCTGATGTTATTGTGAATACATATGGTGAATATATCCAACGAGATCTTATGTAATTCGAGCTTCATACTACCGACCTCTATAATGTGAGCTGCTGATTGGCTATCTGTAAACAATTTGACTTTGGAATTTGATATCAGAGGTAAAAATGACATGAGGGCGAAAGAGATGGTGCTTAATTCCCGCCAAGTGGAACTTTGAAGAGATTCGATTTTTGTCCAATGCTTGTGAGCTACGTGGACATCGTTACACATTATGAAACCTGCTCCCATAGCACTGGCATCACAGCACATGATCTTATTGACTGTCGAATTCTGGAAAATATAGCGAACATTTAAGTTTGCGACATGGGTTTTCCAAAAGTTGATTTCTGACTTACAAAATTCGTCTAGTGCAATCTCTTCGTCTTCATGCATACCACTTGCAATAGCCATTTGGCAGTGACGAGTCATAAGCCTAGTAATGTTGCCTGCCACTGGACCCAACGATATGACTTGACCAACAAAAGAATGTAATTTCCGTATAGGGAGTATTGGTGCTAACTCTGACACAGTAGTAATTATCTTCTGTATACGTCTATCTAGTACCTGTATTGTTCCAGTTACGGTATCCCATTTCATACCTAACCATTCGCAACTTGTAGATGGTTCCCAATTACTTTTCTGTATATTGTATACAAAACCAGCTTTAATCAAATCTGATTTGACGTGGTAAGCTATGTCCTTGGCATGTTTTAGATTAGTTGACTGGTCAGTGCAAATGTTGGATACTACACAAAACCCGTCATCCAAATAAACGGCAATTAATATGCCGTTCATCCTCCAATGGGTTAAAAGTGGTTTCAAGAACTTGGTGAAAATTAGCGGAGCGCTAGAGAGCCCAAAGGGGAGTACATGTACATTAAACTCAAAGTACCTTATCTCATCGTCAAATTTCCATGAAAACCCAAGATAAGGTTGCGATTCATTCGCGATGTCAATGTGGTGGTATCCCGACTTTAGATCAAAATTAATTAGATGTGCATTTTGGGACATAAACTGAAGACCTACTTTCCAGTCGTCAAGTTTGAAGTGTGTCTTTTCCACAAACAAATTCAATCTACTTAGATCTAGAATTAACCTTTTCTTTTTTGATGCTTGAATGGATACTGACAAAGGGCTGACAATGTACGACGGTTCTTCTCTTTCTGTAATTCTACCCGAATTCAGCAATTCTAGGATAGCTTCGGTTACAAATACATGTTCTTGCAAAGCTGATCTGTTATTTTTGTGGAACATTCTGGGAGGTCGTTCTAAAAATGGGATTCTATAACCGTGATCTATTACTGAAAGGATAAAGTTGGAAGTGCCGATATTTTCCCAAAACTGTTTATGCTCTTTAATTCTTCCTTTGACTGGAATAAGATCTGAAGGTAGATCACAAAGGCCATTCTGATCAAATTTGCAAGCTACCTGTAATACGTCGTCGAATTTGTCTTGTATCTGTGTGACACGAGCTGAATGCTCCAATTGAAGTGCTAGCACCGGAGCTCGATTTTGCTGGGATGACTGCTGTGTGTGCTGCGGGTGAAATGAGTGGAAGTGACTGGTGGATGGGAGGGATTTGCCATGGTACGCTGGAGTAGTAGTTGGTGTATGTGGAACTGAGTGGATTTGCTCTTGCTCTACTCCCGAAAGGGATGTGCTGTCGTCTATGCAGAGGACATTCTCGTGCCCAATGTCCTGGTGCCTTGCAGATGTAGCAGAAATCATTTGGCAAGCCTGAGTGAAGGCAAATAAAATACAACAAGCAAAACGTGTCTCATGATTAAGGGTGGGTGGGTGGGAAGCAAGGACTATAAGTAGAACAGTTGTGTACTCGGTAGTGAGCTAACCTGAAGTGGCGTAAACGGGTGTGTCACATAACCAGGAGATTTATGCTTCATTGCTTTTCTGTAAAACACATAGACCCGAGTATGCGTGTCTACTTTGCATAATTACGTAAAACTACAATTGCCATTCCCACTCCTATTGTCAAGGGAGAAAAAACCCATTTCCATGCTACTTCGCTGCGCTCATCCGCATGAAAAACAGTTTCACACCCTTGAACAAACGGAACAGAGAAATACAGAATTTCATTTCTATTTGATTTATTAGTATGGGATTGGGGTTAGTCTCAGAGTGAACCAAACAAAGAAAAATCTTTTGGGGGTAGAAGCAGTATCATTGAAATCATTAACAACTGTTCTGATATTATACCTCGAAAAAGACTATGATTAGCCGAGCTAAGTGAACCCTTATGTTGTCGATCAGTTGTTGTTTTCTTCTGTCGCTTTCTGTTCTCCAGCTCCTTGAGGGTCGATTCTTCTGCTGCTAGTATCCTCTTCTGTTTTTCGGGGAATTGATTCTTGCCAGTTCCTTTCTCCAGATGCTGTACCGTGATCCAGCCTGCTTTGCTAGAATCTGCGATCTGAATTTTTTGTTTTCGATCGGCGGTGATCTCCTCAAGTTCTTGTATGGCTTCTATTGCTGATGTGAGGTCGTCCTTGGCTAAGAGAGACAACTTGATTTTGTTGGTCAGGATTTGAATTTTCCCGCAGAATTCGTATTGGGCGGAGTTTCCGGATCTCTTGAGATCTTGAGCCTCTATCTTGTTTCTTAACTCTAGTATAGAAGCGTTGTCATTTTTGCTATGGTTGGAGATCGAATCGAATTTCTGATCAAAGTACGATTGAAACTTTTCGAACAGAGCTTCAGTGTTCAAGGTTTCTTTGGTAGACATTCTACAGCAACGTATAAGCAAGGACTATAAATAGAACAGTTGTGTACTCGGCAGTGAGCTAACCTGAAGTGGCGTATACGGGTGTGTCACATAACCAGGAGATTTATGCTTCATTGCTTTTCTGTAAAACACATAGACCCGAGTATGCGTGTCTACTTTGCATAATTACGTAAAACTACAATTGCCATTCCCACTCCTATTGTCAAGGGAGAAAAACCTCATTTTGTACGCACAGCCTGTGGTTTCCCATCAGTGTTTAACAGTTATATTCGTGAGCACACCAAGTTCCGTTCTCCACTTAACATATTATCCTCATCCACGCGAGTATTCCGTAATTCACTGCGCACGTAGGGAGGACGGTGTTTACAGATAAATAGAAATATGGCGTCGGAAATTTCTGTAGCACTGACGATGCTGGTACTTGTGATGCATGCGTTGACGGGAGCTGAAGGTAGGCCATTGTGATGTCTGGATTGAGAGTGTCGGCCATTATGGTTGTGCACAGGTCGTTGGGTAGCGTGCATAACGGATGGATTTAGTGCATGAGGCATAAAAACGTATATGACAGCTGTACATGTATAGCTCCATGATGACAGTGAGTGCAGAGAGACTTGGTGAAAATAAATGTCTCCACATTTAAAATGCTTCTCAGTCCCAATTGATTTTATAATTGCATGGGTAGCGGTCGGGGAGATGCATGTTTTTCCCTGCGGTTCAGGTTTCCATATACCGTGTGTCCCTATTCTCAACCCGTTCGGAATTGTTGTTTTCCCAAACGATATTCATTTACCATCTTCTGTTTGGTCCATTACATGCATATCTTATGCATTGTTCTCCACAACACAAACCCAAGATATAGGCCTTACGTCTTTTGAGAAATATTCCTTCATCACTTTAGTTATTTCAAAGGTAAAGAGAGAAGAAGTGAAAAACGCTCACTGGGATCAAACTCGGATCACCAGTCGGCCGATATACTTCCAACCAGTCCACGAATCAGCTGCTAATCATCGATGACTGAAACACCATTATTCCTTGTTATATAACTTATTCTCTAAAAGCCCTGGCCATGACTATGCATAACGCAGAGAGAGGGAGAGAGCGCCCTCTTTTGATATTGTCGGATATTTTTGATTTTGATATTTCTCGTTTGGGAAAAAAATAATTCGCGGCCCGTAGTCGGGCGGGGGGGGGGGGGAGTAGTGTGTGTGGGTGTGTGTGTGGAGGGGGGGGGGGGTCAGGAGTCCCCCAATCGGCAGCGGGTCCACTATTTCTCGCGATTGAGATGTGAGTTTTACACTGAAATGTTTATTTCCATGCGTAATTGACATGAAAAGGTCCGCTTCATGGTAAAAACGACCCTCCCCGGCCTTCCACCCTGCTGGCTACGGCCCTGATACCTTATAAACACTTAAAACTATTGCGTCGGTAATTTACATTACGGGAAATGGTACCTTAGTGTGACATTTCCATAGGGTTGTGCACTACATTTTTCCAACTTTAATGACCACTTTAATAAGCCTTTTCGGAGTTCCAACTGCGCGCATTCGTAACCTGTGACAACGCACATTGTTCATCTCAAATGCCCTTTGACAGTACCCACAATGCACAAACAGCCTTTTTGTAAAGTCAGTGGCGCGATGTTGTCAAAGGCCATTTGAGACAAATAATGCGCGTTGTCACAGGTTATGAATGCGCAGTTGGAACTCCAAAAAGGCTTATACGAGCAATCGATCTAGCCCATTTGCGACACTAAAATGTTGCCTCTACATGCGAGTTTAGACATAAGAGAGACATTGAAATGTCTCCCTAATGTCTGGTGTCTGTCTATTTTAGGACGCAAAAAAATCACTTCTCCTTAATAAGGGTACATTGACAGGAATTTAAATACCTTTATCGCTTATTAATCCTTCATTTATTATATAACCATCTTCATAAGCCACTGCACACCACGGATGGATGGGGGGGGGGGGTGTAGTGGGAGGCGGCCGTCGAAAAAATGCATGCCCCCCCCCCCCCGCCCCAGAACGGTTTACCCGTAGTTATTTCTACCGACGTCGGTACTAAACGACTAATGCGCTCAATATGCTCTTCGGTGCTGGACACTGAATAATGTATACGAACGGAGAGGGCACCCTCTGTCGATACTGCCGGAAGCGTATGGCAAAATATCCAGGTTGGGGGTACAAAGGTAGGTTTCTGGAGGGAGGAACAGAAGGGACCGTACTCCAGGTACATTGCAGAAAACATGCAAACAAAATGAAGCAAAATTCTTTAATCAATAAATTTCTTCGAAATGTCAAAGATTACGGACAGAATGTAGTATCCTTTTAATACGCTACTCAAGTGGTGGTCTGTAAAGCCCGAGGGAAGTTGTGAATGGCGTAAATCCGGATGGAGGAGACTGGAGGGGACCACGTTTAATTAGGAATAAGTCAATTCACCGATATGGGATGTATACTTCTTTATAATACAGCTCTATGGATGTACTACATTAATTTCATGTGCTGGAAAAAAAATCAGATGCCCTCTCAGAATTTGGAGAACGAAAACATACATTTATTTTGTTTTAAACACATCAGGAGCCCCTCCAGAAAATGTCTTCCCCACAAAAAAGAGACCTTTTGTTTGTTTATGACAGCGACTGGGCAGGTCCAAAATCTGACCGCCGTCAACGTGGAGGACGCCCCTGGCGACGTCTTGGTGACATGGTTACCTCCGGAGGCTCCGGACAGCCCCGTCCAGTTCTACCGGGTCAGTTACGAGCTGTTTGACATGGCTCAGTGTAGCTACATCGTCGAGCTGACCCGGGTCGTTGCCGGGGAGATGGTGACGGAGACCTCGTACACCATCGGCGGACTGCTGCCGTATTCCGGATACCAGGTGATCGTGGAGGCGTCAACGAGCACTGGTCTGCAAGAGGAGGCCATTGTCTCGGTCTTTATACCGGAGGCTGGTGAGTATCAAGACTCCGTAAAAGCAAAAATAACGGAGAGCTTTCACCGAGTGCCTGCGGGCAGGTCTTTGTTCCTCTGTGTGATACGCCCGTTTTGGACACGGCCTGAATTTAAATAACAAAACATGTCCACAGCGAGGGTGCTATATGTGAAACCTCATAGCGCTGTGTCGCTGCCTCATGAGGGCAATAAACCCAGGCCCGGATTACCCAATAGGCACAGTAGGCACTGTGCCTAGGGCCTACGAAAAATTCGGGGCCTACGAAAAATTCGGGGGCTACGAACATACCGCGGCGTGCCATAAAACACAAAGGCCCACCCAGACACACCCATCTTTGTAAACACCGGCATCGAGGACCTCTTTTGTCCGAAATCCTCATTCCTTCGTTTGTACACTAACTTTTTAGCAACATCTCTCATTGCTTTTGTACACGAATTTCAATCGTGGACTATCGGTCAATCGTGGACGTATTGTTTGTGCCATAACCCTTTGTCCTAAGTCCACGATTGCCGGTGTTTTTCAAAGCTTTAGGGTCTCTCAGAATTTTCGATTTCACCAACTGACGCTGTATGTACAGCATGTAGGCATTCTTGACTTTGTTAGCCCTATATACATATAACGTCTGTCGTTCTGGAAGCACGGTGCCAACGTGGGCGTCGATCGGTGGGGGACCGCGGGTGGCGACTATTTTCGTCCCAGAATACAAAATTGTGGCCTACATTTGATTCAATAGCTCAGAATAGCTGATTCAATGACTCCGAACTCGAAAATTATGTTTAAATGATCTTTTGCAAAAACCAGAAATTTGTTAAAGTGAGCAGAAATTGCCTCAGATCGCACGCAGTGCGTGTAGAAATCATTTTTTCGAGCCCCTTAAGCGGGCACGAACCCCACGCCGTTTAGCCTCCCCCCACTCGCATTAGTTCTGATCAAGATACACATGTATATACCAGCCCCACTTTTGAGTAGCTATTGACGCCCTAATTGTGCCTACATGCCTTGAGAGCTATAGGACCTATACCAGTTTATTCTGGATTGTACAGATTTGTACAGTGCTCTGTACTTATTAGCATCAACATTAATTTAGTGCCGATGCCTAGGCCGGAGTAGCTAGGGCCTATGGAACACTGGTGCTATATATATAGGGCCTACGAAACACTTAATCCGGGCCTGAATAAACTCCATACGTATGACGTCATCAGTCCTATAGAGAGATGCACAACATGACCTCACTGAGGTCAAATCTCGCATATCAGTTTACTGTGGAAAAATGGCTGTGCATATACCGTCTATTTCCTAGAAGGTGTGGTACACACGGATACACGTGCTTGGGCGCACAAACCCATCGCCTTATTGGTACTGGTGACGTGTTCGGCCAATTTCTTTCAGTTCTCATTTAATCAATTTCTTCAGTAACCTTGGGTAAACCCTTTGGATTACGCATGGCGCTTGCCCACAAAACGACGTTGGGATTCAATCATGGTGGTATTTTAGCCACACGCAAATGTCTTGCATTATCTTGTTCTACCGACTTTTGTTTTTGTGCAGAGAATACAGCTGAAAGGTGAATATAAATCATCGATTTTGGGGCGAATGTTTTTTTTAATTAACGGAACGCTCTTTCCAGTTCCCACTGACCCACCGAGAGGTGTCCGGAATCTGGGCAGCTCATCAAGCACCATTTTAGCCTTCACTTGGGACGACATCGAGTGTTCCATTGGTGCCAGGTCCAGTGCTTTCAGGGGGTTCTACTACGAGCTAACCAGTGTCGACCAGCCCACTAATGCACCCATTACCAAATTAGTTCCCCATGGACCTGCATGGATATATGACCTTTCATCCTTCCACCTATACTCGTTTCGAGTCGCGATTCGATCTCGGGCTGGAGACGGACCATTCAGTGAACCGTTGGAGGTCAGAACAAAAGAAAACAGTAAGTCGATTTTTCGCTCAATTGAATTTTTTTGTGTGTGTTTTCTTTCTGTTTCTGAATTGCTGCGTTCGTTGTGTTTTGGACTTTGCACGCTATGGGCATGGACATTGCGAGCAGGCCGACACGTGTACACGTTTTTGAACAGCGCCCAAGCGCCTCGAACTGCCGTTTTCTTCCTCTTTTTTGTCTTTCAACGCCTTTTACTTCCTATAGAGAAGCTACAAGTGTTTGTTTTCCCCCGCTAAGAAACATGGCGACGCCTGCGGATTCTGCATGCCGATCATAAACTTCTAAACAGCTCTGCCCTACGTGTTGTGGATTTCGGCATTTGTCAGGCTTGATTCAAGTCTAGCTTGCGTGTAGCAAGCCACATAAATCTAGAATATCTGGCATTGGTGTTACTTTCATTTAATTTTAGCCCCAACCAAACCTGCGGCATTCCAAGTTAGCGAAACAACGGAGACAAGTGTGACCTGTTCATGGGAAGAGCCTCTACAGCCAAATGGTGTCATCACTAACTACACGGTAAAAAACTGTCCTTATAATGTGTCTGTACTTTATTTAGGATAGTCATTGTTATCAAACACTAAATCTTCAGCAATTGACCCAGTGCCGTATGTGAGTTAGCCACGCCCCTCAAAAAACTCTATGAAATGTTTGTAAGTTAAGTTCTGTCTCAGATTTTGCGCGTTCCGCGTCCATTTGTATATCATGTAATTGGACAATATTTCACAAGCTGCGTTGACGCAATTTTGCCGCGATAGGTTATTTTCTCCCGGATATTTCTTCCTTTATTCTCATGTTTTAGGTTTTATATCGATCTCGTATTTCATTGTTTTATTCTTCAGATTACGCTGAGGCCATCCGATCGTCCGTACGACCCGTCCTTCACACCTCCGCTCTCGGCCACCGTTATTCGCCATCTTGAACCCGATATTTTCATGACGAAGTTTGACGACCTCGAGCCCAGCTCCTTTTACGAGCTATCCACCACGGCCTGGACATCCACTGGTGCAGGAGGCATAGCTATATTGAATACCTTCACCAGGCCAAAGTCAGGTAAAAACGTTGAAAACGTAGGGGGGGGAGGGTTCCACTCATACAGGCAGATTTGTTTTTATAACCCGAATAAACCCTTTTATATAACCGACATACAGATCCTTGTCATTTGATTGGTGGAACTCACATCACGTGACATTCGTTATTGCTCTCATTCACGCCGCGGCTCAAAAAGTACTATCCGCCCATGGGGAATGGGAAATACTATTGAACAGTTGGGATTATGACACGGTATTTGTGTGCAAATGCATGCTGGTGTGCGCGTTCAGCGTTGCGCGTATAGTAGCGCGTACTGTTCCAAAGAGCCAGCGCTAGCGTTGGGTTCAAACATTTTCGCTAAGTTCAAACATTTTCGCTGGTTTGGAAGCGAGAAATACATTTTCCTCCAGTTTTGTATTGAAATAAAAGTTCAAATATATCAAATGACAAGGATCTATATGTCAGTTATATAAAACAAATATTGAGTGGCTTTAAATTGTGAAATAAGAGGAATATTATCGCTCGGTAAAATCTGGACTTTTCCAGTTCACTCGGCTTCGCCTCGTGAAATGGAAAAGTCCAGATTTTACCTTGCGATAATATTCCTCCCATTCCACGCTGAGCCACTCAATATTTGTATACCATTACACCCCAACCTCGGTCTCATGGTTTCGAGCAGTGCGCTCCCACTGCCTGCTCTCTCACCTTGGTGTTAGATCATTTGCATATTCAAAAATATTGCACATGTAACTTAAGGTACAGAATAGTCTAGCCTAGTGCCTGCATATGGCTTTAAATTAGTCGCGGCGTGAGATCCGAAAACATCATTTTTGTACAGTTATACTGTTACAATCCAATTACCTATCCAATATGCAGTTATACTCTGCATATTATTATGAGCAAAATGAAAAAGGGAAGATTTTTTTAGGAGGAATGAAGTTTATAATTCAAAATGAACGTTAAAATATGTAATACAAGTTGGAAAAAAAAATCAGCGAGCACATGAATATACATAGCAACCAAGCGGTTACTATTTGAAACGGGGTTGAAAATAATATTGGCTACGTTACTTGTGCCTCAGCCTCGACTCCATGGCAGTGGCGTAGCTAGGATTTTTTTTAGGGGGGGGGGGGGGGGCACGGAATATTATGGGGGGCACATATCGCAAACGTCCTATTGCAGTTTTTCCCAGTTGGGCCCCATAATGCCTCGCTATATCCATTGACCTAAGAAATTGTAAACAGTAAGCCTTTGGCTAACTGAAAAAAAATACAACTTACAAAAAACCTTTTTGGTTTGGGAAGGAAAAGGGGCATTGTAAGTATCTGCTCCATGGGCGCCTGCACGTTCTTCACTAAGATCGCGCAAGGCATGCATGGAACCAACATGGCTCAGCAAGATCGTACCGTGGAAACGAGGTTGCGTGCGCCTCTCCATAATTATACAGTGCAACTTTGCAGGTTGCGTACGCAAACGCCATAGGAAGGTGAACGCGTGTAGAACTTTTTAGGACATGAATCAATGGTGTGATTGGTTAAAAACATAGAGGGGCGGGGATTATTCTTTCGGCTTGTCACATCGTTTTAACGCCCCACTTGCGCTCAAAATATTGCCCATTCTCTTCCTTGTAATTTTAGAAAAATTCGTCACTGACGCATTTAACTTATGCACTCTGTTATGCATAAACACATGTGGTTTCAGTTTGTGATGTCGCGAAGTAACGGACGAACCTTATAAAAATATCCTTCAATTTGACTGGTTAATTTGACAGATATCCAAGGACCATCTCTGCCAGTTGTTGACCCGTACACGTCCAATGAAACGAGCGTTACCATCACTCTGAAAGACCCGGATGACCATTATGTGACGTAAGTTATTCGAAGGTCAAATTTTAATTAATTCTCTCGCCCAAACTTACTGAAGCTACGAGAGCGTACGTATTGACAACATGAAACTGTTTTCTGGCGTAAAGAGTGACAATTTGTGAGATAAAACAATATCAATAAATCATAGTTGTAGGCCGAATGGTGCTATAACGATTCTCAAACGTAGATCCTTAACGATTTTGTGTACGCCATTCGGAATCTAGGCACTGGTAAACATCTAATGACAAACAGCGATATTTTTTTCGACAGAAGGTACCCTCTACACTAATTCTTTGGGATAAATATGTTAAACTCTGAATATGCTTCCCTAATGTATTGAACAATTTCTCAAAGAATGACAATCCCAAATGAGGAAAAAATTAAAACGTTGCTCCCAACGATCGATCCCGACGATCGATCCCAGTGAAAGCTTAAAGAAACTAAAATACCCCAATGCCCTTGGATTTGACAGTGGGTGAAGCGAATGGTCCAGAAACTGTTTTCCCAGTTCTGGCATCCAACAAAATCTTGTCTAAAATTTGAGGTTTTTGGTTTAGTGAACGATTCAACAACACTTGTTGCATCGCTGCTCAGGTCATACTTAGTTGCCGTGGAGAGTGACGCGCCTCGGTCCAAAAGGTCACCGGTGGTGATAGACGGCAAAGCCTTTCGGACCTACAGCGACAACCCGCACGCCTACATTGCTGCCGAGATACCCAAGGCAGAAAACACGAGCAGCGTGGTGGTGGGAGACGGGCAGACCTACGGCGACTACCTGAACGCGCCCCTGGCGAACGGAAGGCAGTACCGCATCTGGATTGGCTCCAAGAGCGCTATCGACTGGGTGAGTCTTTGAACTAGATATACTTTGTGAAAGATAAATTTGTTACCGTGTATCCTGGTTCCCATGGTACACGAGAAGCACGCCACCACTGTCTCTGCTACTGGAATATTGTTATTTACTGACAAGAATTATCCATCCTTATAATTTGTGTTTCTAGCGATCGTCTGTGAGTTGGAGTGCGACACTGAAGGTAACAGGTGAGTTGTTTTTCTTACTTCAAGTGTTTTACTTGTCAAAGTGAATAAACCAAAGATTTACATCATTTTTCGTAGAATTTAAAACAGTAACGTTGTTTTACAGTGTTTGAAAAAAAGTTAAAACAACTTTCGCGGTTTATGGTTTAGAAGAGCAAAGTAGTTATTTCAAAACGATCTGCTGCATGAGCACATGAAGCAAGTTTTTATTTTTATTTCTCCGTGTAGCTGGTGATTATGAATTTCCTCCTACTGCTCCAAGCTCCACCCCTAGTAAGGGACACAGCGCCCACCAGCAATGGATTCTTGGGGCCGCGCCTTGGCTGTTCATGCTGTGGTTGTGGCTTTACTAGCTGTTGTTGATACAGTACATGCGCAGGAGAGGTAAAAATCTTGTGGCGAATATTCATAGTCTGGTTCCCAGACCAAAAGATTCTGACTATTCCTGATGAATAGGTAGCCCCCGGTAATACATTGTATTACAATTTATGTCACGTGACTAAAACGGGAGGAATTCCTCCTTTTTCCGAAAATTTCCAAAGTTTGCCGAATTCGTTTCGTCGACAATTGGATAGCGCCCGAGTATTTCCGAGTATAATATAGGCCTAGGTTTAATTTACTGCTAATTGCTTATTATTATTTTTTAATGAGCTGATAATTAATATTCATTGCATTCATTTAGAAAACTTGAAATTCAACGACCATTTTGTGCATCAAATATACTCGGATCGTATGGGCGAACTTGTTGCTGCGTCATGCTACTGAGATTTTCCAAAACTCGGTCTTCATTCGGCTCCGCCTGCTAAACAGTGCTATTTGTGTGCCTAATTTTGAAGATTTCAGATCAACATTAGTCAATGTTATCTTACACTTACAGAAACATCAAATTGTATTATCATAACTGTATGATATTACGAAGCAAGTGATTTATTTACAAATTTGATCAGAACATTAAAAACTAAAAGTGATAAAGCGAAATCGGAAACGAAACCGAGTTTTGAAAAAGGGCCATCAATGTCGTCATGTTTATTTTTAGCGACGGGGAGACTGCCTGACCCACAATTTAGACGTGAGCGTCGGGAATAATTGTCAGGTCTGAGAACCAGATTTTAATATTAATACTGGAGGTTTCGGTCCGCATGGGGGCAGCAAACAACGCTTTTCTATTCCACTGTCAGGAAATTCAAATCCTTGTTGGTGCGCAAGCACTGTGCTTAATAATTATGGAGAAAGTACGTATTAATAACTCAGAGACCGAATATCATTTTGTTTCATATGACAAAAACCTCAAGTTACCGTCTTAAAACGATACTTAAAATACTAGGCCTATTACTCGTTATGCTTGAGGACACCAGCACTTACTAAAATAGCAACGGGGTATCAAAACCCTTCCTGTATGAAAAATAATAGTTATTTGGCGCAAAGTGAATTACGAATTAAACATAGGGTCAATCTTCGCAAAGAAACGAGATACACAATTCTGACATGGACCCAAGTTCGGTGGAAATAAATTAGTTTACTAACCTATAGTGCTTTAACTTTTATTGTTATTGTATGATTGTAATACGTGGACTTACAGTTTGAATATTGTGTGATGCTAAATACGGGATACTTATTAATTGTAATCATAACATTGTAGTCTGATTATTTTGCTTTTTACCAGTGGATATTCTATATTACCGGGTATTTCACGATAACTTTATTAAACGCTGCTTTAATAGATTTTACTCACGCTGTACATGTGTTACAAACAAGGACTATAATGTATAATGTTTATTACAGCATGAGTAACAAGTACAACCGTATTAAGGACTGCAAAAGATACCTAAATGTATATGTTGTTCTGTTGAAAAGAGTCTTACTAGTTGTTCTCATTCGTAACAATGTTTATTTATCTCCCTATCATGTTCGTATATTATATTAATATTTTTGCCGAGAGAATTTTGAGGGCTAATCTGGTGGGGTTTTGGTGGATTAATTTTATTGAAAGGTTGTGGTATTTTATGTTACATAATTTCCATATATGTGAAGCTTGCTTGATTTTCGTCACTTGACGGCATTTGAAAAGCGCCCTTTTGTGTCTTGCATAGTCTGAAAAAAGAAGGTACATATCTAAAGTGAAAGACACTTTCGGGATTTCGTCAAAATCACACTGGCCATTTGCTCCTAAAATTTGATTAGTACAGCCATTTGCCCTAATTTAATTTTGGTGAGTTTCATTACGCCTATATGCCTATATATGGTAATACATATATATATGTAAACTAACACACTTTAACATTTTGAATGTATTTGTAAGGCCAGTAAAACAATAATTTGTAAAATGTAATTTCACAGAATAAACAAAATAATATGTCACGAAATAAGCCGATGAGGCGCAGGATTATGTTCTTCAACGTTTTTGAACTAGTATGATCTTCAACGTTATTGAACTGGTACGTAGGCGTCAAAAAGAGTCACTGGACTGTCTACCTAAGCCTCATTGTCCCCCTATTATTAAAATTAAGGAATTATCAGGAGTTCACCTCATCAGCTGCGCAATTCGCATTTTGCTTGGCGTAGAGGCTGCCTGTAGATCATGGCTAAATATTGGGATGGTTTATCTTCTAAAGAAGTACTTTAATTATCAATTCTGAGGTTTTCAGGATGAAAAAGCTGAAAGCGTTCATTGGTGACTGGAACTACGAGTGCAGTATCAAAGAGATACATGTGCAAAAGAGGTCTTACCCACACCCGACAACAAAGCACTGCGGTTAAACCATGCCTACTGTGCTTTGTGATATCGTCGGTTGACCCCGAATGGCATGTGATACAATATTGCAATTAGTTTAAGTCTTGTTATCCTGATGGTTCACATCAATTCTTCCCCTGACCAAGCCATTGTAATGCAAAAACTAACAAACGGCAAAATAACGGCTGTTGACATCACGCTTTTTAGTGAAGGCACACAACCTTTAAATAGATGTCTTGCTAACAAGAAATACTTTCGAGAAACCGTAGCGCAAAATATGAGAATATTCATGATGTACACATTATATACATTCGAGTCCAACTGTAAATGACATCTGACTTTTTTTATGACTATGGTAAGTTTCATTCCATAACTCGTACATGAGGGCTTCACACCGCCGTTAATGAAAATGTTCCATCTTATTTCTGTTTGAAGTTCTGTATGACATTTTATGTCAAATCCGAAAATTATTTGCCAGTTGGCATTTTAAACACTTTCGAACTGTTCACAACGTGCGCGAGACTTCAGCCAAAAAATCGCATGAACAGCACTGATGTCGATTACGATTCCACCCAGTTCTTCTCTGTTAAGATTTTGACTACCTGTCGATTTTTCATCGCGCCGGAAAAACATGTACCAATGGGAGACTTTTTAGACGTTGGTGGCAGCAAACAAACCAGTCTTTTTTAAAATATTTTACGTCATGTTTAAGCCAAAGCGTGCATGCTCAATATGACGCAAACAATGGAAAAAGGACTGGTACGTTTGCTGCCACCAACGTCTCGAAAGTCTTCCATTGGACGGTCGCTGATGTGACCTAATTCGGGAGAAAAGTGGAGGTGTTTTTTTTTAACCATAAGGTTGCTCCCACAACATTCTAGTTCAGTATGGTCTGATGTTTCGATAACAATCGTGAATTATTAAGCAATTATTGTAATTAATGGTAGCAATTACGTTGTACGTACGTCTAGGTTGAAGGCAATAACCGTAAGTAGGTTACAAGTTCGATAGGTCGAATCGCAAGATATTATGCTCACGAAAAACAGGGAAAGAATGGATACATATGTGCATTCCCTGTGATACCTTTTCTAAATTGCTACTTTTCGAGAAATACAAAAATTATTCACTTTTGAATGAGACAACGACCAAAAAAACGGGCCATGTTTATATATTGAATTATTACTTTACAATTTCGAATTTGGGTAGGCTGGTTCCCGACCCACAATCAGTATCAATCATGTTTGGACCATATACCGGTAGGGTTATTCTGCTCGCACAGCGGATCTGCTTTTTGTCCAAAAACAAAAGGCGTCTTTTTAGGGTTTTGCAGACGTCCAAACAGGGGGAAATTCTGGGTTTGTGGTCGGAATAAACATACAAGCTGAAAACGTATTAATAGCAGAAGAAAAAATCACATTTGCCTTCAACCCATCTTAGATACAAGGATAGGAAAGGGATAATATTTGAAACAACATGAATATCTTTGAATTTTCCCCAATCAAACCAAACCGCATACAAGGTAAAGCAAAAAATGATTTCAGGATATATCTAGGTTATTGAGTCTTTTAGTTCGTTTGGCATTGTGTCATGCCTTTCCTAACCTCTTCAGATATTAAAACAAGGTGTATTTTTTACTGTAGTAGGCAAAATAAGTTGTTGTTATGGTAAACAACAGAGGTCCCACGCTTACAATAACAAATAAAGGTTTTGTGCCTGGGGATGGGGTTGGGTATATTTCTTTACCGGTTGTGAGCTGGTGTTATGATTTCTTGACCATACCCGAAAAAGAGCCAAGTTTTGCTGGTTTGGTAAGTCAGGAGTAACTTCATGATTATTAGTTTAACATGACCAAAAAACCTATCTACAGATTGAAAGGCAATAACAGTACGTATACATAATAATCAAGTTAGAGTTAGGCGGGGTTAACTCTTAATCTTTCTTAATTAGCGTGCCCTAATTTTATTCCCGAACTCAGACTACAGCCGGTGCGATAAGAGTTCATACCCACGGTCACTATATCTTTGGAATAATTAATCGTAATTTCGAACTAATGATGACAGGAGGCCTATCGATTATGTGTCAAAGTCTTCTCCTGAAACCTTATAAAAGGCGCCAGCATCCAGAGGATTGTACCAAGTTCTCCCTCTGCATATCGAAAATCATCAACTCGAAGATCATCAACTACACGATGGCAAAGCTGTGCGCTCTCCTTCTTCTCGGTAAGTATACCACTGATCTCTATGATATCTGGATAGCTGGTTGACCATTGCGGCTCGCTATACACACATGTTCAAGCTATAATATAGGCGATGGTTCCGATTCTCTCAATTAGAATATGGCACGGGAACCAGTATATCTTTTCCAATTGTTCATTTGTAATAAAAAATAAGAGAATAATTGAATAATTCAAAACAATGTTTATTTCAATAGAATTTGATGTAAAAAAATCATTTAGGTTAAGTAATATAGATACATATGAGATGGTAGTTAAGTAGGATAGATTTGTTTACAGCTCCCTTGTCATGGGAGAGATAATATGGCGAACGGTGACTTCATGTTGAATAGCCAATGGGCTATAAAGATAAGTGAAGTATATACCATCAAAATATCACCATCTACACGTCAATTACAAACGGAAGCCTTCACGCACCTATAGTTTGATGTATATATTACATTTAAAGCAAAAAAAAACCCTGCTCAAAATGACGTTTAAAGACGGGTGCTTAATAACATGATGAAGTACTAGCTCTGTAACAATACTCTACGATTTCGATTTCAATTCAAAAGTTGCAAAGTCCTATTTTGAATTGCACCCGAAATCAGCATCTGGGACGCGGTCTCATTCAGCCGATTGTAGCTATGCAATGTCACGCCCTGAATCGACGAATAATATCAACCGCGCGCGGCCTTCTTTTATCGTTTTCTACAAAATGACAGCATGCCAGAAGGAATGATTTCACAGGGAGTTCAGTGCCGCTTCTATCTATAAGCCAAGGGAGCTTTTTCCCAATAACTTGATCAGTTACTTTTGGATCGCTGCCAATAATCTACTCGTCCACCTTTAAACGTACTTGTTTAAAACCGGCCAAGAAAACATGTATTCCTATTATATCTCATTATGCAATGGAATCCATGCATTCCATACTGCGGAGTACCTGAAATAATAACGGAAGTTATCTTTATTTATAAATATTTTGTATAAATACCATAATCTTCATGCCGAGGTTTTAGTTAATGCCGTGCGCGCTTTACGTGTTCGCTACATTCACAAAAAGGTTCCTTTCTTTTCCTTTCTTTTATGCTTCCAGCGTTCGTTGTTGGACAGACAGCCGCTTCAGCAAGTAAGTGTTCACTTAAACTCTTCCTTGCTTGTAAAGAAAAGTTTATATTGAGAAATAAGTATTGTCTAAGTTATCAAAAATCAAGAGCGTCCTAGTCATGGTCACATTTCTGCTCCATATCGTGCAATGAAATGACGAGAAGTATTTGGCGTTTCAAATTTGAACGATTGGTACCTCTGTGATAGTATGGAAGTTCTGATGGATTATTACCATCCACAAGATTAAGATAAATACTTTAATGTGCACACACCTCGCAAAAAGCGTCCTCACCGACAACAGGCTTTATCATTCAAAGGAAGTGACAATTAAAGTTCAAAGTAACTAACCTCATGGTATCAGAGAGGAATGACGACCTGCAAATGATAACATAAACAAACACAATCCGCTAAATCGAGCATGCATGGTGCCACCTGGTAAGAAACATAGATCCTTGACCTGCCTGCTCAGTGTTTCGTACCAAGACGTCTACAAAGATATGACCGTAAAGTTGTGAGATTTATAGACCATATAATTTATGCCCTGTGATGTAATACCATGAAGCTATGGTCATACCAACGGACAACCGAAATTAATTAAAGCATCTTCTGCATTATCCCACTTTTACACCAATCACATTTCAAGAGTTAGGACTACACATGCAGTGCAGAAAGTTGGCTTCATGCGACCACATACATCCGATTTGTACACAACTTGTAACATTTTCTTTCCCCTTTTGTTGACTTCCTATTAAACAGGCGACTGTCAAAAGTGCCCGGCTGACTGGCAATCCTTTGGTGATCATTGCTACAAGCTGAATAGCCGCTCCGCCATCTACTCGGACGTCGAGGCGGACTGTAAGGCAATGGGGGCGTACGTAGCCGCACCTCACAGTTTCGAAGAAGTGGAATTTATGATCGCCATCAGAGAATACCTGTGGATCAACTGTCAAGACACTGATGTCGAAGGTATGTAAATGCTTACTTGACAAAGCCACTTGCGAGACTAAGGTCTCATCCGGATTACATGCTCCTTAATGGAAGCTATGGAAGTCGACTTAAAAAAACCAAAACCCAAAACATATGGCTATAAACCGACTATACAACGGCAGCCTCGCTCTGAAAAGCACTATACGCACAGTAAAAACGTGGCAACTGGAGGTCTGTTTGAAAATACATATGGGTGTATGCGTTGATACAAGAAATACTTCATGGAGGGGTACTTTCAAAACTTGCAAGTAAATGAAAAGTGGGCCCTATTTCAAATTGAAACAGAAGTACAGTTGTTTTTTATTTTGGTTGATCAATCAATCAATCTCTTAAAACATTTTTTTAATGTTTCGGTGAGGCGTTTTTCAGACAAATATGGACTCGGACTGCTTAAGCTCGTGGTACAGTAAAGTTAACCTCCCTCTGGTTATCAAGATCGTTCCATTTTCTCTCGGCTTCGCCTCGGGAAAACAGAACACCCCATGGATCACTTCCGGTAGGCTAATTTTACCACACTACACTAAGCAGTCAAAATGTGTATATTCAAGAAGTTTTCGTGTTCCCCTCCAGGTGACTTCGTGTGCTGCGACGGCACCACCACCGACTACAGAAACTGGATAGCGGGAGAACCCAACAACTACGAAGGGCTAGAAGACTGCGGTGTCGTTTACGGAAACGGCAAATACAACGACATCAGTTGCACCCTGCACAAGACCAGGGGCCTGTGCAAAAGGCACGTCACCACCTTCGACGACAGGATCCAAAACAAGTCATAGATATGACTCCTGTTAACTCCCAATCACCAAACACTGTCTTCCAATTCCTGAAATATTATTCTCTTTGGCCGATTTAAAAACGGGTTTCAGGTGTAAGGAGGTGGATTGGTAGGGCATTTACATTTTAAGTAGATCGGTAGAAACAGCACGTAAAAGACTTGAAAAAGTCATTTAACAGTAACTCATTTTCCCCGATTATAACTGTCATGCTTTTTTTCACCAAAGTGACCAAACTAAGCATACAGAAAACTAACAACTTTGCAAAACAAAAGAAGACGAGATACCTCATCAACGAATGTACTCCAACAACCTCCCTTCCGAATCTCAGACCCACCTAGTTCCACATCAGGCACCCACGTCCACTCTTCCACCTTAACCACATCAAGTCGACTTATTTTAAAAATAGACCTTCCGAGGCGTAAAGTTCAGCTTGATCTCTATAATTTTCTTAAATTGTCTTTAATTTCAAACCTTGATTTTAAACAATGAACTAGCCAAAGATTCATTTAACAAACTGATTTATAGATACACCTTAAAGAAATAAAGAGTTCGGTATAATTCATCTCATGCGAAGTTGGAAATCGCACATTGGGTTGAACTTGCACGCTTCAAACACCTTTCAGTTAATATCAAGGCGCAGAACCTCTACAAGGAAAGGGCATCTCGGACCCTCACAAAGAAACGTACAAGCCCGTATTTCTTAATCCAAAGGCTGTACGGGAAAATTTTTATAGTTATAGTCATTTACAAAAAGAGGATCGCAACAAAATGCGGTACATTAAGACGTTGCCGCAATCTAGAACATAGTTAAAATTGGAAGAAAATACTAATCTAATTACTTATTCAATGGACACTGAATAAAGCAAAAAAAAATAAAAAGCAAAAGAGCTAAATTTAAGTGTTGTTGGATGATTTAATTGACGTTGATCTTTGTCCTCTTGATGTCGATACTATTACTCACCTATTTATAAATACCAGCGCCCCCATTGGAAGACATGTGTCCGGTGAAAAAAGCCTGTCTATACAACAGATACCATTTTGCTACAACGGAGAATTATACACGAAAGTGCAACGGATACTCCGATCCATGATGGGCTAAGACGAATACGGACGGCTGTCGTGGTAAAAATACTTTTTAAAGGCTGTATTAAACTTAAAGGGAAAATACAACATTTGCAAACATCAAAAAATAAAACTATTAAATCATTTTGAAATACTTTGCTGGACTGTTAGTGAATGACAGTGTAAAGCATCCTGTAAAATCATGGCACCTGGTATACTGTCATTTTCAAGAAAAGTGGTATTTTTGTATCAATTTCCAACGCTGGTCGGCCGACCAGCTTTGAAAAAAAAAATGGCTTTTTTTTCAAATACTGGCCCCAATTGACCATCGCACTTGTTTGCAATCGATTACACACCTATGAACGGGTACAAGCCAGCTAGACTGGTGCCCTGACCTTACAATTCCCCAATATATGTAAACTGCTCTGTTTCTTCTTATATGGAGTCAGGGAACCAGACTACAAGAAAACGATTGTTTTTCTTGGTTTTTATAGCATTTTCGAACCCAAAACCTCAAAAAAGTCAGTGTAACTATATTTGCTATATATTTCCAACCCCCCAATTCCATCCATTTCTGAAACGTACAGCAAAAGCAAATGATGTATATTCCCTTTAACTTATAGACCTTTCTACGCTTGGTTGGCAAACTGCATTTTTGCCAACCACGGATTGCAAAACTATGGAAGGTTCAACACTGCAAAAATGAAGAAGAGTAATTACAGATAACCAAAATATTATTTGATTGTTGGAAATACAACATTGTCGACAAAACTGAAACATAATTCCTAAACATGCCTTTTTACTTTGTATTGGGGGGGGGGGAGAACACGTCAATATTATTGCCAACCACGGCTTCAATTTATGCACTTGCGGCAGCCCATATAAAATGGCGCCAATATTTACAAACAAAAGAAAGGTCTATTACACGTAATGTGACACAAAATGTTGCAACTAATACACGCGGGCAAATTAGGAATAGTCTGGTGCATACTATACTTAAACTTTTTTGTATGCGGTGTCTGGGGTAAAAATAATAGATCGTCGCGGAATGAGTTCCAAAATCACGATTTTTTTTTCAATCTTATCCAGCCAATATGCATATAATTATAAGCAAGATAGAAAAGGGAACATTGGGTTTTTTTTGCTGTTGCCGCCCTCTACCGTTAAAACACGGACCAGAATTTAAACACCGCCGGCCTGACCTGTTTGGCGTAATTTCACGTTCCACTTCCCACCAATTGCTGGTTTTGTGTAATTCTTAACAATCTTATCTGTACAATGAACATTTGCATACCTTTACCTGTAGCATAACACATACAGTTCCCATCGTGGATATGAGACCTTCAAAGCACTCAATACGATATTAATACATTTAATATACATAACGCTTTTTAAATGAAGCATTCTCGCACTATTATGACGAATAAGAAATAAAAAATAAAATAACGGCCTCCCATCTCCCCTTACAGCCGTCCTTTCCACACCATATTCGATCAATTACAAAAAAAGGACTATTTATTGAAACAGTCTGAAAACGCGTGACACTGATAAGTCGATAAAAATAGCACTTTCCGTATACATTTTTTTAACCCATTCGAAACCGAATCTTCAAACTCTTGCTAAAAAATCGATAATAAATAATCAACTTTTAACGTTGCTGTATGAAATAAACTTTTTACTGGTCCATTATAACACTGATCCAACGGTGACGTAATTGACCACAGATTTCGTCACTGATCCCCTAACATAGTGTTGTCCCTCGTATACTATGTACACACGCTTAAATAGACTCAAACACTTCAATTTTTTTATTCAAATATGGAATGCAATTTGCATTGAAATTCAATTACCTTGAATATTCCCAAAGAATATTTCAAAATACACTGATCGACCATTGAGGCAAAATACTAACCTAACCCCCGGCATGATTTACTAGAAACCATATACTGTACCCATCCTGGCAAATTCCAACACCATATAGGAAACTGCACACACATATTTTTGGCTTTGATTCTGAAGATGTGCCGACCCAATTAAAAAGACTGTCAATTTAGGTTTACTGTACCCATCCCGACAGAATCCAACAAAAAATCCCATTCGGATTTGATGGGTTGAGTTCTATTAGCGTTAATCGATATTACCGAGGTAATCAGATACAGCGGAAACAAATCACCACATCACACTTTAAATCCAACCTACATGCCATTCTCGTGCATAAACCTTCACAAACCTTGAGCCTTTCCGATCGCCTCTCGCTTGGAGTCAACATATTATTCATACGAAACGCAATTGTTGTCTTATTTAAACGATCAACATCACATTTATCAGTTATCCACTCAATTCTTAATTGTCAATCACATCAGTAATGACCGTTAATGGGAAAAAAAGCATCGATTTCAAAATTAGATTAGATTAGATTAGATTTCGTTAAGGCACGTTTGTCTTAATTTTTTTTATATTACCGTGTGAGATTGTATTCTTTAAAAACTATAGTAAGCACTTTGGACGGGGAAATTCTATTTGTATCTTTTTTTTTTTTAAAGTCCAACACAATGTATGCCATTCATTTTACAAGCCTCCTTAACCGACAGCTGACAAAATAACAACACATAAACCCAGGACTTAGGATACAAGTAAACCAACCACATGAATAATCCTTTAGATTTGCAGCCTGAAAACAAGAGCAGATCCAGGGAGGGGGAGGGGCCAACGGGGTAATTTCCCCCACAACCCCCCCCCCCCCCAAAAAAAAACCCCACCACCACCACCATCTTTTCTTCAAAAAGATTTGGTTCAAGTGGTTTGAAATTGCCTCAGATCGCACCACAGAGCATCAATTTTTGCGACCCACTTTTGGGGGAACAATCCCCCCCCCCCCATTGTGTTCATGATCCGCCCTTGCCTGAAAGACTGTCTTACATCTGGTACGCAGCGCTTAAACAACTAATGCAGATTCATCTCTATTATGTTATTCAAGATCTGGTCGTGTTTCTTGTCCTTGCTCCATGCATTACTTCAGAAAGTTAATGATGAAATACATCTAAAATGTTTCTTGTTCATCTGCAGGATTGGGCTGCAATCTTCGCTTAGGGGAGATTAAATATAAAATAGTCCGCTGCTTCAGTTGTATGTATCTCTTTTCATGTGAGATGGCAGGTAAGGTGGCCAACGTAGGACGAATAATTATAACGATGCGAGAATGATGGAACCCTGCAAACATAAAGAAATTCAGTAATAAGGTACTTTCTTTCTTGTTGATAATTTGCTCTAAACGTTTTCAGTTTTCTTACGGTCTTTCCAACGTGTAAAGTTGAGCTGTTCGTGGAGTGTCTTGGTCAACATATATATTACGAAGATTGGCATAACATGATCTCCCGATTCCTTGGTTGTTGTTCTTAATTGATTGATTTCCATGGTACAGTTCCAGCCTGGTGTGGATGGAGAATGGAATCCGCAGATGAAATTTTCGTGAATATCAAGAAGGCTGTCCTTTAATCACCGAAGAATTTCAATAGCTGACTTAAGATGTTCCCGTAAAGATTCCAGCGTTTGCAGACGTTTGATGGAGAAAGTGTTCTGTTGCCGACCTGAGAGATGCTATAAAGACTACTTTACTCACAGAATGTCATTAGATATGATGATTACATATTTAACCAATCATTCTCAAAGACGGAAACAGATTGCGAGATCGACGTTTAAACCGAGATACCGAGCGATTACGTTGCCGGCGTTTACCGATTCAGTCGGTGGTAGGCCTGCCACGGTTTACACGGTTTCCGTCTTCGGTGCACTGACATTCACTTATCACTAGTTAAACAATTCACAAAGCTAATTTTTCTATTACAAGGCTGCTTAATCACTAACCTTCATCACTACAATCTTCACCACGAACAACATCACATAATTCCACCATCATCACTATCATAATTACCATCCTTCATTTCACTGTCACAACGTGCTTCGTGGCGCATCTGCATGTTGTCCGCTTAGCTTCTTTGCAATACTTGCTGCGAGCAGTTTGAATAACCATGCCCACTCCAACCCCAACAATGTGTTTTCAATTATCATTAAATTATACTAATTTACTGGAAATTGTTTCAAATTGTATTATGATCAATGTTGTTTTATTTATGTCATTAAATCATTTACCCATTTCCCCAAAATATTACAACACACACCGAAAGCCAACCTCAACACGAATGAAGTCCCACTCCTTCAGAAGACCAAACCAACTTGCCGGGCTAATTACACAAACCCCTATGTCACTTGTCAAAATTCCATAAGAACTGAGATCGGTGACGATAACTTTTGCTTCCAGGAATATGTTTGGAGGATTTCTTGAAACAGCTACGAAGAAGAAGAAAATAATGCTCGTTGAGGCTAATTGTCAACACTGCGACGAAATGTTATCCTCTCTATAGTCGTAAGTACAAACTTAACACTGATGAATCACACTGGCAAATTTGTTGATGGATTCGTGGTTGTATGCAACTGTATCGAGGAAGAATACAGTTGTGATAGCTCTGACACAAATCTCTAGATTCTTGACGTTTTTGAATTCTTGAAGGTTTCTTTTCATGACTTTTCATGACGACTGAATTCTTTTGAAACTAACGTTTAAAGGCTGGTTATCTTGCTGACGATAACATTTTGGATGAGTATTGCTAATAGTGGATAATTCTGAAGATACATTAGCGAAACACTTGAAGGAGACTTCACTGGATGTGCTCTCGCAGCCATACTATGAGCGTTTTTTTAATACAGGGTAAATTTCTTTGAGCTCAATTGACGATTATTTTTGAAGACCGCTTCATTGATTAAAAGAGTTTGTCGGTTTTTGTATCTTGAAGCTTCCTCTGGATGTTCAAAATCTGCTCGTATCGAGAGACATCAGACGATGATTATACAAGACATATTTTTTCATGATGAAGAGGGATGGAATGTTCTCTGAGATTGGTGGACAAATACTCTGTTGATGAAGTCTGAAGCATTTTGAAGAAACCTCAGGTTGGGTTGAAGTAACTGACGTACATAATGTGAGAAAGATCTTTATTCTAGGACAATGCGGCTTCCCATCTCCCATTACAACCGTCCCTGTCCACACCATTATCAAAATTACAACACGAATATAAATTCTTTATATGTTACGAAATCACTATCATTAGGCCCTAACCCTTTTCTTGTACAACACACTTGATAATATAGGCCTATATGGCAAAATTATAGATTCTGATATCTTGGATAGAGAACCGGTACGTTGACACGCACAATTATCGTCTTGAACGATGATATAATATCTATTCCTCGAGTCAAATCAACCAAAATTGTTTTACTGATCATCCGTTCGTGTCACAAACCTATATATTGGCATACTTTTATTAACACTCGACTTTGCCTATAGCTATATTTTGAAATAAAAATGCATTCAAAATGTTTTAACAAGCACTTACCTAACCACTTAAAACAATATACAACAATTAACGGCCTCCCTTCTCCCCTTATAGCCGTCCTTTCCACACCATCGTTAATTAAATTACAAAAACGCAACTATGTATAAAAAAAGGCTTATAATCTATCAATTGATAACAAATAAATGAACACTTAAACAAATTCAAATTCGGAATCGATCCCTGATTCATACTAAACGCAGCGCTAAACAAAATTGAAACCTTTTTCCTAATTGGCACAACACAGATTCATTGAGATATTTCATCATCTAAAGTAACGCAAAGAGATCTCGGCTTCTTTCCTGTCATTGTGCTTGATGCATCACCAGAGATCTCCAATAATGGAATGCAGCTGAAATAGTTCTTGTAAATCTGCAGGATTGGGCTCCAATCTTTGTCCTGAGGAGATTTTAAAAATAGTTCGTTGCTTCATTTGCCGATTCTTGTTCCTTATGAAACGGCCGGTGATCAAGATGACATGGACATATTTAACAAGGCAAGAGTGAAAGAGCTCTGCAACATAATTAACGTGGATGGCGTTGGGTGCTTTCTTTCTTGTTGGTATTTTTCTCTTTCCAGCGCAGTTTTCTATTTCTTCAAATAGGATGGTTTGCGTTTCGTTGCATAATGCCTTGGTCGACATTATCTTTTGAAGATTGACATAACTGATCTCAGGGCTCCTTGATTGTTATTCTTGGTGCTTTCCATGGTGCAGATTTTTTCACAGTCATGTGTAGATGGAGAAGCGAATCCGTACATGAAATTGTTCTCAAATATCTTGAACGATGTTCTTCTATCCGCGGAGACATTTAATAGCTGACTAGTTTTTTCCATAAAAGATTCCAGCATTTGCAGATGTTTGATGGAGAAATTAAATTCTTGTAGCCAATCTGGTAGAAGCTATCATGACTAGTTCACTTTCTGAACGCCAATCTCTTCACCTGACCATGTATTCATGAATACTGAAATATAAGTTCAGCCGACCCGCCCACACCAATTTAAAAAAAGGATATTCCTTAAATTCATATAATGAATTGATCTGTTTGGTTTTGTTATCGTCATAATGTTATTTAATAATGGTTCGTATATACATGTGTTCATTGAAGTTCAAGTATGAACATTCTTTGTCAAATTCAATTTGTATTTTATTCAATTATTTGTTGACATATTTATTAGTTTATAATTATTTTCCCTAAAACCTTTATATCCCACGAAATGTCATTAGGCTGCATTTGGCGCATATCGCTAGCTTGCTTACGCTGCAGGTGTGTGCAGAACTCATGATTCATCACATGATTCATCCTTCACCAACACACTGCACAGTAAAACAATCCATCAAACGTTAACTTTCACTCATCTGGCTCAAATAATCTCATCATTAGATATTCCAAAGTTACACATTTAACCAATCATTCTCAAAGACGGAAACAAAATGCGAAATCGACGGTTAAACCGAGATATACCGAGCGATTATGCGTTGCGGCGTTTACACGGATACAAGTCGTTGGTAGGCCTACCACGGTTAACACGGTTTCCGTCTTCGGTGCACTGACATTCAATTCACTCAATACACAATTCACTAAATTGCCAACTTTGCTAACTTCACCACAAACAACACTAAATCCCACTTTCACCACTATCATGACCATCCTTTATTTCACGCGCACAGCATGATTTTATGCCGCATCTGCTATACGCTTAGCTGTTTGCGATGCTGCGGGTAGTTTGCCTCTCTACCATCCCCTCTCAAAACCCACCAGAAAACAATGTGTTTTATACTTTTCTATAGGCCTAATATTTCAAATGTTTATGATTATCATTTACATTTAAGTGTATTTATGAGTGTAACTTAAAAGTTATTCCTTTTCTAAATGCCGGTAGATTATTAAATTATTTCCCCATTTAACATCTAGAAGCCAAACTGACAAACTCCACCAAAAAAAGTCCAGTACTTTTTCAGAAGACGAAATCGAGACCCTAGACGACAAATACTGCTTCGAGGGCCGGAAGCCATATTGAAGAATTCTTGATAAACCTGGCAAAGCTAACCAAAACTGCAGCTGGTGATGAACATGAGGAAGAAAATGATGTTCACTGAGGCTTATTTCCATTCTTGGTTTTATGTAACCATCTTGAAAAAAATATCCGTGGTCACTTGGTGTGATAATTCAGCTCTTCGAGGAATTTCGTGCTTCGAGGGCCGGGAGCCATATTGAAGAATTCTTGATAAACCTGGCAAAGCTAACCAAAACTGCAGCTGGTGATGAACATGAAGAAGAAAATGATGTTCACTAAGGCTTACTTCCATTCTTGGTTGTATGCAAACATCTTGAAAAAAACTATCTGTGTCGTACATGGTCACTTGGTGTGATAATTCAGCTCTTCGAGGAATTTCGTGACTCTTGATACGTTGCGACGTCTTGTCCTCTCGGAGGTTTCTTGAAAGTCTTAGCACTCTTCATTTCCACTATATTTTTGCAATGCTTACGGTTCCAGGCTGTTTATCTTGCTGACGATCAAGGTTTGAATTTGTGTTACTAATATCGGAGAACTCCGAAGATATATGAAGCTGCTTTTGCAACATATTTGAAGGAGACATCTCTGAGTGTGCTCTTCTAGCCATATAATTTCTTGAATACAGAGTAGTTTTCTTCGGGCTGAATTTAAAATGATGATAGGAAGAAGACCACTTCACTTCTGAAAAGAGTTCGCCGAAATTTGTAGTAAAGTTGTAGATTAGTATCCTCCCTGCTGATAAAAAAGTTCAATCCCTGTTCATAGTATACTTGTGGCTTTTCATGACGAGACATAGAAATAAATTTCTTTAGTTGATGGACGAACACTCTGTCGATGAAGCGTGACAATTCCGATGTCCTTGTAAAACATTCCTTGCAAATGTTACATTCTTGCACCACAGAAGATGGCAAGGAAAAGATTCACCAGACACATTTCATTACAAGTACACATTTCTAGCAACCCCCTCCCCCATTACACACATGGTTATTACACACAATTATTGCTGCATGACAAACCAGCGTAATCTAACTTAATCTCAGCTTTTATGTATTTTATAGATCAATTTCAGACTATTATAATTTAATTTTATATGAACTTGATTAATTAGTATACCCTATTTATGATTCCCCCCCCCCGAGTAACCTATGCCCCGCGCTCGCTAATAGCTGCCGCGCGAACTGTGCCTGATATATTAGCATGCTGCTGCATATTGCTTGTACATTCACTCGCTTCTCATGTCTCACCACTCATAACTCACAACAACTAACATTCACCATCCACCCGGCCTAATTACACATAATAGACTCAAAAATCGATTCCAGTGATCGATAACCAACTTTCACCACTCATCGAGTTCACCACTCACCAACCTTAAACTCACACTTTGCAGACACAAGACTCAGTATCGAATCGGGGAGTGCCGAATCGATACTCTCGTTTTCTTTATACACACCATGCACTTGTCATTCACTACTCACAACCAACAACTTGCATTTTACTATAGCTTATCAGTACTAGCTCATCGGTATTTTAACTCACACTCATGTACAGACTCGAGTCTCGGTATCAAATCGGGGAGTGCCGAATCGATACTCTCACTTTCACTACCCACCACTCATTTCGTTACTCAAAACCTATAATTACACGACTCACTTGCTCATATTCAAACACACTTCTTTACAGACTACGTCTCAGTATCAAACCGAGCACTCGAATATATACTCTCACCTTCTCATCGCTCCTCAATCACGATCCATGATACATAAATGCATCTCATTAGCTCATCAATTCAAACTCGTTTCTCACAGACTCAAATCTCAGTATCGAATCGAATAATCGAGTCGATACTTTCGTACCGCTACGGTTTACCGAGACCGAAGACTGAGTAGGCCTACTCAGAGACGTACGCGTCCGAATACGAGTTCACGATTCCGAATACTCGTTTCCAAATCTTCATCGGAAACGGGCTAGACATCGACACATCTCTCAACAATGACCATTTGTCACTCATTTATTCACAAGTATCTACTTACTCAGAATTCACCCACACAAGACGCCGTGCTGTCAACCTCAACACTCGCGTTCTCACATACTCACTATGCGTGCAAGCGCTTGCCCATGCAGAGCTTTTTGCTTTTTGCATTTCCGCCGCGTGCTGCAGTTTATTTCCCACAAAGTACACTGTCCCCACTCTGTGTTTTATTTATTATTTACTGATTATAATTTGATAAACTTATATAAATTATATTCAACTGGTGAATTTGTTTAAATGGTGTCTGATAATCTACTTTACATTTACAGTTTATTTCTCTACAAAAAAAAAATCGAGAACACACTCAAGCCCCCCCCCCCTTCCATGACAATAGCCTCAGCTAAACGACGGTGAGTGGAAATGACAAAGCATCATGTTTGGGACAATTTTTCTTGTATGCAGAACTTGGTGCTGTCAACAGTTTACATTCAAGATGAAGAAGACATGATGGATATTTGGAGATTTAAGTGGAAGTACGAATGTCCATCTCTTGGCTGGCTTCGATGTTTATTTTTCTTGAAGGCCTTCAAATAGAACTTCTGCTTAACGAAGTAAGAAGCTGGTTTTTTTCTGAAGGAGATTAAAACACTTTAGACCTCTCCACGAGTTTATTGTTGCGATGAATCCTGAGGAAAAACTTGAGGTGAACTCAAGCAAATTTGAAGGAGATAAAAGTTCTTGCAACTGAATTTATACTTCATACTTGATCTGGAAGAGACATTATTATCTTGAAGAAGAAACTGGAGTTACTTAAAAACATTATCCCGATTGTTCTTGTGACGAAGGTGAAGTAAAGTGAAGGAGTGATCCATTGACCAGGCTATAGTATATTTGACTTGTGTTTTTGTCTTGAATTTTATTCACAATGTCCAAATTCTAAGAGCATCAAATCAGACTTGTAGGCAGCTTGTCAACATTGACTATGTACGGTACGCGGAGAATCTGTCAAATTGCCAAGAAATGCACCAACACACCAGAGCTGAAATATTTCAGACGGATCGATAGTAGGCGCGTGCCTGCCGCATAACTTCAGTCTTCGCCCAAAAGAACAATAGGACTGAACGCTCTGCGGCCACGTGCCTACCTGGAGGTCACGAATTGGTACAACGGCCCAGGGGTCAGAGATGCCTTAGGAATTTACAGGTGCTGGTCTCTTTCATATTCAAATATCTCTTCAATTGACTTCAGAGGGAGAAAAATCAATACCTTCAGTCATGTTAACAAAAACATTTGACTTGGCTACAGAAAAAAAGGTTCCTGAAGCTGGGAGCAAATTAATTTTAGACTGTAAAATAGGGACAAACTTGGATTGATGCTTAAGTTCTAGTCACGCTGAGGAGCGCATTACATTTGCCTATTGAAGCTCAGAGCCAATTAATTTTAGCATGCCAAAGAGTGTCAAACTCGGGTTACCGAGTGAATAAAAAAAATATTTACAGAAAATAAATAATTGAAGTCTGGCTACAAAACAAAAAATGGTTACAGAAATAGCAAACCGTTTGCAGTTTCAAGTATCTTGTTCGGAGCTTTGAGCTCCGATATAGTTTAAACCTGTATCACAATAGGGGAAAACTTGGAATACATTTTTCAACAAAACCCAATATTTTTACAATTAGTGAATATGTACCATGAGATACATACTAGAAATCTGGACACAACATGTTGTAAATGAAGCGCAAAGTTTTCATAAGAAGTATGACAATGAAGGCACTTTACCAGTGGCCACAAAATAGGTTTATTGGAGCCTATAGACTCGGACAATTTGAACTGAAAGGGGTGGGGGGGGGGGAGAGAGACTTGAAGTACTCTTTCCAACTATTGTATACCCGTTATTTTGGCAATTCACAAATGTACAGGTAGACACTGGAAATCTGGACACAAAATGTAAATGACTCGGAAGGTCATTTTGTTTTTTATAAAAAGAACAGCAGGTATGAAAAGGACACACAATTATTTCCTGCAATTTGTAATTGAAAGGGGGCAGACTAAGAGTACATTTTTCAACTGTACCCGGGGTTTTTTTTTTGCAAAGTGCAAAAAGTAACGGGAGCCACTCGAAAACTGGACACAAAATCTCATAAATGTCGATTTTTTTTGGGGGGGGGCAAAAATAGGTCTACATGTAGCAAGAGGAAGTGTCAAAGGCTACACAATAAGTTCCTACAATAATTTCTAAAAAGTTTTCACTTACCTCATAAATTGTTTCTGACTTACCAAAATGTCGACTTCTTCACTTGTCCATACGATAAATTCCACAGAAAAATATCCACACGGGCAGTTTCTAACAAGACTTCCATGACACTGGAGTTTGAGATGTTTCACCTTTTTAGTTCACAGTTCAATTCATGTACATGTACTTCCTCAATTTCTTCAAAACAGTATAGTTCCTTGCTTTAAGTGTTCAGCTTTAGCACTTGAATACTTCAACAAGTGCTCTGGGCTGAGTTGAGTTTTGCCCCTGGTCAAATGCGAAGTCAGAGTTATACAGTTTGGTTCCTTATTTTCTTCACAGAGCTCGCTAAAGGTTTGTTATTGTTCCACAAACTTTCACTCACGAACATTCCACGGGAAAGAGGTCCGAGAACTAAGTAGAAATTTGAGTGCTGCGAATTCCAAAAGAAATGTGACAGGGAGGCAACCCGGCCGTAGTTCATTTTCCAAAAAGTTTACAGGATGTTTAGTTAATAATATTCTGTTCCATATAACGTTTCACTCACGACACATGTAGGAAAGACGTCCGAGGACCGAGTGCAGAACGACGGTGCAGAGCCGGGGAGTGCAGCGAATTCCAAAGGACAGCGGGAGTGCAACGTCGAAACCCCAGCCGCGGCTAACACTGTGACCTGGCCGTCAGCACAGCCGACTCGCTGTCCCGTAAATACATTTTGGAGTTCGTCGTTCTCGGCAAATTTCTCAGCTGAAGTCCACGAATCCACGCCGAAGTCTTGCTCACATTGTCTTTTTTGAGTAGTGGGATTAGCACTTTTGTAAATTGAGAAACTCCGCTGAAAATGTCATTTATTTGTGGACAATTTTTGTAGGCAGCTTTGCAGTCGGATTTTGAGCACATTTACTGCAAATTTGCTCGCCAACAGCTAGCTGGCAGCCGACAAGGTGAGTGATCAGGCTTGTTATTCATTTAACAGATGTGTTCATACGCGGCTAAACTTTCACACAAAATCAGACAAAACTAAATATTTGTAACACTCTTCCAACAAAATCATAACCATTTTACAATGCATTCGCAACAAGAAGTCAATAATGTTGCTTCTTTGTCAAAAATGCCTTCATATTTTAATAAACTATCCGGCCTATTTTCTTTAAACGAGGAGAGATATCGTGATAACAGCAGGCGAAAGGGTCACGCACTCGGCGCAGGGAGTGATTCCTATTGGTCGGAAGTGGAACAATAAACGTTTTGATTGGCAGATGGAATGCGCTTGTTTACATGCTGTTTTCAAAACCTCGACTTCGTTTCGGCTTCATTTCATCGATATCTCATGCTTCAGAATCATTGTATGGGTCTTTCACGTCGAAACAAAATAGGAAAAACGGGTATTCAGATAAAGTTTATATCTAAAAGTATAGTATTTGGATTATGTGTAAGTAAAATAAGGATACATTAAATGACTTTGTTGTTGGGATGATGCTCTTAAGAGAACGCCCATGCACTCGTCCTTGTGGGCCCCAGCCACTAGTCTCAAACAATTTCGTGAAGGTTACTGAGCGGTCACGCATAATTAACCGGGTACAATGGGATGGGGTCACGTCATAATATTATTTCATTGTCTTCAAAGAAGAAAATACAAGCCGATTTGCACGGTGCGCACGATATGGCAATGGGCAGGTCTTATTTAGATTGTTCCTATGTAATGTACTTCAATTATGTAGCCTACTTTGTGCTTCACTGTGGAAAAATTGAAAATACAAAACCTGCATAATAATATCATATGCAAAGCCTTCTGGTGCAGTAGGATTGTATTTGAAATAAATAAAGGGCGGATCCAGAGAAGTTAATGCCAAGTGAAGGGGGGAGGGGTGGTGAAGCTGTGCCGGTGTGAGCTGTGCCGGTGTGAGAAGGGGGGGGGGGGGCTATCATAAGTAAAAAGAAAATGCCTTGTTTGAGAAAAGTTAGGTCGCTACCAGGGGAATTTGCCCCTCCACTGGATACCTGGAGATTTTGTTTTAATATCTCACGGGAAATGTAACGTAAGAGACCCATTTCACAGTTTGATTGTTCCATTGTTTTTCTTTGCTAGAAATGAATAATTCTTTAAGAAATGCACATTTCGTATGACGGCGGGTTTTTTTTATTGAGTGTCTTTAAGTCTGATGGTATTTAAAAATTTTGAGCCATATACAGGAAGACATAAAGTCGACGAATCACGTTTAGAGCTATCAGAGCTTTTATTCTTACCTTTCTGACTCACAAAAACTAAATTATTATTGTTGGGATACAAATAATTCAAAATTTGTAAATTATTCCTTTACTAAATTTGTCGACAGATTCTTGCGATCGATACCTGAGTATAAAGTGGAAGACTTTGGTATTGCTAGATAACAAGTTTATTTTTCGGAGTGACACTTCACAGTTCATACAAATTTAAGTTTTCCTAGAAACAAGGGCAATCTCACCCCTATAGACTGTGGACTATAGCAGTTTTACAAATGTGTTTCAAAAAGTTTTCCAATGGCAAGACCCGTAAACTGCCCTATACACAGCCACGATTACGGGTCTATCCAACGGCATGATCAGTTTAAGAGGAGCGGACAAACTTAGGCGGGGTTCACCTTTAATAACCATGGAGCGTTCACCTTTAACCTGTGTTTTATAGCTCCATGCTTTAACACGATTTCCTGTCTAAAAATAAACAAACGGGGATTCCCCGGATTTATTGTTCAATCCCTGCTGACCTGAAACTGAAAGCAAAACACTGCGTGCTGAATTTCGACATGTAGCTTCCTGAACAGTGAGTGACACAACTCTGAAAATTGGGATTACCCGAGCTCTTATTACAATAGTTGTCTCTTTTCCTGAGAAGAACCAACTTACCAAGCTAACTTTTCTTTAAATAGCAAAGGTGTTGATCGTGGACCAGAGTCACCGGACGAAGGAAAACAGCTGAAGTTGAAGTGGTGCAGTCATATGGAGCCTGAGTGATATACATGTACATCTAGTGCAGTGTACATGTACGTGATGTGACTTCCTGCCGCAACATCAGTGGCGAAGTAAACGTTTAATTGTTAGGATTTGTCGACCCGGCGTGCTTAAAAGGTGGGCTGTGCGTTTGATATAGCTTGAGCTCTAATGCCTATCGCAATTAGAGCTGGAGTTACTCAAGCTACGTTTGATAATACTTTTTAACTTCGAAATTACTAGTGTTTAAGATTCCAAAAGTGACCCTGTACACAAACTCTATGAGACTGGTCTGAAAATGTTTTCTCAACAATACTTCAATATTTTCCCTGCTAAATTGGACTTTTAGGACATATTATCACTTTCTGATGGCTGATAGTGATAGGTCACTGAAGGAAAAAAATAGTGATGGCCAGATATATGGGAATCTTTCCTAGTATTTAATAAAAATCCTTTTTCACAGGAATGAATAAATAATCACTTGAACAGTTTGGAGACCTTGAGAATCATCACTCAACAATAACTTTGGCCTGCCTATATATTTTAGAACTGAAGATTGATCATTCATTGGGGGACATTTTAATTACTTTATGCAAACCTTAACATGTGCATGCTGAGCCTGCTGAGGAAAAAATAGAACTTAGAAGAGAAGTGCCAGTTTGGCACAAAAGTAAACAAACTTAAAATACATGACTTTGTGACGAACCTCTCAACAAGTTAGAAACGTTGATTATCCAGGTTTAAGTTGAGGGTAACAGCTCATCTGAAGAAGTGCCCCTTTTTAACTGTATTATTATTGTTACTATTTTTTTTGGGGGGGGGGGGTGGGGGAAGTTTACAACTATATTAGCAGGTATGATGTGCCAGGATATTCATTTCCTTCAAAAAATGGCGAAATATAGCCAAAATTGTTTTCGACTGGGCAAAGGTTTCGACTGGATACACTGCATTTCAACCATAGCAAATTTTGCTGCATGAATTAATTACGTGAGCCAATTGACGAGACTCTCTTGATTATCATACTTTTGATGGTGCAGATTTGCTCAGAACTTTGACTGCTTGAGACATGAAACAATCAGAAGGAGAGAATTTGACTCAATTTTAAAGGGACTCAAAGCCAACCCATTTGCCCACGTACCGTACTGAAGAGCATCATTATTAACAATGGATTTTTTTTTCTCATTAACAGCTAGGTTGCCATGGATACTAAGTTTTCAACCTATCTCTCTGGCTTCAACGGATTTGGTCGCAGTTTCAACCGCAGCGTGTTGGCTGGTGACTTGCGCTTACACCAAGAGTACAGGGAGGCATTCAACAATGGCTCGCTGCCCTGCAATCGACTGAGGATCCTTACTATTGGTGATAAAGGCGTGGGCAAGTCTAGCACCCTGAAGTACCTGCGGGGGGAAGTGTGTGACCCAAATGCTGAGCCGCTGGCAACAGAGGGGATTGACATCACCATATGCGAGACCAGTGACCGGGAACCAGCCTGGAAAGCCTGTACCACTGGCAAGTGTCAGTCAGCAGATGATCCTGGTCTGTGTGCCGCTTGGTGTGTTTGCAAAAGTGTAGATAGCATGGGAGGTGTCTTGCACACCGTCAAAACTAAAAGGGGGTCTACAGATGGTCATTGGGTTCTTAGGCAACCTCTCCAAAATCGTGCCTACCAACAAGAAAAGCGTGCAGATGCTGGGGATATCAAGAGCGTATGTCAGGCTCTCAGGAAAATCCTCCTGCATTTGTTTTACCAGGTGAAGTTGAGTATCCCATCAGTTATTTTGTTCTTCCTGCTGTCCTACATAGGTAACCTGAATGACTTTGGTGTCCTCTGCTGGCTTGCTATATTTTTGTCGGTGCCATCATTTGAATCAGACCTCAATTCCTCCTACCGCTTCATCACATCAGTGTCTCTTCAGATGGTTTCAGTTGGTGTAGCTGTTTCTGTCAAAGAATACAGTGCCCATCTAAGAGATAATCAACAGTTGGATGCTTTTGGGTGGATGACCATATCACTGGTCTTGTACTTAGGAGTGTGCGCCATGAGCACCGGGTTGGGGTTGCTGTGTGGACTGGGATGCCGTAGTGGGGTGGCGGTTGCTTACTGTCTGATAAACCAGAGGTCCCTGTTTCACCAGAATGCCAAAAGTTTTGCTCTCTTGGTCATCAGCAACCTCTTAGGACTTCTCCTGATGCGGGATGGCTTTAAACGCATCCGGAAAGTTGTTCAGAGTCGGAACTTCTCCTCTGTGAGTCTCCTTGCTGTGGTTCTTGGCCTGTTGTTGACAAACTACAGGTATCAACCACTTGTTGATTGCTTTGATTACTTGTACATGCATATGTCTGATGTTGTGGTTGGCATTCTAATGGGGTTTGGGTTTCCCTACGGAGTCCTCAAAGGACGTGAGATTGTCGCCGTCAGAAAGCTAATGCTCCCATACATGTTGAAAAAATCTTTTGGCTTTTTTGTTACCATCGTAGTTTGGCACCTGATTGGATGGGAGTTGTTGATATTTAGTAAGACTTCAACGTGGCTGTCGGTCATTTGTTCTGCACTCAGTGCTTGCGGGTTCCCATTGTATGACTGGATTGTGGCTCAGAAGGTAAAGCATCTGGAAAATAATGACATCCCAATCACAACCTTTCGTAAGTTTCTGATGGACTCTGCCACCCAAGACAACCCTGTCAGTCTCAAGCTTCATTTCTGGGACAATGCTGGGGACAGTGCCTACCAGACCATGCAGCAGTTCTTTAGACCAGCAGAGGCTGTTTATCTCCTGGTGTTCAATCTGGAGGATGCCAGAGAAGATGACCAGCAGCAACTCCAATGTTTGCGTCAGTGGCTCTTCATGGTAAAGGCTCACTCCAAGAATCCAAACACGCTGGTCTTTGTCGTTGGCACTCACCGAGACAGTGTTGGAAGGGACTTCATTGCAAGTTTTGGTTCCCAGATTGATGACCAGCTCTACAATGACTTCTGCAGCATCTTGGCTATCAACGGTGACAAGGGACCTCTCTATCTTGTAGAGAATTCCAAGGCAGTTGATGGAGATGGTCTGAACCTTCGCCAGTCCATCATAAATATTGCGAAGACAACACCATTTATGAATGAGCTCTTCCCCATTCGACACCTGAGTATCTTAAACAAGATACAAGAGATGCAGTCCGATTTCCATCTGCCTTGGATCATGACCACATTTGATCTTCTTCATGGCATAGCCAGAGAGGACCTGACCCTGGAAGAGTTGCACAAAGTTCTTGTATGCTTGCATCGCACCGGTGACATCATATACAGAGACGATGACGACATTCTGAAGGAGTATGTCATCATCAGGCCTCAGAGTCTCATGGATGTCCTGAAGGCAGTTGTACGCATTCCTCCCAGGGATACTCGAAGACTGACTGAGGCGGAAGACTGGCGAGCACTGGAAGTGCAAGGCATCGCCTCGCTGAAGCTCATCAAGGCTGTGGTTGGATCAGAGACCCTCCTCCCTTGTGTCCTGCGATTGATGGAAGCATACAATCTACTGATACCCATCTATTCAAGCAGATCTCAGCTTCAGCCACAGGAGCAAGACGACGAAGGCTCTCCCTCATCAATGGAATCCCACCCTAGCTTGGATTTAGGATCTCTTCTAGAGGAGCTTCCCAATCACTGCATCCTACCGAGTCACCTTCCAGCATTCACAGGAGCGGATGGTGACTTTTGGGAACCCTCTCCAGAAGATGAAGAATATTTTTTCGACTTTGGCTATGTGGCTCCAGACTCCATCTTCCATCGTCTCTTGGCAAAGTGTTGGTGCGACAGGGATATCCATGAAAGGGCGAGTACATCCAAAAGATTTTTAGCCATTAACGCATTAGCACCTGTACTGCATTGTATTACATTGTGTTTATAGAGTGCTCAGGCGGGGCATTTTGGGCGCTACAGTGACAAGGGATTCAAGACGCTATGTTCCCATGATAAAACATTAAACTGGTTTCATTGTGACTTCTCTTTTACAGGTGTACAAAACCAGAGGTCGTTTCAGATATCAGGGAGCAAACTTTTACACCATTCAGCTACAGAGGATTTCCGTCTCTCAAAACACAATTCAAGTGATTGTCCTACATGATGGGTACAACAGATGCTCATTACAGGTATGTATTCCGGAAAGTTGTTTTATATCAGTCTTCTTCAAAGTTCCTGTTTAAAAAACAACAATGTTCAATTCACTTTTAGTCTGCAGCTGCTTCTGAGTGAGTAAAAGTAAATGGAGCATCTGAAAAACAACTTTGTGACACTTTTTTGACAACTTTTGGCATGCGCAGACATAGATGCAGACCTGTAAAGAAAAGTTGGATATGTTCAGCTGAAACAAATCTTGATCTCGCACAGGACTTAATAATGATAATAACACTATTCATCTTTGATTTAAAAAGTTTCCTCCGATGATTGTGGTCCTGACGGACTGTCGTAACAGTCTTCCTGATTCTCCTGCACAAACAGGTCCTCCAATTTCTGTATAACCTTCTGGAGGATATCCGTAGCAGGGATTTCCCCAACCTGCCGTACACCTGTGGGCCTGCCTGCCATGCGTGCAGCCTTGGTAATTTCCTACGAATCCTTAAGGTCTGCGGAGATGACAAGAAGTTCCCCACGGCTAACATGCCATTTGAGGCATTTATGCCACAAGGGAAGTACCATGAGGTCCATCTGACACCACAGGTATGTAGTTTAAAAGCTTTTCTCTTTCTCCTAAAAAAAAAACCATGCACACAGGGGAATTCCGCACTGTTTGCAGAAAATACGAGTGTCAGTGCAGCGCCCTCTCACAAGAACTCGAATGAAACAAATAATACAGGTCGTACCTGAATGAAAATGATATTATTAGAAAGAGCAAGAGCCCCCCCCCCCCCCCCCCCCCCTTGTGATAACATGCTTACTCTACCTCGTACATGTACGAGGTTTGGCGATTTTAAGTACAAACATTACCTCGTACATGTACGAGGTTGGCAATTTCGAACTAACAAATATACCTCGTACATGTACGACTTTGGCTCTAAAAGAGTTAAGCATTAGCTAAGTTTTTTTGGGATTTAGCCTGAAAGAACAGATATCAGTTTGTTCCTAAATTTGTTTAAGCTTGGCAATTTGATTTAGAAACTCAACTTCTTTTTCAATTTATGTTTACAGTTGAAAGTAAATTGTGGAAGGCGAAGGACTAGTTCCTCCAACTCATCCATCAACTCGCAAACAGACTGCAGAACACCTGAAGGTCAGACTCTTGTTGAAAGAAGTTGTGATCCTTAGTTATTACCTTTATATTTTGAAATCTTAAAGTTCTTTTAGCCTGCCTGATATCATTGCAAAAGAACGCAAGAGTATTGCTCGGATTTACTAAAACAGTTACTGAGTGCTACCTAGTGAGGACGCTGTTGGAATTGTAGTCAAATTGTCAATAACCGTTTCTACACCCAAAGCTAGTAATGTGACGTGTACTCTACTAAGTTTCAGTTTCAGCTTCAGTTTCAGTTTGTGTGCAAATATAGAAATGAGCACACATTTTGATTTGTTTCTATTGCTTTTGAACATATCTGAATGTTTAAAACTGCAGACGAATATTTGCACAATTTGTAAGTTATGTATTTGTAATATGCATGTATGTCCAGTCATTCCTGATGCAATTTAAGTTTCCCCACTGAGTAATTTTATGGATACAAGTCAAATCAGTATTTTTTGTTCCTTTCAGATCCTGTGCTGACTAACCAGATTTCCGTCGGTGAAACATCCAACCGAGTCACCGTCATAACCGCAGGCAGCCATGCTAGGTTTGATATCCACCAGGCCAGGAGCTTGTCAGAAGAAGATGACGGACAAAATGCCTGAAGACGTGTCGGGAGCTCTGCTCACTTCAGTCTTACAGATCAGTCACTTAAGTGTGGCAGACTTTTACTCATTTGTGCCGAGATTCACTAGAATTGCACAAATATGTTCTGTGATTTCAGAAATCATTCACATTCACGGCATGAATATACCTCAGATATAATTACGTCAGGCTTTGTTAACTTGTACGCTTTCCTATGGGAGCTTGGTAGCTCTCAGTCATCCCTACATGTACCTGGCTCCCATAGAATATTCGCACACATGTAAACAGAGCGCGACATCATTATATCTTAGATCTACTAACCCTAACTCCCTAGGGGGTGTGCAAAATCATATTGAAATTGGAGGATTCAGGACTGTTAGGGCTATAAGAACATTTACAGAGCTTTATAGCCTATTGTTTCAGATTCTGAGGGATAGGATATTTTACACATAAATCTCAAGAAGTGTTGTCAATTTGAATACTGTATGCTTACAAATTTGAATTTTTAGAACTACATGTATTTCAGGTTTGACTCCCCCTATGACTTATCCCTACAAACAAAATGCACAGCATCAGCTGCAGTAACACACTCACAGTTTTGCTCATACATGACCACAGCCTAAAGTAAATATATTTTTACAACTGTGCATTTGGGGATTTTACAGCTGTGGCTTTTATGGTTGTTTTTATATCTTTATATCTTCTATGGGCTGTTTACTTTTTATATCCTAATAAATAAATATCAAGGCTAGTATTTAAGCACAGTGTTATTATTTTAATAGCCTTATTATTCATTTGACCCTTATTTTTTTAGGTAGTAAAACGGGTGTATTGTAAATAAAATGCAGTAGGTATTTGAATTCAGGCCTATGAACTATTTGGAATGCACCAAATAAACCGATTTTACTTTGAGTGAAAACAAATTTCTCAAAGTAAGTTTTTTGACTTTTTCAAATAGTTGTTTCAGAAAATTTAATGGAATTCAATCAAAGAACCATGTGGGGATAAAAAAAAGGACTTTCTATTGTAAATTTTAAGAAGGCGCTAGTCTAGAGGGGAAATACTTATTTTTGTAGCCCCAGCCGAAAAGTAAAACATCAAAGTGTGACACACTTGTACTAAAGAACGGTGAAAACTGACATCATATGTATTAAACGATATGTTTCGTTTTTAATAGTCATACTGTTATCATTATATTGTTATGGCTGATATAAATGTAGAAATTTCCATTGATTCAGCTGAACTGAACAGAAACAAAAAGATAAAATTCACATTTAATGCTAGCTAATCAAGTAAAAGACAAAAACGTGTTTTTTTTAATTAGCAAGTCAGATGGAAATTCAAGAAAGTTATGTGCAACATCATGTCAGTATCAAGTTTACAGGGTATTGATTTTAAAGTCAACATTCCTTGTAATTTTTTTGGGCAAAATTATCTCAAAATTATCCTCAGATGTTCTTACCGCTATTGACGTCAACTTTTTACCAAAGCGTAGTAGCACGTCTCAATATCATTGATTAAACTTCACAGTGTGCTTGATTTTGCTAAATTCTATACATGTATGTATGTAATTAGAATTTATTATGTGTTGTGTTAAAAAAAAACAGTATTACAACATTTTTTTGTAAAAAGAAGCTTAAAGCGACTTGGCACTGCAAGTTAATTTTTTTTCAATTGAATTTTTGTTTTTGCATCACTGAAGTCTGTCAAATTAGTTTTTTTTTTAAATAATTGAAGCAAAATATCAGTTGCGAACTCCTCTTTTGTGAGATGAATGCACAGAAAGGCTGTTTCAACAACAAAAGATATACCTTTGAGACTTAGTGTCAGAGTAGATCATTTGCATCTATCCAAAAAGTAATCGACCAAATTATTGTTATAAAGCTTACTTGGTTTAATTAAAGATAGTAAAATAATCCCTGTGAAATTATTCCTTCTGGCATGCTGTCATTTTGAAGAAAACAATAAAAGAAGGTCATTCCCAAAGATGTGTCAAGTGACAGATTTTTGGAAATTTCTATTGGCAGTTAGTTTGTAATTGGGCGAATCCATGAATGGGTGCAAACACATTGACCCGATGCACACGTACGCAGTTGCAAATTATTTGCGAGAATTGTCGGTTCAGTGTGTGAGATCCCGTAGCAATAATTGGCTGAATGAGAATAACGTCCCGAATGCTGATTTCGGGATTGTGTCCTGACTCAGCAACTTTTGAATTAAAATCAAGATCCACAATGATGTGTTTTCTGGTTACTTGTTAAACACCCATCTTTAGATTTTTAGCACTTCTGTTGCTTCGAATGAAAAAAAAATGCACAAGTGACAAATGGTCTACTCTACCTTTAAAGGGAATATACATCATTTGCTTTTGCTGTAATTTTCAGAAATGGATGGAATTGGGGGGTTAGAGATATATAGCAAATATAGTTACACTGACTTTTTTGAGGTTTTGGGTTCGAAAATGCTATAAAAACCAAGAAAAACAATCATTTTCCTGTAGTCTGGTTCCCTGACTCCATATAAGAAAAACAGAGCAGTTTACATACATTGGGGAATTGTAAGGTCAGGGAACCAGTCTAGCTGGCTTGTACGCGTTCATAGGTGTGTAATCGATTGCAAACAAGTGCGATGGTCAATTGGGGCCAGTATTTGTAAAAGAAGCCAGTTTTTGCCAACGCGTTGGAAATTGATACAAAAATACCACTTTTCTTGAAAATGACAGTATACCAGGTGCCATGATTTACAGGATGCTTTACACTGCCATTCACTAACAGTCCAGCAAGGTATTTCAAAATGATTTGGTAGTTTTATTTTTTGATGTTTGCAAATGTTGTATTTTCCCTTTAAATCAAGCTAATGAATGCAAAAAACAAATCCTATCCATAAGAGCACCATAGTGTATTGAATAATTATTTACAATTATACATATGCCCAGCTTCTAGAATTTAGGAACCTCAAACAAACAAGTTTTTGAAAGGAATGAATTAGAAAAGAAAAGGCTGTTCAAAAAAGATGTGAACAAAAGAGGACCAGACAATAGAATTTTTAAATCCTTACAGGATTTTTCAAGTCTGCATTTCAATCAATATTCAAGCACATTTTCATGTGCATCATTGCCGCATGCACAACAAAACTACCGAGTACCGATTCGTAATAAAAAGTAAGTCACTGTGAAATCCAATTTGGCAAAACTACACACACAAAATAAAATTATAATTATAAGTAGTATGGCTTTCTGGTTCTTTTTTTTTAAGGAAGGAAACTTTTCTTAAAGTTAACTCTCCTTCTTTGGCTGGCAATCAGATTAAATCAAGTGACTGGTGTTAACAGTTGCCTGCTCATTGCCTTCATAAAGCAAGATTGACTGGCTGTGATTGCTATGAAACCCGATATAGCTATGCTTTGACTGTGTGAGATTGATAAGCCAGCTGTGCCTACCAGTCACCTGCTTTTGTCTGTTGATGGAATATGACTAGTCACGGTGCCTGTTGAAATATAATCTGACTGTTTGTGACTATGTAAAAGGCATGGCAGGGAACAGAATTCAATATTTGACTGTCTGTGACTGATCAAACAAAAGGAGGGTGAAAAGCCGTCAAAAATCACAGACAATTGTGACACAAACAAAAATGCCTATTCAACTTTTTGTGCCTTGCGCTTTGGTTTCCCCTTTTTCCCGGTACCCTGTTTTGAGTGGTGTCCCGATGCCGCATTGTTGGCTACGTCCGTTTCCACTGCGGTGGTCAGCTGCATGATCTGGAAGACGATTAGGAAGAGAAGAAAGTGGGCGCAGGCGTAGAACGAGACGAGAACGGCAAAAAGGTCAGGATATCTGGCCGGTGGCTGAACCGTAACGCTGGCAACGCTGAGGATGGCGGCTCCTAGTATTGAGCACAAAAACTGCGGACGGAACATTGAAACACATGCCATGTCAATTTTTATCAGCCATTTTGAGAAATGGTGGACACAATACGAGGGCGCTATTTGATTTTGGCGAATTCTGGTTAATACAAGAGATGGAGGTTAATGACCAAACAAAATGGCGGCCTCTAATGAGCCAGTTCGGTATTTTAACTGCGCATGCTCACAATGGTTTGCCACATGGTACCATCTACAGTTGCAGGTCCCAATTCCACTTCCAGTCACTTTTGTATATTGTAACCCTCCCCCCCCCCAAAAAAAAAGTTGTTGACAGTATCTTACCAAAAGTTTGAATTTGGCTGACTTTTCCCTGAATGACATCTTGGCCACAGTGAGGAACATGATGCAAAGGATAAGGTAGGGCAGGAGGAGTTGATCCTTGATAAGAAGGGGTAGCATACTGCAAGAAAAGAAGTGCAGAAAAAAGCAAGCCATAGTTAAGCCAGTGCTACTGAAATGACTTTTTTTTACCAAATTGCAAATCCAATCAATCAATCATTCAATTTCTTTCTGGTAACGACTCCCAACTATTAAACTGACAGTGACAAAAAATTGACACATTATTGGAAATAAAATTTAGAAAATATGTCTGTCCACTATGGAAGACGTTAGCTTAAACATGCATATTCAATAGTGGTTTTGCCCATCATAGACAATTTTAATGAACACTGTATACTTGGTGTTATCCCCAGTGATAGTGAGAAAAAAATTCAAAAACTACTCGGGTGGGACTCGAACCAACAACCTCCTGCATTCTAGTGCAGACGTCCTACCACTCAACCACCGAGCTTGCCGGGGTCGGCTGTTTGCTTCAAATCGTAAATAGCAATGGGTACTGCAACCAAACTAGTCATAAGTCTATCTAATGAATTAAGTTAATGAATTGTGTACTCGGTGTTTTCTCGATTGATTGTGACAAAAAAATTGCAAACTTCTCAGGTGGAACTCAAACCTACGACCTCCTGCTTACTAGTGTAGATGTCTTAGCAATCAACTACCGAGCTTGCCGGGGGAGGCTGGCTGCTTTAAATCTGATTAAGCAGTGAGTACCGGAAATTGTTCTTGCAAAGTACTCTTACAACCTTGAGTATGCAGTGTTTATTAAATACGTCGGTGATGGGTAAAACCCAATATATTCACCCGATGCAAATTCCATCTTTTAAACATGCATGCAGCTCACAACAACTATTTATACTGGTACTTATACTTAATGATCATAGTTGTTATACTGACCTGAATGTTGATATGAGTAGAAACCAGGAACAAAGGAGCGGATGACGATCAAGTAGACAACAAACAGGTCTGGGAATGGGAAACAAAAGACAATGAAATCCACTTTGAAGAAAAGAAGGCCAAAAACAAAAAGTCTCCGGTTTCTGGTATGGAGCTTGCCCAAAAAGTGGTGCGGCGACCGGCTTTTTTTTTTTTTACCTGATTTTTTTTGCTTCAAATGTCGGCTGATGACTGCAAATGGTGCCCGACTAAACTTAGTGCAAATATATGGGAGTCCAGAGAGGCCACATAAAGCTTATTCTCGATCATAACCCCATCCAAAAACACGTTAAAATTGTGCAGCAGCAGGATTCCAGTCAAACCAGTGAGTTTGGCGGTTTTGAGACATCATCTTTCATTGAATAAAAAACTTTTTCATTTTGCCGACGCGCATGGCAGAAACCGGAGACTTTTTTGGGGGGGCCTAACACAATAAGCTTTAATAAGGGAATAAATACATGTATGTGCTTGATCAGTTTTAAACAAGAACGTTTAAAACCTAGCCGACTTTAAACGTACTTGTTTAAAACCAGCCAAGTACACATTTATTCCCATTCATAAATACACATTCGGTCAAAATGTCAAAATACAATGTAAGTCAAAAATTGACAAAATTCCAACAAAGTACCACAGATTCTGTTCAACAATTTTATTGCATGTTATGTGAAACACCCCTCTGGCCATATCTATAGTATGTACCTTGCATGCGTAGTGCTAAAAATCTCCTTATATATAGATTAGCACACGCACGGTGCATAATGTGCAATGTGGCGCAGAACGCAGCTGTGTTTGACCGGCGGTTTAAAACAACCCATGTGACGGGACAAATAGAAATCGGAAAACTGTCTCCATGGTCTCAGGTATTTAGGAACATGAATTTATATCTGAATAGTGTCTGGTATCCCCATGTTATTTTATTACCCTTGCTCATTCAACTTTGCAGAATACCCGCAGACTATACTCTTTTCCAATACAACTTGACACATCAGTCTGCGATGTGATGAAAGATTTGAAAAAAGTTGATGTATAAATGATAGTGCTTGGGCTTTGCAAAACTTGGTGTTGCAATTTGGGTGGTTGGCAACAAAACTTAGTGTTGCAATTTGGGTGGTTGGCAACAAACTTTGGTGTTGCAATTTGGGTGGTTGGCAACAAAATTTGGTGTTGCAATTTGGGTGGTTGGCAACAAAACTTGGTGTTGCAATTTGGGTGGTTGGTTGGGTGGTTGGCAACAAAATTTGGTGTTGCTATTTGGGTGGTTGGCAACAAAACTTGGTGTTGCAATGTGGGTGGTTGGCAACAAAATTTGGTGTTGCAATTTGGGTGGTTGGCAACAAAATTTGGTGTTGCAATTTGGGTGGTTGGCATGACAAAAAAAAGCTGGATACTCACAAAGCAACAAGAAGGATGCTCTTCTCGTGAACTTGATAGGAAAACAGGAAGAATACTAAAGAACTATTAATCTGTGGGGGAAAAAACAAAATACATGTAAACAACATCTTAAGGAAGTAACTACCAAGAAATAAAAAGCAACCAAAAATTCAACTAACTTTTCAGTGGAGGAAGAACACCCTAAAATATGAAAACTGTTCATGGATATTACTTGATATGTTTCTAATATTTTGGAACCACGAACTTAAACAAAATTAATAAAAAGACTAAAACCAGCAGCACATTCGATTTATATTTTGATACGTATTGAAATATTTATGGCAAATTCTTCATATCATTCTTGATTTCTCTAACTTGAAAACTCAAAATCTAATGAACAATGTTTATGAAAACCTAATACTTGAACATTTCAAATAAGAAAACTTGTTATGCAATGAAGAAAATAAGACAGCAAAATTACTTCACATAATGGAGGAACAAGCTTAGCACCAAAAGCACAAAAGTCAGTTTCTTTCAATGTAAAATTGAAATGAAATCAGTTTCCCCCATAACTAACAAGGTGAATTTTCAACTTTGCAAGTCAAACAGAAAGAAAAGAAAATGACCTAGAATATCTTACCTCACCTAGCATTTTACTTACCAAGGCGTAGTGGAATTTTAATATACTGTTTGCTGATCTAGTGCCGGCCCTTAACAGGTCAATAGACAGTGGTAGTAAGCATACACCGTTGGTTGCTAAGCAGAGTTTGACCAATGCATCCTGGGATAGATGTTCCTTTATTTTAACAAGGACGTTGATGCTGCACCAGAAGTTAGCTACTTTATCCTGTAGGTCAAAACCAAGGGTGGAATAGGGTCATTAACTAACCCTCCCTCTCCAGTAATTTCAACAAGGCCAGCCCAGCAGTCAAAATAAATGAAGTGACTGTACTGCATTCAACAGTTGAGTGCTCACTGCCTTCATAAAGCAGGATTGACTGGCTGTGATTGTTATGAAAATTGATGTACAAGTAGCTGTGCTTTGATTGTAGGAGATTGATAAGCCAGCTGTGCCTACCAGTCACCTGCTTTTGTCTGTTGATGGAATTTGACTGTCACAGTGCCTACAAGAAATATGATCTGACTGTTGGTGACTAGCCTGTGTAAAAGGCATGGCAGGGGAACAGGATTGAATTTGTGCCTGTCTGTGACTGATCAAACAAAAAGGGGGGAATCAAAAGAGTCTGATAACCTTGGTCCAATATCAGTGAGTTACAATGCACAGACTTTTGCTAAATACAGAAAACTGCTTGGCAAAAACAGATTTTATTAGCAAATAAATTCACACAATGTGTGTTGCTTGTAACTGGCTCTTGTCCTTAATTTGCTTATCACATAAAGAAGCTAAGCAATATCACAGTGGTGGATTTTGGAAGGTTCTTTGCAAAATACTGAGCAATAATTGACTAAGTTTTTAAACATCTTGTAAAAGCTAACCAGTTTGATGGCATATATCCAAAACCCCATCCCATCCCACCCCTGCCCCAACCCCCTCAAAAACAAAAACAAAGAAACAAAAAAGAAGTAGAGTTTGTAGGAACAAACACACTGTGTTGGGCTATCATGTTCGGTTTGATGGCAAGAAAAAAGTTTCACAGGCACATGTTTGTTTTCGAGACCACTTTCAAATTACAAGTCACTTCCGATTTCAACCGGAAGAAAGGGTTATGTGATTTTGCATGTAAAATCACCGTAAATGAAGACCCTGGATTATTCTATCAATTCCTGTAAAAATCAAAATCAGATCTCTCACAGCTGATTTTATATTGATTTTCAAAGATTGAATCTAGAAATCTTTGAGTGCTTGTAATGTGATACTTGATGACGTCGTTGTGACGTCATTACCAGACAGAATGCTCGAGAGCTATATTAACTGTGCTATTTGAAGTAAAATCAAGATTATATCTCTAAGGCCAAAAAAAAAAAGTCTCCGGTTTCTGGTATGCGCGCGCGTTGCCGTAGCCATGCGCGTCGGCAAAATGAAAAAGTTTTTTTTTTCAATGAAAGATGATGTCTCAAAACCGCCAAACTCACTGGTTTGACTGGAATCCTGCTGCTGCACAATTTTAACGTGTTTTTAGATTGGGTTATGGTCGAGAATAAGCTTTATGTGGCCTCTCTGGACTCCCACATATTTGCACTAAGTTTAGTCGGGCACCATTTGCAGTCATCAGCCGACATTTGAAGCAAAAAAAAATCAGGTAAAAAAACCAAAAATGCCGCATTTTTGGGCAAGCTCCATACCAGAAACCGGAGACTTTTTTTTTTTGGCCTAAGGGTTGCTTTTCTGGAATTTTCAAAGGAAAAGAGGTCTTTTCATTATTAGTTCCAGCCTGATGACGTCATAATCACCAATAACAACAATAGCATTAATTTAATACACACAAAAAACAATATGGATATCTTTGGACGTAACTTGCCTCAAACAGTCCTCTGTCGAAGGGGAAGAGCCTACGTAGCACCTGCAAGGAGACTTCCACGTCTGTTAAGAACGGCAGCCAGCACAGAGCAAAGGTAGCAATCACAACCACACCGATCTGGACTAGCTTCCAGAACCGATACAGCAAAGGGAGCCTGGTCTCCCTGAAAGTTTGAAACGAGTTTAGAGAATATGAATTACTGACCAAAAAATTAATTTTAATCTCAAAAGAGTAGGTCGAGCACTGGAGAATTGGTAAGGAAAGAGCAAGGAAGTACAGTTGACTATGCTCAGAACACATGATAAAATCAAATTGTGGATGTGCTTGTGGGGTGAAACGCTTAAGACGTCTTGTCAATGGCAAACAGTATGCCATACTTTTGTATCAAGAATGCTGGTGGATTTAAAAAAATAAAATTCACATGACCTTGCAAAACACTGACCTAAAAAGAACTTGCACTAACATGCTTAAAATGAATTTTTCAAATAAACCACACAGGGAAATTGATTTGGTGCAGTGTAATAACTGTTAAAAGTTGATCAAAAGAAATTGGACCGAGGTGGCAGGTTCAAACCCTGCTCTAGTCAATTTCTTTTAGTGTTTTCCCTGGCTACATGACGTTTACAGGTTTATGGCTTCTGTCTAGCACCCCTTGAACAAAGACATTGATAAAATGGGAAATGGCCAGCATAGAGCTAGATAGCTCAGTTGGTGGGGCACTGGAACAGCAATCCAGAAGTTGCAGGTTCCAACTCTGCTCTAGTCAATTTCTTTGGGCGTGATCCCTGGCTACATGACATTAACGGGGTTTACGGCTTCTGATATGACTAGCACCCCTTGAACAAAGACATTGACAAATTGGGGAACCGCCAGCACAGGGCTGGATAGTTCAGTTGGTAAAACACCGAAATGGCAATCCCGAGGTTGCAGGTTCCAACCCCTCTCCAGTAAATTACTCGTTCAACTTTTTTTCATAAGATGTTTAAAATGATACGGTGAACAACTTGTGTCACCGACTTTTAAATTATTCGCACCTAAGCATGAAAAACAAGTGGACACAAAAATGAGCAAACATACCAAATACATCTTGCCAGCAAACAGCAGAAGAAAGGCAGGGCGTGGTACAGTTCCATCTGCTTGTAGTTCAGAGCCAAGACGAAGGCGATTGACCCCAGGAGGTCATGATTGGTTGCCAGCGCAACCACAGCCCACAATGCAAAGCCAAGGCTAGCACAGTTATATCTTTACACCGATGTGAAGGAAAAAACCTAAATCTTTGAATTTCTGCCTAGGGAAATAGTCGTCAGAAGTCATATGCCATGAGGATCATACCAACACTTTGTATGCAAATCATGCAGTTTCAATGTGGAATTCATGCAGACAGAAGGTCATTTTTGACTGTTATAACCTCACATATGAACATGAACCTCACACATGAACCTCACACATGAACCTCACACATGAACCTCACACATGAACCTCACACATGAACCTCACACATGAACCTCACATGTCACAAGTTGATTTCTGAACCTTCAACCTTCACACTGAGAAGTAAGGTAAAGGGGACAAACCTGTGTTCACAGGAACAGAGTGCCCATCTCTCTTTCGTTAGCGATTGGGCCAGACTCATATATGCTGCTGTGGGGGGATCGCCACACCTCCTCCACAGCGAGTCTAATTACCTTGCCAGCATTGAATAATGCTGGTACCCATTTAACACCTGGGTTGAGAGGAGTAATTGTGGTAAAGCGCCTTACTCAAGGGCACAACATGCATGGCCACGGCGGGGCTCGAACCCACAACCTCACGATCATGAATCCTGTGCTCTACCGCTAGACCACACGTGACCACATGTGTGGTTAACTGAGAAGTCAACTAATCCTTCTACTTAGAATTGAAGCTGACATAAAATTGAAGCACAGGAGACATGGAATTTGGTACAAGGCAAGCTAAAAGGTAGTCTATGTTATTCAGCAGGCACCTTCTATCGGGTTTTCCGTAACCCATTGTTGTATTAGAAAAATATGGCAGCCAAATTGACCGAACTGACGTCACAATTTCTAAAGCCGACTCCGATTGACTTGCGTGCAGAGTCGCAGAGAATTTGTACTGCTCACATATATAAGACGTTGGTCATATTTGTTACGGAGAGGGTTATATCGGTTACGGAGAGGGTCCTGTTTGACAACCGTTGTTACTCAGACTACCTAAAAGGCAGTCATACATGTACAAAAGCGGGTGGTGCTTCGACCAAGGCTTTGACATCCCTCTATCGTTCACTTGTTTTGCCCGTACTGGAATACGGGTTGCCAGCTTGGTCCCCATACACAGCATCCAATGCAGCCAAACTTGAGAGAGTGCAGAGAAGGGCAAGTAGAATGTGCCTCAAACAGCCCAAAGGTGCAATGTCATATGAAGACAGATTGCATGCTTTGAATTGGATGACTCTAGATTCACGTAGACAGAAGCACATAGTTTCCTTCACAGTTAAAGTCCTGTTTAACTTAGTTGACTGCCAATCAGTGAAGGCCAACACAGTAGTGAACACTCGTCACCAGGATTGTCTCACATTTAGTCACCACTATGCTAGAACTCAAACCCTGAAAAACACACCTAGTCATGTCTTCCCCCGAATCTGGAGTAGTTTGCCATCGCATGTAAGGGACTCTCTATTAATTGATTCATTCACACTGTTTAACACCCGATTATCCGCCCATTATTATGAGTGTTAAAACCTTGAGCTGGAAATAGCCCCCCCCCCCCAAGTGTTTAACTCTTTTGATCTATTTTAATCTTTTTAAAGTAATTTCATGTGTATATTTTTCCACTGTAAACTGCCATCATTCTTTTATTTCATTGTTATTTTATTTTATATTATTTTCCTCTTTTGTGGTTAAGTTTATTTATTCATTTATTTATGTCTGAAATAATGTTGGTTTTCAGGCCTATTTTTCCGGTTGCTTATCATTTATTATTACTCGTATTTATTTTGTTATTGATACTTTTGTTGTTGCTTTTCTTGTTCATTGGATGGATATTTCTTTTTGACGTAGTTTTTCTCGCATGTCGACTGTATTTTTTACTTTTCTCTATCAGGTTTTTATTGCTTATTATTTATTTTTTATTTCATTTTAAATTATTTTGTTTACTGTATCAATCTTTCGTTCTGTGTTTTTATGTTGTAGTGTGGTTGTTGTTGTCTTGTCTTGTCGTGTTTGTTTGTTTGTTTTTTGTTTTGTTTCGTCTTGTCTTGTCTTGTTTCGTTTTGTCTTGTCTTGTCTTGTCTCTTGTCTTGTCTCTTGTCTTGACTTGTTTTGTTACATTTTGTTAAGTCTTATCCTGTCTTGTTTTGTTTCTTTGTTTGTTGGGGTGTTTGTTTGTTTGTTAGTTTTGTTTTGGCTTGTTTGTCTGTTTTTCCCCAGTCTTGTATAATCTGCAGTTGTTAGGTTTTTATGCCAGCTATTCTTGCCTTTGAGAAAACTGTTGTAACTGTAATCTTTTAAATCTAATTATCTTTGTAAGTATTAATTTTAAGGCGGTGTTATTTTTCATTGAATTTTATACCTAATTTTTAATATATTTTGTATGTTACATGTACCATTCAAGTTAGGATTGACAGGCTTTCGAGTCACAGTGTTTTATTATACTTTTGTCAATCCTGGCCAGCTTGGATTGGATTGTTTTTGTTTAGTTTTTTGTTTACTTTTGTGAATTGCTTGTTGTACCTTGTAATTTGGCCGAATAAATAATAATAATAATAATAATTTCAGTTTGTTACAAAACTCCACCTAGGATGCTTTATAAATGTGTAGTGATCAGTATAAATGACATATCTTAAAATTCATAAAAATAATCTGGAAGCAGCAAAGGTTTATTGAACGACAAAATAACAGCAGGGATTGTTGGAAGGACTAATTTGCTGTCGGTGACCAATTTTGAACTCGGTGTCAAAAATGGATAAAAACAAACAAAGGATACTGGAAGTGGCCATGGTCGATGATAATCAGTCCGGGGTACAGCAGGAAGGCAGCTGCAGTCTTGAGTTGGTTGACATCTGACTGGTGAGGCAGGGCCCAGACGCAGAATGCCACGACCGCCGGGATGTACAGTAAGACGTCTACGGCTAAGACTGAAGGGAGGAGGGCAAAAAGTATGGTCCACAGTAAGGACGCGTCTGAATTGGGCATTTTGTGGTGATGGCTATGACTTTCACCATTGATGGTACATTGTAAATAGCCATAGCCATAATCAGACAGCCTCAAGCAACTTGTCAAGGATGGAGCTTTTCAAATGTCACTGAAAATGTTTCAGGAAAAAAAGAAAAGAACAAATCAAACTGGGAGACAGAATGAGGGAGATGATGTACAGAGGAATACAAGGAGAGATATACTTCGGAAGGGGATACACATTACCTGAGTACCTCATAAAAAGTTTGTGTTCGTAGCTCTCATATCCTCGGGAAGAATTCAATGCTACCCAGTCCGGGTCTGTCTCGTTGGCACTGTCAAGACAAAAAAAAAAAATAAGAATGGAAAACAGTGGATAAGAGACTTATTCCTCTTGCCTTTACCCAATCTGTATTTATGATTTTTGGATTATGCTCCCCTGATGTAATGCAGCCAGTCCATCCATGGCATGGTAATTTCCGCAATAGGAGTGAGGCATTCCTAGTATTCCTATCTCGGGCAAGATACAGCGTGCAAGGTATGCGCAGAATTTCTTGGGTCCGTGCGCCAAAATTTCTGAGACTGGATTTGAATCATCGGTGCCTTTAATACTGCCGAGGCTGTGCTTGCCATGGACGGCTGCCTAGGGGAACAATCTAAATCCAATGAAGGACTATGACTAGTCTCCTAACACCTGACCTTCTCAACAGACAAATTTAAAAAAAAAAAATCGAGGTTAAGGCTCTCAGTGCTTAACTACGGAAGACAGATAGTGCCACTCAATGAGTGTGAATATATTTTTTTGGTGCGTGTGAAAATATTTTTTTGTACAGCGGCCGCCACTTATTATTACAAAAAAATATTTTGCCGCCACATAAAAAAGTGTGAACATATTTTCTTTGTACGTGTGAAAATATTTTTTTGTACAGCGGCCGCCACTTATTATGAGGACTTATGTGGCAGCCGCCACTTATTATCTGGCAATGTCTGGCGGCCGCCACAAAATAAGTGGCGGCCGCTGTACAAAAAAATATTTTCACAAGCACCAAAAAAATATATTCACACTCATTGAGTGGCACTATCCGTCTACCGTACTTAACCAATGCACAACAATGGGGGTTACATTATTTCTTTTTCTAATCCAAATCTATCATTGGTTTGGACACTACATGTAGGGCTGTACTACCGAATATACCAAATATCCAAACATTCAATTGTCCACAAAATATCCAAACAACATGTTACCAAATAAAATATTCAAACAAAAATGAGTCTTCTTGAGAAGATTACACGTCCATGATGTAATTTAAGCCGTATAAGTTTAGTGGTTTTGTTTGTCAAATGCCACATTTTTTAAAGACACCCATTTTATAAAGAGCTTCTGTGAGGAATATTATATAGCCCTAATGTTCATCTTTAAAATCTGTCAAAATCAGCTTGTCCTATCGCTATATCAATAGGCCTACATGTACATGATATTCACATACTGCAATCTTCAAATATTTGATCGAATCCGAGTTTCAATAACTGAGTACACGTACATGTATTAAATTATTTAATAATGCAAAGCACTACTTCAAAAAAGTACAATGTAATTTCCCACTGGAGCATGGACTGAGAAACTACTCACATTACACCGCACAGCCAGCTGTGATAGGCAGTGAGCGGCGGGTAGTCCAGCCCCCAATACAACAGGTCATTCTCTGTGCTGTTGGAGTACCTGAAAAGCAAGTCATGACCACAAACATTTAGATGGGCAAAAATGGACTGATCAGAAAATTGGAAATTTGGAGAATGTAATACAATGGTTATTCAAGTGAACTACACTGTACCCACTATTAATTGAAATACATGTATAACACCTTCTTTGCACAATAGTAAGGGACTCATTACTACTTGTATACAGCCAAGCTTTCTTTAACTGACATCAGGCTTTATGCCCCAACTTGTGTTTCTTCTTTTCTCAAGTGGTTTTGATAGAGTACATGTACCAATGGTCTAGAACTAGAAGTGTCTATAAAAAAAAAGAGGAGTGGGGGAATTTTTAAAAACAAACATTTTTGAGATCAGTGAATGACTGATAATTTGAAGTCTGAGCATGGAGAAATACATGTAAAACACTTTTTTCTCCATGGTCTGAGTAATTAGGACCATGGAGAAATAAAACACATTTTGCCTTAAACTTTTGAATGTGATTTTTTTTTATAAATGACACTGGAATTGTCAAGTTCTAGTTACTCGGACTTAATCAGTTGAACATGTAGAACTACATATGTACATGTACAATGTTCATGTACATGTATGCAGAGTTTTACCGAACAATGATTACCATTGTTTGATGGGCAGGTTTGTGGTGATTTCCATCCAGTGCCTCTGTGCTTCATAATCTCCAAACATAGGCGGCTTGCCTGCACCTTTAAAAATGACAAAGACGAGATAAAATCAGATTATGACGAAAAGACCCTTTGCTTCAGAGAGTGTTTACACGTATTATGGAGTACAAAAGTGATACTTAATGCACACAAAAATTGGTAGGCCTACATGTACACGTATGTAGGTTCACCACTTCGGGCCAAGACTGTCTTTGACAAAAATTTTGATTTCACAAAAGGCAAAATTTTCAAGCCATATTCTGATTTACAGCCAAATGCCACAAATATACAGGTAGGCCTACTTATTCGTAGCTCAACTGAGTGGAGCGTTGAAGTACCGTACCCTCCATGCTAGTACGGAGTCGATGGGGAAACGTAGTTCAACGCTCCACTCAGTCATTTCAGTAGAGCTAACTGATTCGCAAGAGTTATTTCAACAGTATTTGTACGATATTTCTGCTGAAGAAACCAGTCATGTGTTTCAATACTCCTAAATCTGTGCACAAGTGGAATGTAAATTGTACAATAGGCCGTGCACAACGGCCAATTCAAGATCACCACACGGTCACATGACGGTCTACCGCCACAGACTTCACTGACTTTGTCATGTTTGTGAGTGTGTACAAAAGACACAAGCATGACAAGGGATTAGCTTGTTTAGACGTCACCCGGAGGAATTTCTTGACATCTTAACCTGTGATGTCAGCCGCGCCTGTGTATATAAACAGCCTGTGCGTGTTATCACGTCCTCCGGCGCGAACAACATTTTGCGGGTAAATTATCACGAAATAGATGCAGGAACATAAATCGAAGGAACGTTTTGCTCGAACCTGAATATGGGTTTAAAGAAACAGCCCATCGCACTGCAACTGCAACCAACACCAAACAAGCAGTCAACGCTAGTCTATTCTCCATTGCTATTCGAAATCGCTATCTAAAATCGGCCAATATTGGCTGAAAATACGTCAAGGCTGTTGAGTTTTTCAACCACCGGTGTCCTTTGAGTTATTACATCTGGTGCCCGCCGCGCGCGCCTTTTTACTTTACTATACTTGAATTAATACAGTGGTGAATATTGCGTGAACCATGCTATTGGAAGTTACATCCTCGTACTCAACCCTTCGCAATTACTCTGTGCACAGACGTCACAAACTTTGCCTCTGATAACAAGGTTGCACTTTCGGCAAAAATAGAAAATAGAAAAATGGCGCACGTCCAAAAAACAGTGTCAGGTAAGTGGAAATTTCCAGACGAAATTCATAAAAATACCACTCTTAATATGGAATTTTAATAGTCAACCATGTTTGCTTTATTAGTTGTTGGTATGAAATTTCTATTGTCTTGTTGGTTTTTCGTCAGATTTGTCTAAAGATGAGACTGAAGTGAGTGCAGGCGGTCAGAACGGTGAGATTGCTTTTCATTGTTTTGAATGGACAAAAATCATGATGGAATATCGAATGAGCAGATTCAGTTGACATTTCATTTGACATGACTTTATCATGTTTATGATCCCATGTGTTGAAGTGGAACATGTTGTTTTCCAAACACTCACAAATTCACTGATGGTTTGTTAATGATTGTGTTAGCCTATGGTCATTTGTTTATACATGTGAAAGAATTGAGCCTCAATCATGTCAATGAGCTACAATTTTAGGGATAAAACTTTGGGTAATCTTAATAATAGGACACCTCTATATTTTTACGAGTTCTGTTCAAAACTGACTTTTGCAGATGACTGTCCAGTACCAAGGTGACTTTTGCAGGCTAAAGCAGTCTTTTTTCTTCAGATAAACTCATGTTAGTTGTAATTTTGGAAGCACTTTCAAAGAAAATGTGACTTTCCTACCTTTTTTTGCAGTTCGCCATCTCTTGCTTTTTAATATAGGCCTAGGCAGCTAGGCCTTTTTTCTGTTTGTCATCATCGTCTTTAATCCCTCGTAAATCAAAGTCCTGCCCTCTTTCCACAAAATTAAAACCTGATATTCAAGAAGGTGTCATTGCCAACTGTTAAAATGTGTCAAGAAATATTAGAATGTCACTTTTGAGTGTCATTTAGTCAGCTGTTTTGGTGAGTCCTTATATAGGAACGGGGTCCTAAAAGTAAGGATTACCAAACTTTGACTGTTTCTATTCATTGACTCATACATGTCATACTGTTTCTTCTATATTGTTTTTTCCATTTTTGAAAAATCCCTGAGGTGAGCCCCTACATGTTTATATTGGAAAAATCAGTCTAAGTTGCTGAAATTTTCATAATTTTTTTTGGGACTTGATCAAGAGACGTATGAAAATTATGATTACGATCAATAACATTTGAAAATCTCCCCGTATGCATCTTCCAACAGGACCACACGGCAACATAGAAAAATGTTGTGCATTGTTGTGACTGATGCACAGATCGTTGCGTGCTGGTTTGTGTGCGGTCCCTTTACCCAGGGAAGATTGCAGCATTTATCAAGTTTGATACCCAGCTCCATTTTTTCAGTTGGCTAATTTTTTTAATTTTTTTTTTACATTTTACAGTGACTTTTTTTTTTCTAGATTAACACTACGTTTTTATCATTTTCAACAGCATCTGTAGGCCTACATTGAAATAAAAATGTGACATTTTTATTCCTTTTAAGTGTAAGATCTATCATCTAGCCTATATACATTTCCATCAACATCATGTACATGTAGGTCAATTTTTTGAAGATTCAACTTTGTTTTAACCCATTCACACAACAGGTGCGGGACAAATGAGTCACACCCTCCTAATTTTACACAAATTCTATTGCACACTGTTTGTGTTACATGCATGTACCATATGAGAAAGAATGTACATGAAGTGTGCTGACTTTTGTATTATCATGCCACGTTTTAGAATCTTGGTTGACATTTTTATTATGAAAAAAGCAAATAAACATTAAAAATATGTCATTAGGAAGCTGCATTCTAATCCTCTTTCATATGAAAAGATTCTCAGAGTTGTCTCCTGTGGCATTTTTGAATTCCATCACATGAAAAAGATTGTCTTTCTCGATTGTTTTTTTCCTAGCAATGCTAAAGTAATTCCCTTTTGAATGAGGCATTGACCCCCCCCCAAAAAAAAAACCAGCCCATGTTTAGTTATTGAACTATAATAAAAAGTTTGAAATACACATGTATTTTTTTCTCGCGGGATAGGCTGGTTCCTGCCCCACAATCATTATCGATAATGTACGGACCGGGAGCAAGTCTGCTCGAAAGGCGGATCTGTAATATGCCCAAAATAAAAAACTGTTTTTATCAGCGGGTTGCAGAAGCCCAAAAACGAAAAAAAAGAAGAGCTTTTTGGCTTGAATAAAACATAAACGTACAAGTTGAACATTTATTTAGAGAAAGAAAAAAGTGAATCTGTTAAAGAGCAAGGGGAAGCAACTTTAATCTAATTATGCAGATAAATATCAAAAGATTGAAAGTCATTCTGGAACACTCTGTGAATACTGCTAAATACGATCTTACAGTGTGGGAGAAAGATAAATACCCAAACTACTTTTTGTTCAATTTCTTCTTTTGCATGAGTCATACATATGTACATGTACTGTTAACATTAATGTTCGTTCTGTCTTCTTGCTATTTTTTGTACAGGAAAATGGATTCCCTGTTAAAAAATTGCAACAGAAATTGTTGATTGTAATCTTAGAACGCACAACTTTCTAAAAGATTTCTGCTACAAAATGTGTATGTTGTTGGTTGTTGCAAAATCACTGCTTTTACATGACAGATCGGGTCATCACACTGTAGCGTGACCTCAGGTCAATGCGAGGTGAAAACAAACGCTTGAACGCATAGCTTTGCACGGCAATAGTGCGTTCACCTCCAAATGTTTTCGCTGCGCTGGCCGGAAGTGACGCGCAAGTTGCGTCCTCCTATACACTTTTACCCTTGTTGGTGAAAAGAAAAAACCTTAAAACATGTAAAAGAGTTTTTATCTTCTGACTTTTGTAAATAGGTTTTTATAGATTGCTTCCTTTTTGGGAGGGGGAGTTGGCCTAATTTAATACAGCTTACATGTACATGTACGTGAGCGTGTACATGGTGTACCATGTACAACATACAAATTCCGTATGTCAGCAGTGTTTTCGTATTTTTCAGCCCTTTGCCAAGGAACAGGAAATTGATTGATTCCATAAAGAAACTATTAGTGGTACTATTAATAGCTGTGAATTGGGTAGCCATTCGAGTACGTACATGGTTCCTTGTAGAGTGAGCATGGTGTAAACACATACATTGACTCCTGGGCAAGTAATTGGGCAATTACAAGCTTGTCTTGACGAATTTGATACAAATTATTAGTTCCGTCTATTAATTTATTTTTGTACTGAACCCTACATGTATTTGCATAGTATCCTTTGAAGATTTAGTTATTTATTTTTTGAATGTTTATTGTTTTTTTTACATTTTGTACTTTGTACTTTTTACATGAACTTTTTTTTATTTATTTTTTATTTATTTTGTAATGATTAATTAATTTATTTAAAAAAAAATAATATTGTTTTTTTAATTTGTTTTTAATAAACAAAAATTTCAATATTTTTATGTTGTTTATTATTTTGTTTAACAAAATTTGACAACAAATATGTTTTTTTCCCAGACAAATTATGAAGTTCACAAGCCATCTGAAATACATGTATCCAATATCCGACATTATACATGTATATGCGCATGTACATGTACATGCACCCTCAGGATAGAATTGTTTACCATACAGTACATTTAAAGTACATTACATTTTACATGTAATGTAATTTATCTAACATAGTACAAGCTGTGTTGAGTGTTGACATTGACAATAACATTGGAACCAATCCAACTCTGTAATCATCTCAATTCTCTTCGTGGTTGTGACAGGATGGTGAAAATTTAACCTGATTTAAAAAATGTCGGCAATATGTCCACCACCCGTCAAGTCTGAACTACATGTATTGCTATTCAGTAGAGGAAAAATATGAAAAAAAAAAAAACTTATTCCATAGACTTTAATTCATTAATTCCTTGTATTCTCACCAGGCATTGACAGTAGGAACGGTGCAGGAAGTACCGGTAGTGGTGCGGTCATAGGTCCGTCGTCCTTTGTGTTTGGTGAAAATATGGAAAGCCGTGTTCTGAAGGTGAGCATTGAAGTCTTAGCGTACAAAATGACATGATGATGCTTCATAGTATTCAAGCATGTAGTGATAGAGTGAACATCATTCCCCACGTTGGCTCCGTGTGCACGACATGCTGCTTGTGTGCAATTGTTTTGGAAGACTTGTTTTGATATGAATACAGGGTGAGTAAAAAAAACGAAACCCAAATGTTGGGACGATTGTTTTAGTGAAGTTCTGCATGTAGCGCTTTCAAAATCTAGGATATGAAAGCCCAATTCATAAGGTTTCTTTTAGTACAAACATCATTCAAATCACTCATGTACTTTTTAAGTTTAACAACCAACGTTTTAAGGTTCTGTCCACGGATCACAAAAAGTTCAGTGTTCTTTGAGCAAAATGAAAACAAATCACATAGGGATGTGCGTGAATTGTTTTTGTTTATCTGAAAGAACGCACACCTTTTGTATGATCCGTGGTGTATGATCCGTGGACAGAACTTTAAAATGATGGTTGTGTTTAAAATTCTTAAAACTTGAAAAGAACATGAGTGATTTGAATGATTTTTTGTACTAAAAAAAAGCTTATGAATTGGGCTTTCATATTCTAGATTTTGACATGCAGAACTTCAATAAAACAATAGTCCCGACATTTGGGTTTTGGTTTTTTTTACTCACCCTGTATGCATACAAAACCCTTACTTGTACATGTAAATCTTCATGTTGGCCCCATCCGTATGGCATTATTATGTTCATGGCATCATCATTTTATGTTTTGGATTGTTTACTATACTTTTTCAAAGATCTGGTTGAAAGGAAACTATCCTGTGTCACCCAAGAAAAGACCAAAAAAACCTGGTTGTTTACTCGGACGTGTTTGACATTTTGTGGCACATACATACGTATTTCCAGTCGTGTTCATTCAATGAACGGCACATGTTGTGTGTGTGTGTCACATACAAGTAATACACGCAGCACCAATAAACAAATGGATTTTTAAATTTTTTAATGGATTTACAGTATATTATTTTTGTGTGTGTAAAATCAGTAGTGCATATAGAGCAGACAATTTACTGTTCATATTGTTACTTATTTGTTGATTGAATCTTTGAATAAACTAGAAAACAAAAATAGATAAATAAACAAATGTCCTTTCTTGCAAGTCGGCAGAATGCAATGCATTGTGCGGCAGCATTCACAACTAGAGCTCAACATTTCGATATTTGAGAGTCAAAATTTTGACCCCCGAAATTAGTTCTCGCAAGGTTCTCGCAAGAATAACATAAAAAACGTCCCGTTTTTTCAAAGAATGGTTGTGTGGACATTTATATCCTACTTTTAAATGCTCTTTCCAATTAACATATTTTCGTTTAAAATGCATTTTGTAGCCTAATGGGGTGCATTCCAGGACGTAATGCCCCTTTAAACCATCAAAGTACATGTACATGTAACTGTTCAAGGGTACTTACATGTATACATGTACAGGTAGTCCATACATGTACATACATTAGCCTGAAGCCAAATGCCGTGTGACATGTGGTTGAAAGTGTTTTGGAGTGAATTGCTCATGTAAAAAAAAAAGCTAGCACCTTGAATTTTTAGCAACATGCGTACCACTTGTTGAACCTCAAATTCCTTGACTTGCAAAGTAGCATAGAATACCCCTACTGGAACAGATTTGGGTACATGTAAGAACAGTTTGTTTACTTATTGTTTTTTGTTGTTAAATATTTTTGGTAATTTTGTTTTTTACAGAGACCTGCTGAGGAACAACTTGACAGGAAGACTACTGAGCAAACAGGTAGGGGGAAAAATTGGATGATGCCAAAGCTTTTTATTTTGTCATCAATTATTGCATGAAACTGCCTGGCATTCCATGTCCCTTTCTGGGGTTCGAATTTCAATGACAATACAAGTCAAGTGGTCTGGTATTTTTTGGGGCAGTGTTATTCCGCCGAGTAAACCCCCCAAGAGTTAATAGTGTACAAATATTGAGTGGCTCAGAGTGGAAGTGAGATTTTACCGAGCGATAATATTCCTTCCATTACACACTTTTCATAAACCACTCAATATTTGTTTTATATAACTGACATATAGATCCTTGTCATTATATTTACTGTTAAAATGAACTTCTATTTCAATACAAAATTGGTGGGAAATGCATTTCTCTCTTCCAAACCACCACGTCACGAAATGTTTGAATCCAACTCTGTAGCTACTGGCTCATGGGAATAATACCCGCTGCGTGCAACGGTCAATGCGCACACGTACAGAACTTTTTAAACGAAATCAAAACCCTGCTTTCCACAAATTTTCAGGGAGTTTTGGGTGGTACCGAAAAATTAATGGCCATTGCAGTTCTCAAAATCATTCTGTAACCTTTGACTGGTTCACCCCAAATAATTGTTTATGATGTTGCTCTTCATTTTATTTCAGAAGATGAGAGCGACCAGAAGAAAGATGAGCCAGGTGAATTCCCCAAGGCTCACTCGTCTGTCCTGGCACAAAGACCCATCTTGTTTGCAGGTGAGACAGAAATTATTATTTGATATTTTTGTAAAAACATTTCACCAGTGTTTTGCATAGAACGTCTTTCCAGCTTTGCAAATTGCTTGTCTATTTGTTGGTCAGACTGTAGCCTTTAGTCAAGGCCCACGCGTCTTGATCCGGACACGTAACGCGCCCCGAACGCTGGCACGTAAAAAGACTATCCAGCGAGCGGCGCGATAGTCTTTTTATGTGCCAGCGTTCGGGGCGCGTTACGTGTCCGGATCAAGACGCGTGGGCCTTGACTAAAGGCTAGTCAGACTGCTGCAGAGTAGCCAAAAAGGTAAACGATTCTTGACAAAATCTGATTATTTACATGTTTAGTTAAAGGTGATGTTCAACATTTTGCAAACATCAAAAAACGGAAGTACCTAATTATTACGAATACCTTTACTTGACTGTAAAAGTGGAATTTTTGTATCCGTTGGAAAAAAAAATTACTTTTTTATTCAAATACTGCCCCAAATTTTGTTAGTCCACACTTTGTTTGCAATTTGTTACCCATTTATGAACGGGTGTTAGCCACCAGCTAGTCTGGTTCCCTGACCTGATAATTCCCTAACATGATCTCTTTTGTTTGAAGTTGGGTCAGGGAACCAGTCTACAAGAGCGGCATTTTTTTTTTGGTTATTCCAGCATCTATGAACACAAAACTTTTAACAGATCAGTGTATTTAATACTAACCCCAAATCCATCCATCTCTGAAAATTCCCGCAAAAGCAAACGTTGTACACCACCTTTAAAGGGCTACACATACAGACTGTGTTTGTGAATGTAACTTTATTCATACTTGTTATTCCAACGTGGGAAGACGGCCTCAGACAATTCGCATTGTCCAAACTTGGGCAAAAGTAATAAAAGCGCTACGTACACGTAGGTTGATTTGACTTATTTTCATGTTATTTTCGGTTTTAACCAATTGCTGACTTGTTTGGTTTTCCGCTTCAGGATCTGCAAAGGATGCAAAAACGGACAAAGGTAATGAGCATTTTTATCTAGCAATTATGATAAAAGTGATCCTGAAACTACATTATGTGCATGTATTCAACACTGTCTTGCACATGGTCTTCCATCGGTATCAACACTTTTTTTCTTCGATTTATTTTTTATTTACAGAAGAAGCAAAGTCTGGTTTCAAGTTGAATCCACCTACATTGGTCCATGGTAAGGCCAAGCCAGCACCCAAAACTTCAAGTAAGTTTCGGTATTGTACCCCAGAGTATGAATTTAATCAGGGTTGATTCTTGACTAAAAATATATCAGAGTGGATTTTCCCCAGCTATTTTTGACTTGCATCCCCAGAAATAGATTCCTTTCCTAAATTGTTATTTTTCTAGCAATACAAAAGTCATTTACATTTTTACTTTTGAACAAGATACCTACCGAAAAAAAATAGGCTCACGTTTAGTTTTTGAATTACATGTAGTCTGACAATAATTCCATTCTAATGAGGCATGCTGGTTCTTCCCCACATTCAGTTTCAATAATTACAGACTTGAGAAGGTCCATTCTGCTTACAAGGCAGATCTGTTTGTTATTATTAATAATATTTATTATAACTATTTCTGGTATAATGAAACAAAGGATTCCTCAAAAGCTCCCTAGACACTGTAGATCGCAAACCTGAAGAAACCTGTCGAGAGAAGACAATGCTGTAGTCTTCAATTATGAAGTTAACACTCAATTGGAAGAGGAAGAAGACAATGAGAAAATATTACAGTTTTAGATGTGGTAGGAAAACCCCCGAAGAATATTCTGGAGAAAACCCACGGAACCAGGTAGGGACTGAAAACCCAATCCACATGTTGGTTCAAGTGGGATTCGAACCCGGGTCACAGCGGTGGAAGGCGAGGAAAGTACCTCTACGCCAACCTGACTCCTTAATTGATAAACCAATTGAGGATAACCAACAATAGGTAAATTTGATGACTGACGAAATAAGCACTAAGAGTAACTTTAAAGGTGTACCATGTGACAAGAAATCTCTTTTGTGAGCTTGCTAGGCTCTGAAAACAACCAGGGGAACTCAACTGCCCATCGCCGCAGGGAACTATAAAAATACATTAAGCTTGGAATCTGTTGTTTTCTCAGCAGGTGCTGATGGGGACGGGGCCAGCTCTGCCAAGCCCTTACTACGCCCCTCTCCGCTCTGCCACTCATCACCACACTGGGCTACCCTCGCTGCAGGTAAAAACAAACCACAACTCCTCTACCCCCCCCCCCCTTTAACCTAGGCCCATCCATTCTCAGTTCCCCTTTATCAATGGACCAGTCCGGATTTGACCATAAGCCCCGCCCACCTTCGGTTTGTGAACGGCTGTGTCCGAATTACCTGGCTGTGGCTTGAAATTACACATGTGTCTATGGTAGCGGCTGCCACCACTTCCCATAGACCTGTGTGTAATGTGAAGCAGTAGCCAAGTAATTTGGACAAAGCCTACATTTCTCACATTGTGTTTGTGACCAAAACAGAGTTGTAATCATGTCAATCACATGTCAATAAGCCTCTGTACTGATGACGTCACACTTTGTTTACGTGTGTGCTTTCCTATGGTGCTCAGTGGACCGTGGGCCCCCACTGGCTCCATAGGAAAGTGCACATGTAAACAAAGTGTGACGTCATCAGTACAGAGGCTTATTTCACCAGTCAGGTCAGAAGTAACAAGGTATGGAACAATGACTGAAGCCCGGTTCATACTCTCTGCGAAAGCGAACGCGAATTTGTGACGTCGTGGCAAGTATTCGGGTGAATTTCGCAACGAATGTTTTATGACGTCAAATTCGCTTCGCACTCGCTTTTGCATGAAGTATGAACCGGGCTTAAGGAATGCCTTTGTTGCAGTTCATTTAAATAGCGTGTGAGTTGACTGGGGACTAGGTCACTTGTGAATTGACTAGTGATTGACACGATTACAGCTCTGGACCAAATTTGACCCAGCTACTGCAGTACGAATTTGACTGTGCTACGGGCGGGACGGGTCCATTGCGCAGCGTGTTTTTCATATTCAAACAAGGAAACGTTTTAACTCTTTTTTTTTTCAAAACGGTGTATTAACCCTAACCCCTGGGTATCTTTACTAGAACGTATCCTGAATCCGCCAGAATCCACCGATTATGTCATGCCAAAAATTGTTGGAGTTGGCGACTGCTCAGTATGTCCTGAATCCATCAAAATCCTGCAGTAGCACTAGGCTTACAATCCTCAATCCATTAAAATTCCCAAATTTTCAATATGGAGGTATCCTGAATCTGCCAAAATTCTCCAAAACAGGGGTATGGATTTTGATGGATTCAGGGCGGTTGGGGCTTGTACATTTGTACTACATGCAGTGCAGTGCTGAAAAATTCAGCTGTTTGGGGATTTTGGTTGTATGTTGTTTTGTGTCTGCCACTACATGTATGTTCTGCAGCATATGCATTGTAGTCCTTGGAAAATGTGATAGATCTTGCATTCTTTAGTCTTGGTATCATACTAACTTTATAACCCTAATCCCCTAGGGTATTTTAGCTAGAAACCCTGCTGAACGCAGCAACATGCAACACTTGTCAAAATGACAAGCCTGCAAGATACGTTTTTGTACATCAGGTCAAAAATCACAAGGCCACACTGCCTCAAGAGTCCCTGGTCGCCAACTGCAGAAGGATATGACTGTGGCATTGCTAAGTGGGACTAGCTCTCATTGTTTCAGAATTGGCCTTTTATTGACTGGTGTTGATGGCTCAATGCAGCAAGGTTCCACAGACTTTTACACCTGATGCACCTTGTTGCGTCTGGTAGGGTCAGGGCTAGGGTTAAGTAGTTTCTGCCACATTTGTAGCATCGCCAGCCAGAAACAGATACTGACCTTTCACTTCAGAACATGATTAACAAAGATCTAGAAAAGGCAAAACAACAAAGCGCAGTTGCATATCAACCATTAACCCTAACTCCGTAGGCGTTTTTGTTGGGAAGCAACCTCAATCCTGCAAAATGCTCCAACTACCTCCATGTAAAAATTGCATACGGCCTCAATCCTGCAAAATCCTCCGTTGTTTTCTTGAATGTGGTCCTTGGAGGGATGACCACTGCCTCAGTCCTGCAAAATCCTCCGACAATCACTGTTTATGTGTTGAGGCAGAGCCAGTGACATCCTGGAGCAGTGCGGAGGATTTCAAGTGTAATCTAGGCCTAAATTTATGCACGGCTGAGCATAAACAACACAAGATCCAACCCAAGACCTTGACACAGTGCATCCTCCAAGATCAGCCACACACTTTTGCCATATAGCCTCAATCCTGCAAAATCACCCATTTTGCAAAGAGGATTTTGAAGGATTTAGAAATGTTAGGGTTAATTGATTGCATGCAGAATGCACAAGGAATTGTGGGTACGGTTTTCTGAGCGTTTGTGAGATCGACAGCCGACTGTGGCAGACGGACAGTGACTTGATTTTTCGAGGGTAGAGCCTGAACATTTCTCGCCCTCTTTTCCTTTCAGTCGCCACTGGAGGAGCCTTCAAAACGAAAGCTTCCTCACATCATTTCTCCTCTTCTTTTACTAAATGCCATTGGAAAGGGAAAGGTAAGGGAAAAGTGTGCCTTGCCTGAAAAAAAAAAATCCCAGAAAAGCCGCGAAAGTTGCAGTTTAAAGCATGTGCATCCTCATGCCACGCTTTTTTTTAATTTTATTTTTTCCAACATGCTTTTTGTGCTTTTCAGTTGCCATCATTAAAAAAAAGGATGTTTTCCGTATTTTCCCAACAAGAAATTGATGCACAACATTATGAATAACATTTGATTATTTTTGTACTTAAGTAACTGTGACGTTAAGCAAGAAATAACTACTCATCTAAAAACACGCTCATTCCATATTTCATTAGGCATAAAAGGAGAAAAGAAGACTTTACTTTCTCAACGCCCCCTCAAAAAGAAAAGAAAAGCTGTACATAATGTCCACATCAACCAGAAACAAAAGGCAATACAGGTCAGCTGATATTGCTTTGAATAAGTCAAACGTGTCAGTTTGATACTTCACTTTATAACAAAAAATTCTCTTATTAAAAAGCAAGTTGTAGCCTATGTACTCTGTGCACGAACAGTAGAGGAGAAACACATTGCATGTTTGTATGGCATCGCGGGCCTGTATCGCGTGCCTCGGATGCGTATGGCATGAAGTACGCATGGCTTACCCATGGCTTACCCATGACGTCTTCACCTGACATGCCTGAGCATCGGGCGTCTTCGGCGATGGATTCCAGTGTTCAGTCCCGTTGTCTCCCCGCACTTTCCCTTTATGAACATTGAGGGGGTACTTGTGCACGGAGCCCTTACTGTCTTTGAAGGACCACAACTTTTCAGTAGTCACTTCAAGGCTTAACTTGATGTCACCTTGATATTCCCTTCCCTGTAAAACGCGTTCTCATTTTGCCAAGCAAATCGCAAAATCACACCTGCAAATTGAAGTTCTCTCGCTCTTTGTGACATGTTGTTTTCACAGTGTGAATGGTCGTTCACATATTACAAAAAAAATGTTAGAGTGAAGTGAATTTGGTGGGTGAATGTTAAATAATAGTGGAACTACAATTGTTGACAATTCAGTTTGCCTCTTTATACTTGAACTTAGTTGAAGAATAGACGAGCCCCTTAATTATAAAAGTGAAGCAATTTTGTACTAAAAGCATTTTTTAAAGGTGAAGTTAAGCAACTGCAATGTGTAAAAATGATCTTCCTGTTTGACAGCTTGAATGTGTACAGGGTGAGTAAAAAAAAACGAAACCCAAATGTCGGGACTATTTTTTTATTGAAGTTCTGCATGTAGCACTTTCAAAATCTAGTATATGAAATCCCTATTCATAAGCTTTCTTTCAGTACAGGAATCATTCAAATCACTCATGTACTTTTCAAGTTACGGAATTTTAAACACAACCACCGTTTTAAGGTTCTGTCCACGGATCACCAAAAAGGTGTGTGTTCTTTCAGCAGAACGAAAACAATTCACACACATCCCTATGTGATTTGTTTTTGTTTTGCTCAAAGAACACTGAACTTTTTTTGCGATCCGTGGACAGAAGCTTAAAACGGTGGTTGTGTTTAAAATTCCGTAACTTGAAAAGTACATAAGTGATTTGAATGATTCTTGTACTAAAAGAAAGCTTATGAATTGGGCTTTCATATCCTAGATTTTGAAAATGCTACATGCAGAACTTCCCTAAAACAATGGTCCCAACATTTGGGTTTTTTTTTTTTACTCACCCTGTATTTGGACCTACATTAGCCATCACATCTCCAAAGAATCTTTGTCCTTGCTGCTAATGCATGGATGTGATATCCTCAGCATGCTAAAAAAAAAATGAATCTTGTCCATGCTTGAAGGCAACCTTGAACATTTCATGATAGTGTTAATTTCTCTTGTTTTGTTTCTGTGATCTCATTTTTTTTTTTATTAATAATTATTTATAAGCTTAAACCCAAAAGTATTGCATGAAAGAATACCATAAAGAGCTAAAGACTGGCAATGATTTCTTTTGGTGGATGGCTTGGAATCCGATCATAAATCATTTTGTTATTTTTTTTTCCATCTGTTGTTTTTGGCTATCTTGAATGCTGACATGCTTGCTGTTATAATTCTGATGAATTGATGTTCGTTTGCAAACTAAGTGCAAAGTTTGAGGTCATCTACCAATGCGCCAGGCCTCCATTTCTTTTATAAAGTGCTTGCATCAAAATTCACATAATGCCTAATATATGCCTTAACATTCTTTGTTTTTTTCCCATTTAAAATAGTAAATATTTAGAGGTAATTAGGCCATTGATAAATACCAGCAGAAATCTTGTTTCACAGATTGGTTTTAGTTTTCTGTTTCTGGACTTTGATAAAAACAATTAATGTTTGACACTTCACACAAAATTTGACGTCAGAGGCAGTGCCGTAGCCAGGATATTTTCCGTGGGGTGGGGGGGGGGGGGGGGGGTGGGGAGGGGGTACCAGCATGTTATGAGGGACCCCAAGGGTGGACCCAACAACAACATTTCCCCCAAATTAACGCCTTAAAAATTAACTAGGTAGGTAGGTAGGAATTTGATTGTGTAACTTCTTTATGCTTGTTCATCTTTCATTTGCTAACTTTAGGTTATCTTTGACAGTAGTCTGTTTACTGAACCTGATTAATAGACATTATCACGTTGCGGCCATCTTGATTTTTCCCATTCTAATCAACGTAACCAAAGCTAGGCTGAAAGGGAAAATAGTCTGGTTCCTTTTTGCACAAAAACATTATCATTCAGTACTGTTATTGGATACAGGGAACATGACTGAAATGGTTGCAGCATGATAAAGGTCTATTGTTTTTAATTAACTTGTTTCCTTCAAAATGTAAGTTGTTTACGGTTTTGACCAAATGTGGCAATGAAAAGTTTGAGGCGGCAATTTGGCTGTAAAAATCCAGGTACATTGTACATGTATGTACACGTATGTACACACAGTTTGTTTGTTTTTTTGGCCTAGGCAAAATTTCAAGTTTAGCAGTGCCATGAAATTGGGCCCCACCAAGCTGAAGTCTGTTCGCTGCACTGCAACCTCCAATGCACTACAACCCATTCAAAGAGCATGTCTGTGTTCATTGCACCATCCAGTGAAAATATAATGCACGCCATGTGGAGGAGTTTTGGCATATTGGCTTTCAAAAAATAAGATTCAACGAGCAAATGTTAACATTTAAGAGTGGCACTGGATGAGAATACAGTGCGAAAGTCCAAAATCTGAAATAAAAAAAAAAAATGGCAAGCATTTGCAAATGCGTGTACTTTGACCCTTTTCGTCTTTATTTCTCAGATGGGAGACAACGGAATCCAGAAGACGGCTCAGTTGAGGTGTCCTCATCCTCCGCCTCCACAGAAGCCACGGACCCGCCCCCGAAGAAGGAGAGCGGCGCGGAGGCCAGCGCCGCTCCCAATGGCAAACCTAAGACGAATTTCTTCATCAAGCTGTCCTCCAGCGAGACCAACAGGGACACGGGTTTCGGCGTGTTCGGCAACTTCTCCAACGCCAACGTGGGCTTTGCCAAGACCCAAGACCACAACGGCACCACCAATGAGAACTACTTCCTGCAGTTTGCCAAAGTCGACAGCAGGTTGGTGGCTTGAGAGATTTGAATCATTTTGATTATGGCCTGAGTAGCAAATCAAATGGTAGCCTGGAAGGTATGTATGGAGTACGTAGGGAGATGTATAGTGCCTTGGCCTTGTGGTCTGGCGCATTGAAATTGTGGTCTGCGGGTTATGGTGTGTGCCCTTGGGCAAGGCACTTTGTCACTCATTGCTTCTGTCCACCCAGGAGTAGATGGGTACCTGTGAGGGCAGAGGTGGTGGTTGTTGATTCTAGCTGCTTTGCGCTGAAATGGCAGCATCGAGCTGTATGCTCCCCAGGGAGCTTAGATTGTCTTGGGCACTGCATGGGCCCTTTAGATTCTAGGTCAGTGTAAGTGGCAGTGTTAGTGTACTGCATGCACGAAGGCAAACACATTCTGGACAAACACACACTTTACCTACTTCTCATACTAGTCTTGCACCCGGACGTCTAAAATTTCATTATGTGGATGTCACTCTGTGTTTTTTTTTTTCAGCAGCAGTAAAGAAGAAGGTACAGAGAGTCCAAAGGGTCTGTCTAACTCTGGCAACAAGGGTCTGTCTAACTCTGGCAACTCATTTGTCTTCGGTCAGAAAATGGGCGAAAGAGTAAAGGTCAGTATTATCTAACAAAACTACCATTACTCTTGTGAAAATATTTGATACAGAATCATGATGAAATACTACTTGCAGAATTCAGCTTTATAGGCATATTACTTGTAGATCATTTGGTTTTCGTGCATTCAGGGCTCGAAATATCCACTGGACCGTGGACCGTGTCTAGTGATTTTAGCGTCGGTCTAGTGCAGTGTTTGACTGCACTAGTCCGGCTGTCTAGTGTTTTTTTCTTGCACTATATAAACAAAATGACCCCCAAATAAACTAGCAGTTGAGGTCTGCTTAATAGCGTGCTTTGAGTTCATATTATTACTTGATTGATTAAAATTACCGGCCAAAAAACTGTCTGTGCCGTGCCGAAACGCAACGAAGCTGCCTGGCCAACGCGCAAGTCATGCCAGTTGCAGAAATACGTACGTTCATACATACAGAGCTGCTTGATGTATGAAAACACGTGGGCCCGTACGTGCTATTGCAGCAGTGACTGGTTCCCGCTGCGCCGCACACTAAGGGCCAAAGAAGGCATGATGGAAATGCGGTAACCAGTCAATGCAATAGTCGTGCGCGGTGCATGCACACTGCAGTACAGTTGAATGCAGGCCGGACGGCGCGGAATAGACATCGTAAAAATGCCAAGAAAACATTGATGGAGAAAGACGATCTTTGCAAGCTTATATTCACAGAACTTGATCTCTCTTGTCTGTGTATGTATTTCCCGTGTTCATGAATTTATTTCGAGGAAATAGTACTGGTATATGAAGTGAAACGATGCAGCGAGTTTCACCGAAATCACATACCGTAAAACGTAGCTCATTGCCGGCCCATTGCCGGTCCACAACACACAGTGCATCATCGCACGCTCGTACCAAGCAAAGTTCAGTCATTGTTTGCCAGTTTCTCGTCCTAACTAGCATTGTGCATATGGTATAAATGGCCTGCATTTTCCATTATTTTTAAGATTATCGACGGCAGATATTTTCGTTAACACTTAAGGCAAGTTTTCGTCATTTTTGAGGCCCTTTTTGTATAGCTTTCGTAGTGCAATGGAAAAAGTTCAGGCTGAACATTTTCATATAATTTTAACAAATCTGAAAACAAATATTCAGTTGCTTTATCCGTTTATTAACTCCATTTTCCAAGAATAATGAAGTGATGAACCAACTGACAACTGTATTAAAAAATGAAAGCGTAAGCAGAATTCAAACCTTTTAACTCCCTAGGGGGTGTGTAAAATCGTATTGAAATCGGAGGATTCAGGACTGTTGGGTTAATCTCCATTTAGTTATTTTTTATATAAATTTTACCTTGTCTTACAGTTACAAAAACGAAAGAAGTTACGCCACTAGAGCATATTATTATGCAAAAACTAATAATAATGCAGCCCCTTGAATAAATTCTGATATTTAAAACAAAACAAAAACAATGTTTACTGTCGTTTATCCATGGATTTTAAGGAGAGAAAATCGCTCTCCTTAAAATCTCCTCAAAGATTTTAGGATAGCGATTTATAGCTCTCCTGGATTTTCTTTAAATGAAGGACTGCTGTGCCCGCTGCAAGAGAATTAGACTAATTTTCCAGGGAACTAGCCAAGTGCACACACGAAACGGGCGACTCGTACATACATGTACATGTAGCATTTTGTTGTATTCCTGTCACAGTGCAAAATGTTGTTTTTTCTTATTTATGACACAGGTCTTGTAAAAATAGTTCAGGTCCAGTAAGATTCTTCAGTTACTAGACCTGCTGTCTAGTGCTTTTTTTCATGAAATTCGAGCCCTGGCATTTTTGTTCGTTTCCAATAGTAACACCATTCAAAATCCAAAGACAAATGTTCAAACGTTTCAGCTCAGTGGATGATACACTTTACAAGAAAATACTGAAAAACCCTGCACAACCTTTTGATCATGAAACACGATTACATCCATGTCCATTCTGATTTTGTCTAAATTACAGCAAGCCAGATGGAATAATTTCACGGGGTGTTTAGTACCGATACGATTTTTAATCCAAGTAAAAAGCGTTTTGATAATAATTGGGTAATATTTTTGGGATAAATGCAAATGATCCTGTATGCCTGTAGAAGAGCGGACAGTGAAGTCCTGAATGCTTGTGAACTGCAGAAACGTGTAGTGTCATGAAATGTGTAGTGTCCTGGAGTACTTGCTATCTACAACGTGTCCAGACTTTACATAATCACTCTAGGTGATACATGTAGAAGGCATTAAAGAATGCGTTCTGAATTTACAACATGTCAGATGTAACAGGGACTTGAAAAATACATTGGGGAAAAAAATGTTGCAACCTGACGCCACTTCTGTGATTGTGTACAAAATCTATGGAGAGTCAAGAAAGTTTTCTAAGTATTTCCTAGCAACATTGGAAATGTTTCTCAGTCCCAGATTCATGTCTTATCATTCATGTCATTTTTGCAATGAATGACCTTCATTGAGATGATATATCAAGAAAAAAGTGGCGTCAGGTTGCAACATTGTTTTCCAAAATTGGACCCCAAATTTATGGAATGACTCGGTTCCTATTTCCATAGTGGAGTACCAACTATTAGCCCTAACCTCCCCCAGCCCATCAAACCCCAACGGCACGTTTTGTTGGAATCTGTCAGGATAGGTGTAGTATCCCTAAACTGACAGTCTTTTGCATTGTGTTGGCACACCTCCAGATTAAAAAGTCAGAAATATGTGTGTGCTGTTTCCCATATGGTGTTGGAATTTGCCAGGATAGGTATGGTTCCTAGTAAATCATGCTAGGGAGTAAGGGCTTAATGAAGACAAGTTGCCTATTTGTGTTAACCCTTGTAAACCCCTTCTTGTCTGACAACACAGGGTTCACAGCTGACAGAGGAGTCCCCATCAGGCCCTCCGGCCCAGTTTGGTACAGAGCTCAGTCCCACATTGTCTGCCAAGGTAGGAGTCATTTGCTAATAATAAACCATTAATCCTGCCAGCCTTTGGCACTCGAAAATCCTTCAACTGTCTACGGGGATGACCTTCGCTGGATGACCTCTTGCGTGTAAATATTCATGACTTAGGCTCATCCTTTTCAAAATGCTCAGACACTGGAAAACACTGGGAACTGGCGGTTACCTGCCGGTTGGATATATCTGATCTCTAATATCCCTTTAACCCTAACAGAACTCAACCCATCAAACCCCAATGGCATGTTTTGTTGGAATCTGTCAGGATGGGTACAGTACCCCTAAATTAACATTCTTAAACATTGGGTTGGCACACCTCCAGAATCAAAGTCAAAAATATGTGATTGCAGTTTCCCATGATGGTGGTGGAATTTGCCAGAATGGGTATGGTTCCTATAGCAAATCACGCTAGGGAGTTAGGGTTAATTGACAAAACACAACCCTTAACATGAGAATATCTGGAAAGTTTGGAATTATACACATTATACACATTATACACATTATACACTCAATTTCGAATCCAGCTGCTGGCCTTAATGTTGTGTGCTGTTTAAAACCCTTGTACTGAGTAATAGTTATTTGGATTCTGATTCATTGTACAGGATGTTTCAACTGATGGTGATTCACCAGGAAGATCACAAGGTATGTTATTTTTTTTTAATAAAAGTGGTAGTTCACAGCCTCTTTGTTTGTGTTAATCCATGTTTTTTTTTTCATTCGCTGGTTGTATTCTTAAAAATGACAGCAATATGTGACCTGTTCTGTCAAAATCAGACTTTTCTGGGCATAAGGTCGAAAATGATATTTTTACATATTGTTAACATATGTTCTTTTTCCTTTTAATAGGTGGTTTCATTTTTGAAACCGGTCATTCCTGGGCAGAGTTATGCTATTTTGAAGTTCATTGTGTCGAAAAGTAGAAAACGGAGAAAATGGCCACGAACGTCACAAAACAGTTATTTCTTTAAACTGATATACCTTATCAAAATCATCAAAAATAGTATATGTAGAGTTCAAATTAGGGTTTCAAACTTTTATAATATATTTTAGACATGTTCAGGATTACAAATATGCAAAAATTTGAAAATCGATAAAAATCACCCCCACAGCGTTTTTTGGCCCTATCTCAATTCCAACCTCTGCCCAGAAGCGTCTGCTTTTGACAGAACAGGTCACATATATCCAAAAAAAAATTTGAATATATCTCCCTGCAAAAAAAAAAAAAAGATAGCTCATATCTTTAAATCAACAAAGGCAAAACCCAAATTAAAAATAAAGAACAAAAAAACAATCAATTTGATTTGTGTGTGATTTTCCAGAGCCAACCAACAAGTCGCTACTGGAGAGTGCCAGCGCCTACGAGCAAGCCAAGAAGAACTCAGAGGTGACGTTTGCCAAGGTGGACAGCAGGACAGGGGAGGAAGATGAGGAGAACGTCTTCCAGGTCAGTGTGAGGTCAGGGGTTTTCCAGGGTCACGGGACATGCACAATCATGTCTTGTATTCGACTTACAAACTCACTCGCAGCTTCGTCCAATATTCTAGTTTCATTATTTTAGTCCATTGACAGACTCCAGGGGCCATCTCATCTTAGGATTTACGACGATTCCCTGCTCTAAGATCGATCCTCGCTAAGACACGTCCTAAGACCGATTTCACTAAATGCATCTTTAGCAAGGTGCATCAAAATACCAATGGGATGGCTGTTTCATGTTTGTTTTTACTGCTTTTTTGACGAAACAGTCGTTGAAAAGAATTGTTAATTAGATATCATGGTTAAAGGGAAGATACAACATTTGCAAACATGAAAGAACGGTATGATCAAATTATCACGTAATACCTTACTGAATTGTTAGGGAATGACAGTCTAAAGCATCTTTTAAAACCGTGGCTCCTGGTGTGCTGTCATTTTCGAGAAAAAGTGTATTTTTCCAACGCTGGTCGGCCGACCAGCGCTGGAGAAAACTGGCTTTTTTCAAAAACTGTTCCTACTTTTTCATATTTAGTTATTCTGACTTTTTTTTGCAATTGATTACACACCTGTGAAGGGGTTCAAGCTTGCTAGACTTATTCTCTGACCTTAAAATTCCCCAAAGTGTATTAATTGTTCCGTTTCATCTTAAGTGGGGTCAGGGAACCAGACTACAAGAATATGATTGGTTTTCTTGGTTTTTCCAGCATCTACAAGCCCAAAACGTGAATTAAGTCAGTTTAACAATATTTTCTATAACATACTTATCCTCCAAATCCATTTATTTGTGAAAATTGCAGCAAAAGCAAGGTTGTACATTCCCTTTAATTGGCTCTGTCGCGAACATTCCTCCTTTAAATTCATAACACTGAATTACCCTACTGTAAGTGCATGCAAAGTTAGTGAAGGAATTTCTTTGCGTGTATTACTCCCCCGTAGCGCTTTTGTCTGAGCAATTTTGTGAGTCTTAATATCGCCTTATGTGTTTTCTTCCGTCAGGCCCAGTGTAAACTCTTTGTCTTTGAACCTGTGAAGCACACCTGGCACGAGCGCGGCCGGGGTTTGCTACGACTCAACGACCTGGTGCCATCGTCTTCAGAACAGTCCTCTCTCCAGTCCAGACTAGGTAGGCCTTGATAGCCGTGGTATTGAATTGTAAGACTTCAAAGAAAGAATTGCATGTTGGGAACATTGCATATTGGTGTTGCTGAATGAGGCTTGGGCAACTCTGCACCAGGATGAAGCAATCGGCCCCGAACCCCGAAATGGAATTTGTCAGTCCACATTGAGGAGGATACAACTCTCTGTAGTAGCTGATTCTATAAGAGTAGATTCAATGCGTTCAGCTGTCAAGACCGGTATTAACAGCCAGTTATGAAACAGTGAGAGTTAGTCCCATTGAACAATGCCTCAGTTGTATCCTGCTGCGTTCTTTGACCACAGACTCTGAGGCAGCTTGGCCTTGAGACTTTTGGCCTGATGGATCTTGCTGCACTGGGCAGGCTTGTCACTTAAATATAAAGTGTTGCATGTTGCTACATTTGGCAGGGTTTCTAGCCAAAATACCCTGGAGGGTTAGGGTTAACATAAATTATGTGAAATTTAGTTCAAGTATCAATAGCTATTTTATGTTCAATGAAACATGTCTCTGTATTTGATCCCCAGTGATGCGCACGCAGGGTAGTCTACGAGTGGTCCTGAACACCAAGATATGGAGTGGGATGACGATAGAGAAGGCTTCCCCTAAGAATATACGTCTGTCAGCCAGGGACGGGGAGAGTGATACTATCAAAGTGTTCCTGGTCTCGGTAAGTTGTCTGGATCCTTTTCTAAGATGTGTCCACAATATGTTTTGTTAAGAAAAAGCAACCCCTCCCTCTTTCCCCATCCCATACCCCCACCCCCACCAAAAAACCAAAAAAAGATTCTCCTTAGCAGCAGGGTCTCATGTAGGATTTCAAAAAGTGCCCATCCTACCCTAGCCCGGGCAAAAAGTGCATGTCCTGTCCCAAGAGAAATGAAAAGCGATATCAATATATATATATGGCCTACGTTTTGCGCAATCAACATGATCATTTCATCGGGAAGATATGAGTTTGCATGGTCGATTTTGTACTTTTTACTTCCCTTGAAAATAAACCCCTCCAGATCCATGAATGAAAGAAAAGATAATTGACCAACGTATAAGCGCGATCAACGGATGGTGGCACGATCGACTGGTAGCGCAGATCCACTGACCGCACCCAACATATGCATGTCACATGAAGTGCTAATCATGCAGCGCGTTGTACACACGTGAATGCGTGGTGCAAACTTGTCTGGTGGCTGGTGCTCCATTTCTACCGCAGCAAAAGTGAAATACGTAGCAGCGCAGGTACTTTGCCTGGACAGGCGGACGGGGCGTTAGATGAGACAATGCTTTGTAACACCCCATGGTAAAATCAGACTTTCCCGTAAAACAAAACAACATTCAACTGACACAAATATTTAAGGAATACGTCACAGTTTTGAATGTTATCCAAGCCGGCCCCTGAAAAAATCCTGTTGACGCACCCCTTCTCACATTCTCGAACAGGCCTCCCCGAAAGACGCAGAACAAATCTACCGTGCCATCGAGTACCGGGTGCAGGAGCTGAAGTACGCCGAGCAACAGCAAGCCGAGAAAGCTTCCGAGGTGGGCGGGGTCAAGACTGAAGAGGGGGAGGAGGAGACAGAAGCCAAAGATGAAGACGATGACAGCCGCGACGGCAAACAGACGAGTAAGGCCTCAGCGGTTCCCGTCGGATCGGGCGACAGCGATGATTCCGTGTCTCAGTCAAACTCGGCTCTCACAGACAGAAGTAAGTTCAGGGATGCTTTTAGCCCTTCTTAGATCGGAGCCCTTCAAAGACATTATTATATCTTGGGACGGAAAACCCAGTGTTAAATTGCTCAACTCCCTGGTACAACATCAACTTTCATGGCTGCGCTAACAGTGCTAGAAAAGAAATTCTGTGATAAGGCCACAAAAAAAAAGTCTCCGGTTTCTGGTATGCGCGCGCGTCGCCGTAGCCATGCGCGTCGGCAAAATGAAAAAGGTTTTTTTTCAATGAAAGATGATGTCTCAAAACCGCCAAACTCTGTGGTTTGACTGGAATCCTGCTGCTGCACAATTTTAACGTGTTTTTAGATGGGGTTATGATCGAGAATAAGCTTTATGTGGCCTCTCTGGTCTCCCATAATATTTGCACTAAGTTTAGTCGGGCACCATTTGCAGTCATCAGCCGACATTTGAAGCAAAAAAAACAGGTAAAAAAAAAAAAGCCGCGTCGCTGCACCACTTTTTGGGCAGGCTCCATACCAGAAACCGGAGACTTTTTTTTTTGGGCCTAACCCAAGAAGCAGAGGAACCTTAACCTATGAATGTGCTACAGCAAAATTTTCTTGCAAGTCGGTCAAATACATGTACATGTATGTTAACATTCATAGAGAAAAAAAACCTGTGCTTTCCTTTCACATTTTTGCTTTTTCTCTCCCTTTGTTCCCAAAGGTTCTCCCGAGCTCACTGATCCTCGCGTTGAAGGGAATCCCCAGACTCCACCTGCCAGCAATTAAGAGACACACATAAACATTCTTCACCCACAAGGCTAATCTAAACTTTTTGGGAAGCTGTTGCCTGTGGTTGAGCACTTGAAGGATGCGTCATCATGAACTGGGCGGTAGAGTTTTCCCTGAGCAGAGAACGGGAAGGACTTATAAAGCACTGTAAAACTTAAAAACATATTTTGTTTGAGAGTAAATTTGTTTTGTGGTCTTAAAATTGGAGGTCACCGACTGTGTATGAAAGTGATGTCACGCAGCCATCAATAAAAAGCGTGTGTACAGAGAGGAGGCGAGGCAAAATCGGCCAAATAGTGCCCTCTGTTCGGAAAAAAAAATGTGTAGCCCTCATTCTATTTTCTTTTATGACGCTCACAAAATTTTGGAAGTGGGAACTTCCAGTGATCAAGTTGAATTCAGTCGCAGAGGAATGAAGAACAGACGCCAAAGTTTGGAGAATTTGCTCAATTTACGTGACGTCTCCTCACATGGGACAAAAAGGGAACATGGAAACCAGTCAGGTGGATACCAGTCAATATGGAGAATGTTGCTAGATCACATGGAGTATCAGGAGGCATCGTGATTTCAGGAGATGGAAAAGGCAAAAGTCTTCGCAACTGCCAGCCAGCCAGCCTGGATGATTTTCTGACTACGAATCGTCTTTTTGAAGAAGAGGCACGGTCTCCAGTGAAATCCAGACTCTGGAATGAAATTCTTGACAACTTGGGGAAGTGCAGACCTGAATTCAGAGTCACTGGAGAAGACGACAGCTGTCAAACGTGGCATTCAAGACCAAGCGGCTTCTGATTGGTTGCAAGGGATGCTACCCGTCACGTGATTGGTGGACTTAAATTTGTGAAACTTGTGTGAGACTATTCTACGGCTTCTGTGATATACATTGTCGTTTTTGTCATCTTTATCGTCTTTATCATGTAACTGAAAGGCATAATTCTACAGTTGAAATCAAGGAATTTCAACAGGAAAATTATCGGAAAGAGCTCGGAAAGATTTATGACCAGAAATGGGATTTGATCAAGAATTTGGGTTTTTTTTTAATTTCCCGTTCATTCCAGCTCCATTGGCACAAAATGATAACTCTGATTGATTTCAACTTGTACTTTTATTCCATGAATTCAGCATCAAACTTAGCACAGTGTTTAGGTTTCAGATCTAAAATGTACCCACCGACTTTTCAGTACACGTGCATACCGCGCAGATGTCCCTGATTCAGGATATGAAGATGTTCCGTGCCGATAAAAATAGCAACGAATGCGTTTGCTTCCTTGAGAGTACATCAAAAAAAATCAAAAGGGTTGGAATGTGTGTGCGCATCCTGTACATGTGTAGCTCGAGATTTCACTGTACATGTAGTTACTTTATGCATAAAAAAAATAACCGTTTTCAACGGAAGCAAGGGAAAGGATACCGAATATTTTTCATTCACATTTTTTTTGTGAATCGTTTGATCTTTAGCAAATGTGCTATAAAACTCATGTAGATGCATATGTACATTGTACACTGTTGAACTTAACACTTTTTGTAAATTGACAATATTTTTTCAAGGCCAGTGTAGAAGAATGGGTGGATGCTGAGGGGTACTGTTAATAGAAGTGTGGCAGGGGCCGATACCACGATGCTGCTAAGCATGAAATATTTCTTAGACCGTAAGCAGAAAGCAGGGAGTATGCTTAGTGCTTACCTGGGCTCAATTTCACAGAAATGTGTAAGGAAAACTTAACTGCTTAGCACATATTCATGCTAAGTCCGAAACAGCAGAGAAGCTGTGATAATCCTTGCATATCATATATAACATTGTGGTTAGTAAATCCTTTTTGCTAAGCGTTACTCTTATGCCAAGTAAATTTGTATGGTTTGAAGATCTACAAAATGTTTACCAGTGTAATTCATAAGAAAAAATGTTGCAACCTGACGCCACTTCATCGGTTGTGTACAAAGTCTGTGGAGAGTCAAGAAAATTTTCAAGTATTTTATAACAAAATTGGAAAAGTTTCTCAGTTCCAGATTCATGTCTTATCATCATTTTTGCAATGACTGACCTTCATTGAGATGGTATATGAAGAAAAAAATGGCGTCAGGTTGCAACATTTCTCCCTAATTCATATCAGCGCTTACTGCTAAAGTGTACTGTATATTCCATGTTGACAAAATATGGAAATTTCTTCAGGCTTACGATGAAATAAAGGATGTGACATTTACATGTTGAGATGTGAAACGGAAAAAAAGTGTAAATCCCTTTATAAATTTTCGAAAACATTTAAACAAAACCTTTATTAAAACAAAAGGTTTGTGTCTACACTAACTTCATTAGATACATGTATTTCACAAAGAGTCATTATATAGCATGAATCTCTAAAGAATCTATGTATGATCTCTTCTGTAGATCTGGGCCCAATGATGGCGCTGCTTAGCACACAATTTTCTGCTAACAGGTCCTCCATCTATTTCATTGAGACCGTAAGCAGTAAGCACAGCAAAAGGCACGCTTACCTCGGAGGAAAAAAGTTGCTTAAATCAGTGATGTAACTATAGAAATCTCCATCATGTCTATACGCGCCCAACCGTTAACACATCCACGCCATGAAATAGTGCTTAAGGTTAGCACAAGTTTCTTCTATAGTTGTGATAGTTACATTTGTGTACATGTAGCACAACTTTGCTGCTATTGTAAAGCAACGCCATAACATTGGCCTGAGGTTGGTTATGTCCTTTGTGATGCACATACAGGGTGACCTCAAAAAAATGCAACCCTGAAACATGTGTCTTTTTTCAAAAACGTGCTCTGTGAATTTTTATGTTTTGGATATCAGATTTAAGCTGAGAGCTTTTATTCTTTCAAATATTCAAATACTATGAAAGAAATCATATAGATGCTTATATGAATGTATACAAACATGTCCAACTGCAAACAAACTCGGCTTAAGCTGGCAGAGTTTCTGAATGCTTCCGTACATGCAACAGTGTGACATCGGACCAAGCTGTTGCATAAGTCTAAGCCTTAAGCCGTGCCTGAAGAGGACACTGTTGTCCTGTGGCTATGACTATTCACCACTGTGTGTTCCGATGGCAAAACTTGAAGCCATAGCCAGAAAAGACCCAATACAAATATGGCTTTTCATTGTTAGTCATGTCTTAGATATACTTAACAATAATCTGTGAATATTGCAGATAATTACATTTTTGTGTGCGTGTAAATAATACATTGTATAGTTAATTCAAGGACGTGTTTGGAGGGTTTTTCTTTTGTGCAGAGTATGTACAATTCCATTATGACAACATTTTTAAATGAAGTGTTGACCTGTTGGCAAAGTGCTAAGTTTTAATGCACCCCTAAGACTTTTTGGAAGCCTTACTTAAAAATACACTTACAGTGCAGGACATTGATGACAAGCCAGATTTTTTTTTTTACATGCGGTGCATTTTCAGTTCTGAATCGAGCCCAAAAAATACTTCTACAATTTACAAGGCTGCGAGTTTTAAATGAATCAGAGATGGAGATTTTGCAATGAATCAGGCACAGAAGTTCAAATTTAAACCCCCCCCCCCATTTTTGATTGATAATACATTGTTTTGTGAGTTGTGAAATTTCATGTTTGAAATTAACCTTAATTTATATGTACTGTACAATGTGGCGTCTAAGAACAATCAAAGTTGTCATTTGAAAATTTCATGTTTTTTTTTAAACCCATAATGTACAAAATTGTGCAAATTTCTGGTATCATGTCCACGTTCGTATCTATAGATTATTATTTGAAATGTGTTATGACACGAGAACGTGAATCAAATGTTGATCAAATTTTAGGCCAAACAAAAAAAGTCTCCGGTTTCTGGTATGGAGCTTGCCCAAAAAGTGGTGCGGCGACGCGGCTTTTTTGTTGTTTACCTGATTTTTTTGCTTCAAATGTCGGCTGATGACTGCAAATGGTGCCCGACTAAACTTAGTGCAAATATATGGGAGTCCAGAGAGGCCACATAAAGCTTATTCTCGATCATAACCCCATCTAAAAACACGTTAAAATTGTGCAGCAGCAGGATTCCAGTCAAACCAGTGAGTTTGGCGGTTTTGAGACATCATCTTTCATTGAAAAAAAAAAAATTTCATTTTGCCGACGCGCATGGCTACGGCGACGCGCGCGCATACCAGAAACTGGAGACTTTTTTTTTTGGCCTTAAGTTGAATTTTTGTGACCTGTACATGTATGTGATACTTGATTTGTTTCCTGCCTATATTTGTACTAAAATGAGTTGCATGTACACGAATATTCATAAGTTCCTGTCAGCTGATAACTTTTCTTTTTGTAGACCCTTCACTTGTAAAAGCCTCCTATGGTTCTGAAATATTCCCCAAAAAATCAGTCGTGAATAACCAGTTATAAATAGATCGTGCTGTAGTTGCTTTGCCACATCACCCAAAGCAGGGTGTTTTTGCATTAAAAGAAAACAAATCAACAGTCCAACATATGATGTAGTGTGAGAACCATGTGTTTAGAGACAGTTCATACTTGACGTGAAAGCGAAGCAAATTTCATGTCAACTATTGATGTTTCGTTTTAATAATGCATATTTATAAAGCATATGCAAATTGGGAGTGCGACAGTAGCTCCAACTGGGAGGGCAGGCCTTGGTAGGTGCAGCAGGCAATATCTCGGATCACATGGGGATGCAGGGGTGCCATCAAAAATATGTAGCAGAAAAAGAAGAGGACACCCTAACGAGAACATTGCGTATCGCTGTGTATCGCTTTATAAAGCGTACGCACATGCATCCACCAGTTCCGGTGCTCGAGGCACTTCATCACTATTACCCTGCTCATTGGGCCAATGAAACATTGCAAATACGTGTACCATCTCAGCTCCCTGGGGAGTATACTGCTGCTGCTGCCATTTTGGCGCAAAGCAGCTAAAATCAACCACAATAACCATCTCTGCCCTCACAGGTACCCATTTACTCCTGGGTGGGGAGAAGCAATGAGTGACAAAGTGCCTTGACCAGGGGTGCAAGTACCATAACCCCAGGCTGGACACGAACCCACAACCTGCAGAATCATTGTGATGCTGCCGAATGCCCTAACGAATTCGCTGCACACCGACATTCTCGTGCAGTATGTTCCGGCCTTAACTCGTCCCTCGTTTTCAGAGCTATGAACTGCTCTGGCGCCTTTGGTGTTGGCTTCGATTGTGATTTTTTTTTGTTTTTTTGTTTTTTCCCCCAGGAAAGTTGTGATACATGTAATTCCAAAAACTGCAGGTTTTTGAACGACCCTGTGAAGAAGACTATTTATTTTGTATTAAATACTGAACATGTGATCAGTGTTATGGAAAGACCATATTGTGAACAAATATGTCTGGCAATTCTTTCTTTATGTTTGGTGCGCTTATATATTGGCTGAAAATGGTGCCCTCTAGAAACGAGCAATACTGCCTAGACTTCAATTGTGCATCAAGTTTGTCTTAAGGCCGGTTCACACTTGGCGCGAACGCAAATTTGTGACGTCAGGGCAAGTTTTTGCGCTGCAAATGCGCAAAAGTTTAACACATTTCAAGTTCAACTCCAGCGAATTTCAGAACAAATGCGTCATGACGTCAAATTCACATCGCATTCAGTGTGAACCAGCCTTAATTAGGGCTGTTAAATTTGAAGTATTTGTACATGCAAGTATTTCTGGTACATGGTAATATATTTTTAGATATTAGAGGTTCAAAAAGCTGATACCTGATATACTTGTACATTGTATGTATCATTTTCCATCCAGCTTGGGCATGTTCTCGGAGCCAATATACGAGTAGTATGTTTACTATACGAGTTAATAAGGAAGTTGAAATGTCATGCCACCTTGAAATTTCAGAGTCACGTTTTTCAAGTCCCAATTTATTCTTCATAAAAACTAGTTAAAAAATACTTTTCCAAACTGAAGAAACGGCTTGTTCTGCTTTTTTACGTCTATTTATTTATTGCTTCTTTTTTTACAAAAATAATTGTTTGATAATTTACAAGTTAACATAATGTACATGTTCACATGTGTGTTCCTGAAAAACAGTCAATGTGAGAATTGAAATATATTTCCATAAAACAATGTACAGGCATTGCTTAAGTGTTCTCTGCTACATGGTTTGATGTCCAATGGTAAAATTACTCCTTGATTTTTTTTTAAGTCATTGTTGAAATGAATCCATGCTAATAAACTTCATCATTAACAAGATAATGTTGTTCCGGTTCTTTATTCGGTTACACCTCTATGTTCCGACACCCCTATGTTCCGACTGCACATATTCCTAACCCTAACCCTAACCCTAACCGGGAGTAACACAATCTAGGTTGTCGGAGCATAGGGGTGTCGGAACATAGAGCAGTCACCCTTTATTCAGGTTTGACCTGTTGCTGATTAATAATAATAATAACAGGTTCTTATATAGCGCTTTTAACTAAGATCAAAGCGCTTTACATTATTATTACCCCTAATCATTGGGCCAATTAAACATTCCATATACCATCTCAGCTCCCTGGGGAGTATACAGCTTGATGCAGCCTGTTAGGCGCAAGGAAGCTAATTCAATCACAATAACCATCACTGCCCTCATAGGTACCCATTTACTCCTAGTGTCACATGATGCTGTGGCACTTTTGCCATGGCCTTTTTCGTACATTTCATATGACACTTGCACATTGCTTTGCCCTTCTCATATGACAGTTGCAAATTTGCCATGCCCTTGTTCGTTGTCGTATAACACATTTGCACATTTCCTGGTCCCTCATGTGAAGCTGTTACATTTTTAGCATGACCTTGTTATGTTTGCCATGCCCTTGTCATATGACAGTTGCATATTTATTTGCCCTTCTCATATGATGAAGCTGCAAATTTGCCGTGCCTTTTCATATACAGTTGCACATTTTCTGCTTGTCATATGGTGCTCTTACATTTTCAGCATGCCCATGCCATATGACAGTTACACATTTTCATGTTCCCTTGTCAAAATGACGCTGTTGCATGTTTGGCAAGCCTTTGCCATGTGATGCCATTGCATGTTAGCTGTGCCCTTACATGATGCTGTTGCATGTTGCCATGCCATGCCATATGACAGCATTTTTGCCTTGGCTTGTTATATGATGCTGCTGCATGTTTAACATGCCATTGTCATATGACACTACATGCATTGCATGTTTGCCATGCCCTTGTAAAATGACGCTGTTGCACATTTGGCATGTCGCTGTCATATGACGCTGTTACTCAATAATTCAATGGCCATCTCCTCATTGCCACTGTGCCGGTAGATTAAAGACAAGTTGTAGGCCAGTTCCGATCGGAGGTCAAATCTGGGGTCGTCACTAGAGGGCGGTAGATCCAGGCCTTTGTGGTAGTAGCGAAGAGCCATATGAAGCAAACCTGGGTTGTGACAAAGACATGAGCAGGGTTTCTAAAAAACTTCTTTTAAATCACAATTTCTTTCTCCAGGAGCAATGCACTACTATTCCTTCAATGACTATCATGAATGACTTCGAAATTCTCATATTTCAGTCTTACAATTCAAAGAAGAATTTCAACTTCAATAAGAATTCCCGAATATAAATCTTTTAAATATTTATAAATATAAATTTTTCACAAAAGTTTTGTTCGCGGGTTTTTCGCCCCTCCCGTAATCAGTAAATATACAGCCCTATCATTTTTGTTCTTGATGTCACAAGATATGTCCACAATCCTTGTGTTCACTTAATTCACATTATAGCAATGTTGTTTCACACTGTAAAATGTAGTTGGAATAGTTTTACAATATTTATAATAGTTGCTTAACAATTATGCATTAATCTCATTATGCTTTTTATTTTATTGTATTGTATTGTATTTGTACATGTGTGTAGTCATTTGTATTGTATGCAGGGCCCCATGGTAATTGGTTTTAAACTGTTTGGGCATACCCTGGGTATAAGAAATGTAACAAATATATAAATAAATACAACTTCTCCATCTTTCTACTGAACGTTTGCAATCTCAGCAATTATTGTGCAAAAGTTGTTACTTGATTATTCAAAAGATTTGTCCAGATCTTCCAGTGTAAGTAATGGAGATCAATGATTTTGCTAAAACGTACCTAATTCGTGAAGAGCACGGCCGATATTGTAGCAGGTCTCCTGGCTGACACCTCTCAATTCCTCATATCTCTTAAGGAAAGCAAACGCCTGGCAATAGGACAAAGTATGAAACTTAATCAACAAGGTTCTGTGCAAAGTACTATCTGTAACCACTACAGAGAAAAAATATTTGGTAGAACTACTACTGACCAATGAAATGACTCATAAATAGGCATAAATCTCATAAATAAACAAAACCATGCACCTGAGCAATCGGCCAATGTCTCCTGCTGGTGTATTTCTGGCAGGTGATTTTTTTTTAATTTTTAACTTTTTTTATGCAAATCGTCCATCACAAGGCCAAAGGCCACTCGAGGTGTGAGCTACAGAGGAAAGTGTGGAAGAACCAGCCCCTTACACTGAAACAAGACAAGATAATCTAATCTCTGCACAGTATGAATAAGGTTGGCATGGGTAACTAGACCACTGCAAGGCATTAATAATGCCCCTACCCATATTAGGCGTAGAAGAGTCATAGCCCAGGCTGGGCTCGAACCCACAACCTGCAGAATTACCCGCAGACCACGAATTCAATGCCCCAGACCACTAGGCCATATGGCACTCCACAGAGTTTGCTAATGCCATAAAGAATAAAAATACTACTGACCAATCGAATGGCTCATGAATATGCATAAAGTTTATGAATAAACATCTGCCCCCACCTGTACAATCAGCGAATGTCTCTTGGTGGTGTATTTCTGGCAGGCGATGTGACAGATGGAGATGGCAATCATGAAGGTCAGGAAGGGGTCGTTGGGTTTCTGACGGAACCCTCGGATGTATTCCCCGATGGCGTGCTTGAAGGTGCCGTTGACCATGGCATTGTGGCCGTTGAGTATGCACAGGGCAATGTTCTCGTGTAATTTCTGAGCGAGAAATGAAACGTAAACCCCCGAAAAAAATGAGGATTGAATTGTTCTACTGATTATTATACATAACTTGTTTAAAACCCTAACCCCCTTGTACTTCCTCAGGGACTACCCTGCAAATCCAACAGAGTCCAATCGGAGTTTCCTGCTCAATCCACTGTGCCTTATTTTCAGTTGTCTGCTAGATCCAGCGGAGTCCAACTTGGCGTTATAATGCGGTTCAGTTGCCTGCTGAATCCAACATTTTGCATCAGGAATGTACACCAGGGGTTAACTGCTCAATCCAACAGGCTCCATCGGGTATATGACATAGTTGGATCCTGTTGGATTCAGCAGGGTTAGGGTTTTAACAAAATCTTGGACATGTGTGTTTGTGGGGTTTATTTTCCACTTCAGCAGAAACTCGAGAGAATTCTCTGTAGTTTCCCCTTTAAAACAATGTCATCATTCGTGTTTAACAATGTTAAACAATGTCATCATTTGAAGCAAGCTCAGTGGTAAGTGAACTGAGGAAACACCGAACAAATCTAAAATTGAACAAATTCTGTGCTGTTATTTATAATTCCAACTGCAAAAGGTATTTGGTTAATTTAAACTCTGTGGCAAAATAATCTTACAGGCAGGTTCTCTCAGTAATTTTCAGATTCCAGCCACAACACGAATCAAAATGATGACACACACAAAAGAAATTTTTTTTCATAGCTCTTCAACAAAAATCTCCCATGGAGAATGTACACTTTTAAAAAATATAAGTAGTTCATTCATCTCTATAACATGTATGCAAAGAGCAGTCCACATTTCTAAACAAGATGCTTCCGTTTGGTTGTTGTCTCTCACTTTATTCACATATTTCACTTACTTTGAGTGTGAGGCGAAGGCAGAATTTGTGGTGTCGATTATCGTTGGTGAGGTTGGTCACAAAGCTAAAGAGATTCCACACTGCTGCACTGTCGGCGTGCTGAAAGAAAACAATGCACATTCAGGTTTATGGCCTCTGACTAGCATCCACCAAAAGACATACACATACAGTGTGTATCCAAAAAAAAAATTTAAACAAAATATAATGAAATGCCAGACATGGAATCTGTGCCCAACATAAATAATATAGGTTTGGTTTGAAAGATACGCCTTTACATTTTAAAATGAGACATCAAACGTCCAAATCTGATAATGTTTGACGGAGCTATGAGTATTTTTCCAAAAAAGGTCAAATTGACCATGGGACCAAGTTTTTGATTTTTGGCATTGGGACAAAAGCAGCCTACATGTAATTGCCTCTGTGTGGATAATTGCCTGGCCTACAAAAAAAATGTGTTTAGCGAGTAAACACAATTCTAAACACTTTCTTGCTATCAGTTTGTAATATGTTTACAGCATGAGGTGATAGCAAGAAAGTGTTTAGATGTTTGTTTACTCGCTAAATACATTTTTCTACCAGGAATGAGCTACGAATCTCCAAGAATTATGTCCGAATAGCCAAGAATAACACTATGAATGAGTACAGTGGAGTGTGATGGCCTACCGGACTCACGTTCTGGTGTTTCAGAGGCAACAGTGACGTGGGTTCGAGCCCGCCGGCGGACACTTGTGCTCTTAAGCAAGGCACTTAACCATTATTGCTTCGTCCTTCGGATGGGACGTTAAGCCGTAGGTCCCGTGTGTTGTATAAATGCACGTAAAAGAACCCAGTAAACACTTATTGCTAAGAGAAGGGGTTTGCCCCGGTGTTTCTGGCCTCCTGTATAAACTCCCACGTGGAGTATTTAGGAGAAGAACCAACCAAGAACCAAGAAAGTTGTCCTACAGATGTCCAACGGTTGCACTATGGACTGATTTTCATGACGATTCACCACGGAAGTTTGGAACAGTTAAAAACATCCGTAGCCCCTCCACGAATACCCAAGAAAGATGACGGATAACCACGAAGGTACTAAGGATGAATACGGTACTCCCACGGTTTATCATGAATTTTAAATCGTGGATATCCATAGCCCCAAACCATGAATGTGTAGCTTGGGCTTTAGGATTTTTAAGGGTGACTCACTTTTGACAGAAGACTTCGCATCTCCTCATAAACTCGTCGGTATTTTGCGCTCAGGAAGTACACACAGATGCCCATGACTTCAACATCCTGTAGATAAAAGCAAATCACATCAAGATCAATTTTCCCCAACGATTTCTCAACAATTTTCCAATTTAATTTTAGATAACCTCAAATAATTTTAAAGAATTGTCTAATGTTCTTAAAGTTTCTCATCTCTTAGTCTTTTCTGCAGATTATTTCCTCAAAAGTGAATAAATTAAACATTTTAAAACTTTTTTTGTACCAAAAAAAGTGTGTTTACCTAACTTGATTTGTTCAAGGCCAAATTGCCAACTCAAACTTGTTATTGCCATATTTGGCCAAAAATTTAAAATAAAATATATATTTGAAATGAAAAAGTCTTGACTAAGAGAATTTGTGTGGTTTTGGTTAATTAAACAATGAAACAGGTTAATTAAACAGAATAATGTAAGATGTACCATAAAGTAAACACAGTAAACACAGTAAGTAAAAAAAGAGTGACAAACATTTAAAAAAAAATAAATACAAAATAAGAATATTTTGCAAAATACCAACATGTATCTTAACTTCAACCCTAACCCTGCCAGACGCAACACAGTGCATCAGGTGGAAAAGTCTGGTGCACTTTGAATTAGATGCATTCAGCTACCAACACCAGTGCATGAACGGCCAGTACTGAGACAATGAGAGTTAATTCCCATTAAACAACGCCGCAGTTGTATCCTGCTGCATTCGGTGACCACAGACTCTGAGGCAGTTTGGCCTTGAGACTTTTGACCTGATGGATCTTGCTGCACTGGGCAGGCTTGTCACTTAGACAAGTGTTGCATGTTGCTACGTTTGACAGGCCTTCTAGCAAACATATACTGGAGGGTTAAAGTTAACATACATTTTTTGTCTTTGCTTTAAATTTGTTCAGTCTATAATTGAGCCTTCCCTACCACCTGTAGTAGCGGGTTTTTTTCTGAGCTAAACAACTCTCTGTGCTTAACAGCTCCATGGAACTGTGCCCCTTCCACTAGTCTCACCAGTTGTTGTGAAGACTCCCTGGCGAATCTCTTAGAGACTAGGACGGTGTTGGACAGTGCCTCTGCTTCCTCTAGTTGCCTCAGCTTGACGAGTGCATCGATGGTCTTACAGTATAGAGAGAACCAGTTGTCATGGCTGATGACGCCCAGGTTGCCGCTAAGCCTCTTAGGAACTATGAAGGAATAAAAATAACTATTACAATTTTAAAGTTGAACAAAGAAATTGACCGGAGCAGGGTTTGAACACGCGTCCTCTGGATTACCGATTCAGTGCTCTGCCAACTGAGCTATCCAGCCCTATGTTGGCGGTTCCCCATTTTGTCAATTTCTTTGTTCAAGGGGTGCTAGTCAGCAACATATGCCATGAAGCCAGGGAGCACACCCAAAATCACTTTAGGCATGAATGTAGCCAGGGATCACACCCAAAGCTACACAGCACTTTTGGCGTGATACCTGGCTACATAGGCCTAAGGGTTATGGCTTAAACTAGCATAGATGGGGAACCGCTAACATAGGGCTTGATAGCTCAGTTGGTAAAGCACCGAAACAATAATTTGGAGTTCGATGGTTCAACCCCACTGCAGTCAATTCTTTGTTCCGCTTTTAAATTGTTATATTTTGCACCTAGTCATTTTCCCTTTGTAGTTTATTATAATAAGAAAAAAAGATTGTTCTTTTTTCGCTTAACCCTTATTCATAATGCATGTCAGATGAACATGTCTAGCTGATGTGATGTCACTCCCTACAGATTGTCACGTGCATTGGCCTTTTGGGCGTCAAATGTTCGTGATGCGCATCAGCTGCGCCGTATTTCGCAGACGTTTCAGCAACATGCACACTGCACATACGCGCACCTGATGGCAATGAACACGCAGTTGTAATTTTCCTAGGAAGATGGCTGCCTATGAGAAAGGTCTATTAAAGGATGCCTCACAAGCCAAATGAATCCTAGAGAATGGGGAACTCACTACAGACTTGTTGATCTTAGTCTGTTCCTTTTTTGCCAGTAACTTCTGAACATATGACTTGGTACTGTGACCGATATTAGATGGCAGTGCAAAAAAACAAGAAGGTTCGATTTCTGTTCCTTTCAATTTACTCTGTTCAACCCTTTTAAACTTTTTTTTTTTTGGGGGGGGGGGGGGTAATTGGGGGGTTGGAGGGGGGATTTCTGTCTGGATTTGACTGCTTTCCTGTTGCACGTGCTTGTTTATTCTTCTGTCTCTCTGACCGGCTCTCACCATTTTTGTCCGAGGCTTGGTTGACGTACGCCATCAGAAGAAGAAGGCTGTCTCTGGTAAACTCCCTGAGCAGACCCTTGGAGTACAGCAGCATGGAACGTTGCCAGATGAGCTGGACATCTGCAGCGACTTCCTCATCAGAACCTATACGACGACAGAAAGAAACCACACTGATGCATGTGACCCAAATATGTGAATTAGATTCGGAAGTCGACGGAGCTACAGTTGAGTTACAGGCCCTTAACCCCAACCCTCCAGGCTATTTTGGCCAGAAACCCTGCCAAACACAGCAACATGCAACACTTGACGAATTATAGCAACTGCGTGTGTGCGTGCGTTGTGTCAACGGTTGCGTGCACCCATCTCCTTCTTCCTTACAAATGCAGACTTCATGGCTGAAGATAATCGCACTGCCAGAAACACCGGTGCGAACCCCTTCTCTTTATAACGATAAGCATACTGGGTTCTTTAACGTGCATTATACATTATACAACACACGGGACCTACAGCTTTACGTTCCATCCGAAAGACGAAGCAATAATGTTTAAGTGCCTTGCTCAAGGGCACAAGTGTCCGGGCCCGGGCTCGAACCCACGCCACTGTTGCCTCTGAAACACCAGAGCATGAGTCCGGTGTTCTTAACCGCTAGGCCATGACGCTCCATTCACGGCTTTGCCGAATTAAAAATGAACTACTAAGTACTAACAGAAGTGTCCAAACATGAGTCTTTAGACGCATCTTTGGAAATTACCTTCTTTTATTGTTTTCTTCAAAATGACAGCATGCCAGAAAGAATAATTTCACAGATAGTTAGTGCCATTACTATCTTTAAACCAAGTAAGCTTTTCAACAATTATTTTGTCAGTTACTTTTTGGATAGCTACAAATGATGTATTCTACCTCCAACTAGTTCTCAGCGAATATCCCTTTAGCATATATATTTACTACACATTGTGTTCTTGGCAATTCCATGCAATTAAAATTTTTTATACCTGTTGATAGTAGCTCTAGGGCTACATCTGCGTTCCCCTGCTGCTGTTCAATGCTAGACAGAGCGATGCGGGCGTCCAGGTGGCCTGGGGCCTTCTGCAGGACCTGACGGTAGGCCATTGTGGACTGCTCTAGCTGGCCTAGGGATGTCAGGCACTCGGCGTAACGGAGCCACACAGCAGCCTGGTGGGAAAGTATTTAGTTAGCTGTCAATGCGGAGTTTAATTTTGGCTTTGGGGGAGGCTTGTAAAGTGGTTGACTAAATTGCCAAAGGCAAATTGCTTGTAGGGGTTTTGTTCTGTGAAATCTTAGAAATCTGGACGCTCTCTCCTGCAGCCATGGGAATGTTTTAAGGATTGTGTTTGTCCTTTTCCTTTTAGTTTCTAGCCGGGGGTGGGGGGGGGAATAACAAGTGTTTAACAAATATGTAGCGACAATTTGATGCAATTTGATGGAAAGAGTTCCATACCTGGACATCACTTGACACCCTGTGCACAAACCCTATGAGGCGGGTCTGAAAAATTCCAAGTGTTTTCTCGGCACATGTAAATGCTCCAATATTTTCCCGGCTAAATTTGACTTTTTAGGAAATGCTATCGCTTTCTGAAGGCTGATAGGTCACTGCAGGGAAAATGTTGTCATGTCCATGTATGGATTTCTTCCCACCACTTTTTTACATTACTGCAATGATGAACATTGCATAGTTTATGTTTATCCCCTAACAATGTATAATGTTTCTGCTTTTTGAGTGAGATTCTGACTGAAATCTGTTCGGCAAAAGAAGACAAAGTCAGAGAATGCATTCACAGTATAGGACCATTGTTGCCTTAATTTTGTTTAAAAACATTTCAGTTAAGATTAAACGAATACCTACCAAATTGTAATTTTTCGTTTCTACCAGCGCTTGGAGTAGAGGCAGTGACTCCCCATAGCAACCTGACAATGCAGAAATGAATCAAAATCACCGATTCGGCGGTGAATTTCAGGACACAAAAATGAAAGGAGCTAGTCAAAAACAACTCACATCCTGTGGACTAATAACTTTGCCTTTACTTTTTCTAAACTATATTTGGACTTTACTTCTTCATGTCTCAAATTCAGTTACCATGGTTACCTTTCAAAAATATTTCAACATGCTGAATAAAAATATATTTGTGCTGGTTTCAATACTAGTATGGCAGATTTTTTTCTCGCTATTTGCAAGATTTAGTAGACAGTCACCATACTGGAAGTATATGAACAAGTTTTTTTTCACAAACAAAGGGTACGTAAAATGTGGTCGGGCACACAAACATGTTAGAAGCATGTAAAAGATAAAATACCAAGTTCAGCATACGCCTCGGCTACATCCAAGACCAGATCCCCCATCATGTTAGGATCTTTGGTCATTAACAGAGAAATCACATTCTAAAAGAAAAGAAGAAAATGAAAAATGGAATAAAGTAGTTTGGGTTTCCCCAAAATTTGCATATACCTAATGAATTAAAGAACTGCATTTTGAGAAAGCTCGTGCATAAGAAACATTAAGGCATCTCATTTTGTTTAAATAAAATTTTAAAAAGATAAGAATTTGCATTTCGCATGATGAAGTCAGCAGTAAGAAGAGTGCCGGGTCCTCGTGGTTTGGAACATTGAGTTTGTGGTCTGCGGGTAATTCTGCAGGTTGTGGGTTCGAGTCCAGCCTGGGGTTATGGTGCGTGTGCCCTTGGGCAAGGCACTTTGTCACTCATTGTTTCTCTCCACCCAGGAGTAAATGGGTACCTGTGAGGGCAGAGATGGTTATTGTCGTTGATTCTAGCTGCTTTGTGCCAAAATGGCAGCATCGAGCTGTATACTCCCCAGGGAGCTGAGATGGTATTTGGAATGCTTCATTGGCCCAATGAGCAGGGTAATAATTATGTAGCACCTCAAGCACCACTAATGGTGGATACGTGCACTTTATAAGTATAGGCGTTATTATTACGCATTACGTTTACAGTTGCATCAAGTGACAGGAAATCTCTTATGTGAGTTGGTGCAGTTCTAAAAAGAACCGGTGGAAACTCGATAATTAGGACAGAAGGCTCCATCGTCAAGAGACTCCTGACAAGCTTTAATTAAAAACAATAGTACTTGGAGTACTGACTGGACTTGTTCAAAACATGCTCTGATATTTCTCAGTCCAATAAATCACAGGGGCACGTTCTATCCCTGGTAACCCACCTTAGCAGACTGAAACTGCTTGCAATGAATCAAGCACACTCCGAGCTTTGCCCGCAGGTCAATCGGTAACCCGTCTGGAACTTCCACATCAACAGAGTCTTGCCTACATGCGCATCGGTGAAATTATGGAAGAGATAACAGTTTTTTAACAAATTGTGAAAGATTTTACTTGGACATGAAAAATGTGTAGCTACTGATCACAGCCCCGAGTACCATATCACAGGAACATGAATTAAAGTCCCTGTCTTGAGTTATGGTTTCAGTGAACAAAAGCAAACGATGCTCAATGATTTGGCTCTCAATTTGTGCTCGCGGGTCTCAACTTTACTTTCTTTTGTTTTGCCGATAGACAGCAAGTTCAGACTGGAAAAGCTTGGAGCAATCTGTTGGAAATAACTCCCGTTTTAGGATTGGGAACACATGCTCCACATGCCAGGAATAGCCTGGATACACCGGATATCCAATGAAAACATCTCCCCACAAGCAAATATTTTCAAACGTTGAAATTTCTGCTCCTCATTGATACAATTTATAAGCACTGAATACTCCACGCCTTCTGAAATGAAAGCTTGTGAGTTCAAATTTGTTTATGTTACATATGTAGTGTGGACATTCCTTTACTTTCGTGAAGTGAAAACAAAATTATTTTACTCACACTGTGAAAACTCTTTCAACCTAATTTCCATGATTCCCTTTTAAATCTTTCTTTTCATATTGCCATGGATAAACCTAACCCCAAAATGCCTCTAAACCTGTTTTCCAGAGAGGGGGAAACACTGTGTGGACATGGGCAAGTCAACACAACGTCGCTGCTACCTGGTTTATGTGGACATCTTTTGTTCAGATGTCCACACAGTGAATGTAATGCTTGTACAAATTTACAAGCTTGCCCGGTTGGGGCTCAAACCCACGACCTCCTGCTTAATGCTGCAGATGTCTTTTCAAACTGACCACCAAGCTCGCTGGGGGTTTGTTAGCACATTCAAATCAACGGGTACCACAATCAGTGGCAATCACAACTCACACGAAAAGCCTGTTGTTAAAGGGAATATACATCATTTGCTTTTGCTGTAATTTTCAGAAATGGATGGAATTGGGGAGTTGGAAATATATAGCAAATATAATTACACTGACTTTTTTGAGGTTTTGGGTTCGAAAATGCTATAAAAACCAAGAAAAACAATCATTTTCCTGTAGTCTGGTTCCCTGACTCCATTTAAGAAGAAACCGAGCAGTTTACATACATTTGGGAATTGTAAGGTCAGGGAACCAGTTTAGCTGGCTTGTACCCATTCATAGGTGTGTATTAATCGATTGCAAACAAGTGCGATGGCCAATGGGGGCCAGTATTTGAAAAAAAGCCAGTTTTTTCCAACGCTGATCGGCCGACCAGCGTTGGAAATTGATACAAAAATACCACTTTTCTTGAAAATGACAGTATACCAGGTGCCATGATTTTACAGGATGCTTTACACTGTCATTCACTAAAAGTCCAGCAAGGTATTTCAAAATGATTTGGTAGTTTTATTTTTTGATGTTTGCAAATGTTGTATTTTCCCTTTAGTTACAACACACTGGCAACAGGACTTATCCTACCTTCAGCATGTTGCATTACAAACAGAGCAGTTTGAAGGGAACAGGAATGTTTTTGAGACAAGACAAACATTTTTGAAGACATGTGTTTGGAGACATTCCCTTACTTTGTTTCTCTGTCAGCTAGCGAGAGTTGCTCCAGATCCAGGACTTCGTGACTGCTCTGTGATCGTACGCCCACCCCGCAGTGATCCGAGATGACCTGCATGGCTTGCTGGTAGTGACGAGAGGCAATGTGCAGTTCCGCCAATATATTCACATCTTCAGAAAACAATAAAAAACACATCATTCTAAAGGTTACACAAGGCAATTGTGTCCTATAAGCAAGACACTTTACCACAATTTCCTATTCCGCACCCACTGTATTGCCAAGGGGTTAAAGAGTTTGTGGAATGCTCGAAGACATTTCCGTCATTTTTCGGGTATATGTAGCCTAAGGTGTGATGAAATAAAAACGACTATTGTTTCTGTCATAAAATGAGTACAAAAGGTACTTTTGAGAGCTGTTTTTCAAGTCCTGTCATGCCTGTTTCGACCCGAACGTGCAATTTGTGTAAAAGTCGTCGCTGCGGGCAGCAAACAAAACACAGTAAATCGTGACGTAATAAACAGGACTCCCGATGCAGAGTAGCATAAACGAGTCCTGTTTATTACGTCACGATTTACTGTGTTTTGTTTGCTGCCCGCAACGATGCCTTTTACACAAATTGCACGTTCGGGTCGAAACAGGACCTGAAAAATAGCTCTCAAAAGTACCCTTTGTACTCATTTCATGACAGAAACAATAGTCGTTTTTATTTCATCACACCTTAGGCTACATATACCCAAAAAATGACGGAAATGTCTTTGAGCATTCCACAACCTCTTTAAAAAAAACATCAGAACTGGATAATATGGTTATTGATGGATTATATGGATTGAGAATTAAGTCAGTAGTTGAGAATTTTTTTTTAAATGGATGACAGATGAGTTTACGATGGGGAAAATAGGACAACGTTATTGCTTCCAAAAAATTGATATCTCAAACCTATAGAAGTAGATGTAAGGGCTCGATGTAGCTAACCACTTACTCCGAATGGTTTTCAATTGCAATACCTTCATCTCCATAATCCTTTTCATTTTGACAACCCAGAGTTACCTCTTTTTTTCACATGGTACAAAAGATTTTTTGTTACAACAGCTTTAAAATTTCCAATCTAGTCAAATTGGTGAAAAAATACACAAGAGCCCTAAAGCTCAATCCAGCCTGTAAATCTGTCTTTCTATACCCTGACTGTTATTCCTTACCTTCCGAGCTGATCAACTTTGGGTGTTTGGCAAATGCATGACTCAAAATGTCCACCGCTGATGAAATGTCTCCGTTCTGGTGATGGGTCTGACAATAACACAGAAAGGCAACAAGAACACACGAGTCATCTACGGTTGCTCAACTGAGTGCAAATCTGTATTATGGCGAACCTCTATATTTTGTCGATGCATACAGGCTTGGCCTTGAACGTCCACAAATGCTTTATTTACAGATTTTCAATTTTCGTTTTGCCATTTTGAAGAGTATTTGGTGCCTTTTTGGTTTTAATGCAAATGCTTATTATTTCTATATTCGTGATCAAAACTGTTATGTCATTTCAGGCAAAAACCTCAATGTTACAGCAATTTCAGCACAAAAAGGTGCCAGAATTTCAGATATTTTGCTGTTGTAAGTTTTCTTTTCTTTGGTGATTTGTTGTACTGTAAGTACATGACAGTAAGCCAATGAACAATCTTTTCTCACAAATGTTTTCGATGAGCAAATTGTGGATTCCAATTTCAGCAGAAAACCCCTGAACTGAATAGTGTCTTCCTAAAATGACAATGTGACATCACAGCAACATTGCCCTCAGTTGTCAGGAAAAGCAGTGAATTATTTTAATGTTTAAAGAAGTGCACTTTTTAATAAATCAAGCAAAAAGGGGTGTCAAATAGCTTTCATGCATTTAAGAGGAGTAGAAAGTTGCACAAAATGTGTTCCTAAGAAAAAAAAATCACTTCATGAACCCTTAAATTCACTTCATTCCCTACCTTGACAAGGTCTTTAGCCAGCTGCATGTACTGCTCCCCTTGGTCCTCCGGCAGGGCTTTCAGTAGGATCTGGTAGCATTCTATCACCTTCTTGGTGTCCTTCAGCTGCTCATACAGGTGGATCCTCTCCATGTGATTGGACAGCTCCTTGGGATTGTACCTGATTGCTGAAGGGAGGTTGAAGGTGGACATTTGATACCTTATAACTCTCACTGAATTGACTTGCGCTACCGTTTCTGCAAAAGGACACAAGCGGCAACCCCACAGATGTTGGGCTCGAACGTGAAATGTGCTGAATTACGCACATCATCTTGAGTTTGATGCACCTGACTGCACATCCGCAGCACTCCACTTTACAGTTGTACTGGGAAATTGAAACATCAAAAAAACGATCAATCTTGAAAAACTGGCATTTTTGTTCTACCTTTTGAGTAGCAGCGTATGGCTTGCTGGATGTCATCTTGTTCCAGGGACAACTCGGCGCAACGTGTCCACTCCTCCGTGTCCCTGGGTCTCAGGTGAGCTACAATCAGAGAAAACTGGAGAGAAAGAAACACAGAAAACAGTCGTTATTCAGGTCAATTCTTTTGCAAACACACATCGGGTAGTGTGTTTTCTATGTTCTCTTTATGCTCATCACAGCAGGGGGCTGAAACGGATAAGGGCAAAGGGTAACAACAAGGAGCTGGATACCATTCCTGCATACAGCCAATAATCTATCAGGCAGTGTTGACAGTGTTATGTCCCACTGGTACCTCCTAACACATTGTGACGTCTCTCTGTCTTTCTCCTCACAGATCATAGCAAGAAGCTGGTGAGGATCAGGAAGATGCAATCTGGAAGTACGCCAGCAAGATAACAGGTATCCCTTGCTATTCTTGTGCCGAGCCGATAACCTCCTGCACAGTCTAATATCCCAGGACCATTAATTGACTAGTGGCTGATTCATGACGTAACTTACGCCTGCGTACTAATACCAACATGCAACCATCCTTGGTCAAAACGTCATCGCAAAACTGCTCTGCGGTCTGGTTCAAAACAGTCGACCAGACTAGTCCAACCATCTTGGGTTAGAGTGATGTTAGCCGAACTATGGCTAACCATAGCCCTCACCCGATCTTGGCCTCACCTGCAGCGATTTCTCCATATCGTCTTTGTCCTCGTAGATCATAGCCAGCAGCTGGTAAGGATCCGGGCAGCGTGGAGCCTGCCTGATGATCTCCAGGCACATCTTGATGGCCTCCTGCTCGCTGCCCCGGGCGAAGCACAGGTGGGCCTCCCCCATCAGACCACGCAGGTCCTTGGGCACCCGGTTGCGTATCCGGCCTCTGGGGAAACCCCGCTTCCCCTTCAGACGCCTCTCCTCTCGACCCAGACGGAGCTCGTGTGTCATGGGAGAGCCCTCTGTTGAGAAATGTACGAGGGAGGGTCCTTGGTTAAAAAAAAGAAAAACTACGCTAAAACCATTTTTAATTTGGAATTCAATAACGATTTTAATAGAAAGACATTTACATAGAAATGCAATTTGGTTAAATCATCTTCCACTAAATTGTTATCCATAGAAATAACATTGGAAATAAAAATGTACTGTACTTCATTTTTACTCAGAATACTTTGTCAATTTGGCGCGTTCACAAATGCTCAAATTGAGTACTCGCCTTTGGAGTATCAGTAAAAAAATTTATTTACATTTGCCAAAGTAGTAATTATAATGATAGGTACTAAACTGGCAAATATAAAAACCTTGAAAAGTTGCAACACGGTTCCAGTTAATCACTGAGAATTGTTACATAATTTGGGATATAAGTTTCTATGTAACACAGTTGTAGTACTCACTAATGAGCATAGATACTACATTACCAAATGTGAATGAAACTTCTTGGGAGTCACATTAAGACTTCGGTATAACTCACTAAAGAGCAAAGGTACTAACTTGGGCATTAAGTTACCTGGTAAGAATGCAAACAGGACTGGAGTAGTACTCACAGATGAGTATAGGTACTAAAATTATCATTTCAGTTTAATACCTGATGAGGATGTTAGTCCAGGCATCCTGGCTTTTGGCGGCCGGCCGCGGGGCCGTTTTGGAGTCACTTGTTCTGGTCTGGGTTTACGTGGTCGGCCAACTTTTCCTGAAGGTACATAACAAAAATCACAACATGCATCAAGAAATGAACAAACTGATCACACTGAACAAAAGCACCAGACTAGAAACTAAATTACTGCAGTTGGTCAATTCTAGCCTCACAGGCTTTACAAATCATACTTTTTTGTTGTGGTACTTTAAGTCCTCAGTGAATAAACCTGAAAATGTATTTATTTTTTTTTTAATCTTAAACATCCATCAATAATCATCTAGCACTAGTAGTGGTTAAGGAGATTACAGACTAGGAGTTTTGGATGCTATCTGTGAATCATTAATTACAAGTAGATCTCATGGTTAATTGGTTCTGTCACGGACATCAAATGTACACTTTCTTGCATAATGCTGCAATTGACCATTTATCAGCCGTTTAGGGGGAATTTGGGGCCCTAGGAATCTGAGATGCCAACCTTTACGAGTGCTAATCCCAGGAGGAAAATATTCCTCATCCTTCTCATCCAATAATTCTTCCTCTCCCTCCTCCTCCTGGTCTGCCTCCGCATCCCCGTCGTCATCCTCTTCATCTTCGTCTTCACTTCCCTCGCTGGCGTTTTCATCAATGTCTCCATCCTTCGTTTCCGTGGGTTCAGGAGCATTGTCTTCCGATGCGAAGAACTTCATCAACTGGGAAGACCAAAAAAAGGTCTAAATGAGGTTTCAACTAGTACAAAGTACAAACTGATATTCTGTGTGATGGCCGGCTGGGGAGTTCTCTTTTGAAATTGAAGGTGGTATTTAGAGTAGGATTACTGAAGTCAAGCAACAGCCGCCGGACAGGTGTAGCGTGCATATAGATTTCTATGAAATATCGCATCATTGGTAGTCTTGCATTGATATTGACGATAGATATCACATTGATCATCAGTTATGACTTACGTCTTGTCCTTGTTTCCATTCGGTGAACTGAATTTCACCATTCAGGTACCTCATCAATTCATCTTTGTCTACATGAATTTCATCAACCAAAACTTCACCACTTTTCTTTGCTTCGTTCATGGTTTTTAAAATCGATGGACACTTTACTGTTTACATGATTAACCTTTCGTAGCAAAATTATTACTCGCGGTAAATAGCGCCCTCAATAGTTCAACACTATATTCTCTAGTTAAGTTCACAACACAGGTGCCACCCAAAAAAAACCGATGTTGCCAGACCCTCCCAAATAAACATTACAACAATGTAGAGAAGATTGACTAGGTCTATTTTTAAATCGATGGTAATCCCTTTCCCCGTGGATCTTATGAATAATTCTACCTCCATGCTGAAGTGCATGGACGACCTCCCCAAACTTTTCGAATACCGGACCCTGGCTGATCCCCTGCAGGTGATCCCGGCTATCGTTCCCACCCCGTCCCCACCACATCTTTAATATTCCGCCGAAATTACCTCAGTTTTTTTTTGCCCAATTAATAAAATTAATTTCTTTGTTTCTCAAGCATTCTAGAAGGTTTTTAGAGTAGTTGTTTAATTATTTATAACCTTTTTTGTGATACTTCTAATATGATACTACGTGTTCTTCCAAAAGTAATCTTAATCTTTCAACTGGCAAATCTTGGGGTGTTCAGGCTAAGTTACTTCATTCGAAATAAGTAGTTTTAGATTATTTAAGAGACTTTGGATAAGGTAAATTGTTTTTTTCTTTCACGGACGTTCAGATGTACAAATGATGATCTTGTACTAAAACTTTGGCAGTCGTCAGAAATTGCCTCAGATCGCACCACAGGGCGCCTTGAATCCAATTTTTTTCAGGGTCCTTAAACGGTCCCCGAACCCCGCGCCATTTAGGCTTCGCACTCGCACAATTAGTACTGATCAAGATACACATGTACGTTCCACCCCCACTTTGAGAAGCGAATGACGCCCTCGAGAATTGGTGCCAAAAGGCTGTTAGAGCTAGGCAGTGGCGTAGCCAGGAATTTTTCAGCTGGGGGGGGGGGGGGGGGGGGTGGAACATTTCATGGGGGGGGGGCGTCATGTAGATCAATAATATTTTTTTTAGAAACTCAAAATCTCAGGGGGGGGGCGACTAAGGGGCGACAAAGTTTCATGGGGGGCTGTCGCCCGCCCCCACGCCCCCCCCCCCCCCCCGTGGCTACGCCACTGGAGCTAGGACCTATACCACTTTGGCCAGGCTTGATTTGTACAGCCCCCCCCCCAACAAAAGTGTTCTGGATCCGTCCTTATACCCCCACTCCCAGTACGCCTAATCTATAGCCACATATTTTTATTATGTGTTTTTTTTTTAGACAGGGAAATTTTCCGGTTCTTATTTCATCATTTTCGTGTATCCAACTCTATATCTAGGCGTTGATTACTTGTAACATGGTTCTGGGGACATTCCTCGTTTTGTCACATTAAGTCACAAATAAAACTGCCCCCAAACGCACATGAAAGCATTACGATCGCGTTTAAAAATGATCTCCTCTCTTGTAATGCAAAAAGGCCCCTCAAATACACAAATACCCGCGCGCATTAACAAGATTGTGAACCTTCTCGAGCTGGAAAACTATCCCTCGTCGAAAACACGAATGACGCCTCTCACAATAAAAAAATTGTGCCTCTCTCAAACTGGAAAACTGGCCGGTAAAGAAATAAAAAGTGCTCCTGACGCTTTTTAAATGTAATGCAAACATTTTGAAAAGTGTATATCAGTGTTGGTGGTAAATTGTGCTCTGGGTAACATGCATTCCTTGCAATGTGAACGAAAATAGTTTCACAATTTTCTCCTTTTTCATACCGACGGAAGGTGAATTTTTCTGAGCAAATGCCTCTTTTTGGTGATTCACCCAGTTTTAAAAACGTTCCGCCGCCGCCGATTGGCGTATTATATGACATTTTGTGCAGGTGTTAGCAAAAATTATACTCGCTTGTTCAGTACACAATACGACCCCAATTATTTAGATCAGTCGCCAAAGGTTCACGGATTTGCTTTGTTTCATCTCAAAGGCCTTTTCGTGACCGTAGACTTGAGTCAAGGCGTATGGCAACACGGACACGAAAAAAGACCATGCGAGTGGCAGGCTCGTTGGCTCCGTGCGCCGTCATCAGGGGCGTAATTCCCGGGGTTGGGGTGGGGTGGGGGTATATACCCCCACACTTTTTGACTGCAGGGATGGGCTATTGAATCATCCCCCACTTTTTTGTGATGAGAAAAAAAATGAGGAAAATGAGGTATTTGCCGAGCGTCCCAGCAACTAAAATGTATTCATTATATAGCACTGGAAAGTGGAGAAACAAAGTACACAAGCTTTTAGAAATGTAAGCGAGGGTATACAATCATTGATCAAGAGCGTCCCAGTATAATGTGGTGTTCAGCCCCCCCCCCCCCCCCTCGAATGTCCACGGCCGGGCAATTTGGGCGTTTCATGTGCCACCAAGAGTTTGCCACGGAGAGTTCATTTTTCCTAGTGCATTGTCGGAGATGGTCGACAAATTCGCAGCACAGGACATTTGAAATTGTCAGTTTTTTTCCGGTCAGCAGTTTCGTAAGCGTATGATTCGAGTATAAATTTGCCTTTTTCTTTTCTTTGTATCAATATGGTGTGTTTAGTAAGGCGGCAGAACGCTATACCCGAATTCATAACCACTTAGCTTAGGATTTTGGTCATCCCCCATCCCCCCCCCCCCTCCCAACTCGCCAGCACAGATTTACACCACTGGCTGTCACTGCACTCGCGTGGTCACGATTCATGACACCGGCTGACGTTAATGTGACATTGTATTATAATGGCATCATTCCCTAGACTTAGCGTAAGTACAAGAAAAGATGAATTTTCCCAAGCTAGCTAAGGGAGCTGAATTAGAATCAGACAAACAAAATTCTCTCGTAAATTTGTAAACGGGTCAGTAGTTTGATATAAATATAATGAGGTAGGAGAAACTTGCTAGAATTTCTCTCAATCATAGCGACATGTCAGTGCCGGCCGAAAGACGCGCGACGCGAAACAATAATTGATGAGACAGAATAAGGACGAGCTTGGTAAGGTTAATTGCTCGTAGTGACTCTGAATAGTCAACTGCTCGGTACATAAGAATGATTGTAGAAGAGAGTTACGTAACAGCATTCATGTGTATAGCGCGATGCTGATGCATCTTTCGTGCAGCTATGAAACACAAAGTAACTCTCCCACTTCGGAAATAAGGATGTTTTAAACCGAAGAGAAAAATACCTACTGAAACAGCCTAGTTGTTAAGCTGTCTGACAGCGGACCCAGGGGTTAGGGGTTCGAACCCGCTTGGTGTCATTTTTTGGTTTTCGATGCCCGCGGTTCGGTCATTTAAGAGTATTAATTTCCCGTAGTCATTTACCAACAGCAGTTAGCTCGGTCGGTCGGTAAGCTGACTCACAAGTTGGGACTGACTGCGAAGTCCAGGTTGGCATCTGCGTATAGGTACGGGGTTCTTTTGCTGACTCGGCAGCAAGGCTTAGGGTGCCACCTCGTTTCCTCCCTTTATGGTGCCTGACTTTCGAGTTACATGGATGGACAGGGAAGGCCAGGAGGTGTGGTGGGCCGGGTACCGAGTCCCAGAAGAGTTCTATATGGAAGTCGGTAAGGGGCTCATTGAGTTAGGGTCATAAGTCCGACTCCTGAAGACTTGGCCATCGCCACATAACTTTTTGGTGTTTTTTTCTTTCTTTTCTATCGAAGGACAATTGCAAGAATGATTACTTTGTTATATTGAGAGCTTGTACTGTAATCGTTCGAAATTAATTTTCTAAATTGCACGAAAATACAAAATTCAATCCAGCTATGTTTTTATTTCATTGTCGCAAGACTGCATGTACATGCTCAGTACCTTTGCGCATACCTTGTTCAGGCCTGTTCCCTGATCCCAGACTGCAGGGGGGGGGGGGGGGGGTCTTTAAATCCTATAGTGGAATGTTTATATATTTTTATATTTTTCATATGCACAGCTGTAGCTGTCAACCCCCGTATATGAAGCGACTTCGCGCGGCAGCTTGTGCCGACATGACAGAATGTACAATCTTTTGACATGGGTTTCAGAACCGGATTTTAGCTTCGCGGAGTTTTGATATAGCATTGGTGTTTATTATTTACATTCTCCACTTTGTTCTTATTCCCTCTTCCTTTCCCCCTCCTTCTCCATTCTTCGGGACACTGGTGCCTAGGGCCTACGAAACACCTAATGCGGTCCTGAATACTTTAGTCAAATTTGGGGACAGACAGACAGACAGACAGCCCGACAGACAGACAGACAGACGAACCGACCACTAAGTGACATGTAAATTAGCTCCTGCCAGAGCTTAACATGTTAAGTGTACACTAAGAATATTACTGTCTTGCGGTGATGAGGAGATGCAAGCAACAACACACAATTAAACACACAGTTAGTCAGTAATCTCACTTCAATATAGCATATTTAATTCAAAAGTAGTGAAAATTCGTAACATGCTTCGTATATAAAACCCTATATACATGTATAATATTAATACGCGTTACAAAAAGTTTGACATTCAGCCACGACATTTCGAAATACCATGTGTTAATTGGAAGCACTGGTCTTATAACAACAAATTCAAGTTTTGACATGCTGGGTAATTAATTGTGGAAAAATGTATACATTTTACAATATGATTCCTATACACCAAAAGAATATTTACAGTTGTATGTAACTCGTTGACAATGACGAATCCCTTTGTAATTGTTGTTGGGACAAATAAAATACCTTTTGCAGAACATGGGTGGAGTTGGGTTGAGCTGACTTGCCATGAGAATTTAAAAAAAATGAACAAAAGTACACTACATCATAATTGACATCGAACGCTTGTCTATTTAATAGGCAAATAGAAAATAAAAAATAGTTCGAATGCCTCGTGTCGTCTACAAAGTTATTAACCATTCAGTATTGTTAGAAATTCATCAATTGTACGAAATAGCCAATTCAGGCATGACGTATCACACAAGTTCATTCAAACAGTGTCACGACCCCTTTAATTATTCGGATCAGAGTAGCGCCAGGTAATGATGCACGACGAACCATACATGCAATCACAAAAACGCGCGATACTTTCTGCCACTGCAACATACAACTTCTACATCCTGCGATAAAAACTTGAAACAAACGTGCAGTAAAGCATAAAAACAACATAAAACTGTTCTCACAGTGAACACACTTAATTCATGTCGCCACAGATAACTGAAATTTGAACGCAATTTTTTAAAGTAGTTTTGTCTCATCGAATTGCCTCATAAAATGTTTGCCTGTCAATTACGGTCGAAATAATAGTATATATCCTACTTCACGTTAGGCATTTTGCTTTTCTCTTTTCATGCACAAGATTAAAACTGACATGTCAACTTCATGTTGAGTAAATTATCTGTACGGATTTAATGCAAGCAAAAATAATAATGTTAACAGAGAAACAAAAGTATACATGTATTAGACTTCACTTGATCCTCCATCCATTATACATGTATGCCCAACATTTCACGTTTCACGATCTAATCAGTACTTAATAATCCACATCCTCCGTATCCTTTTTTTATTGTGCCTCCGAAGTAGGATCGGTCGGTCGGTCGGCGAAAAATAAAAATCTGAAGTAAAAATAAATTGCAGTTGCGCCAATGAAGATGGATAAATTGAATGATGCCAAATGCCTACTGTCTCTTTGTTTGTAATTGTAATGAGTTTATCAGAGTTGAAATCACGGACTAAAATGATAAAGCCATCTTCGGTAAGATGTTGTTGACTAATTATAATTATTTATTTGGGAGCCTAATCGTCCTTACTCGCAGCTGAGAAGCTGAATTGCGAAGGACGCGGCTACAACGTGGTCGGGCCGCTGGCACGTAAAGGTGCCTTAGGCTGCCACCAGCCACATCGACCCATGACCACGGAGCACAGGCAGGGATCAAAGGTGTTTGATTGTTCCAGAGGGATGAAAACCGGAGAGCCCGAAGAAAAACCCCAGTGGCATGGGAGAGAACCAACGCACAAGTCTACTCACATATGGTCCGCAGCCGGGAATCGAACCAGGGCCACAGTGGTGAGAGGCGAGAGCCTTACGCACTAGCCACTCATGCCACCCTAACGTTATCCACACCATGCAGCCCACATACGTGACCATAGTGTCAGCCACGACATAATAGTAAAGATAAGCTGAAGACCCCTGGTATTTTGAGTGGCAATAGACCCCTGTCATGTTGCGGCCATCTCGATTTTTTCCCGTTCAAATCAACGTAACCAAAGCGAGGCTGGAAAGAAAAATAGTCTGGTTCCCTTTTGCACAAAAACCATTATCATTAATTATTGTTATCGGATACAGGGAACATGACTGAAATGGTGGCAGCATGATAAAGGTCTATACCCTCCGCATCTTCTGGGATTGCCTTGGTTGATACACGCCGTGTTCACTAAAAACCGAATATTAGTTTCCATATCATTCCAAATAACACAGAGCCTGATTGCCTGAAATTGTTTCTTTGAAGTTTGGGCTCCAAACAGGGTCGGCGGTAATGAAACAGTTTTTTTAATTGGGTCGGGAACCCAAAATAGGGTGGGAAAGAAATGAGTACCAAACAATGAAATATAGGAGGCATTCATTTAGAAGTTTTCCTTGCGGAAGCCGAAGCCGTGATCTTGACACTTGCGTTTGATGACCTCGCCGAGGCTTGGCGAGCCGCAGAAGAACACCGTGACTTTGCCCCGCTTGCCCCGGGCGATGTCGTCGAAGACCCGGTCCCAGTCGGGTCGGCCGGGCTGCGTGCGCGTCATCAGGCCCGTGATCATGTCCCGCCGTTTCTTCTTGTGGATGAGATCCAAAGCCATGTGCAGGCCAATAGCCTATGATGTATACGCAGAAGAAAAGTATTGTTAAAATGCTTAATTACGTAGGCTAAAACACGTGTGGGTCTACACCGTCAACGGTAAAAGAGAGAAAAGGAGGGAGGGAGATAGAAAGACCGCTAAACTGAGGAACAGTATATACCGTGCATGGACCAGCGAATTGCAGTGCCTGTGAAACAAGATGTCACCCATGGATTCATAAACATCTGCTGGCCGTCGGTTCCAAATTGTTTGTTTGACCTAATTTCTTCGGTAAAGTAGTTCCAATTCTCAAAAAGAAAATTAAACCTCAACCACTCTAAATCATATTATTCATCTCATCGACAAGATAAATAACCCCGGGAACGTAGTATACGACTTTCAACTTAAATTTGGTCGTTTAGACCAGCCTCAAAATGACACACTACAGATAAATACATCGAACTATACAATGAATCGTGCTGCACTTCTATCTATGAATCGAAGACTGATTGAACTGGTTCTAGACAAACACCTCCCAGGACCGGACTAGCCCTGACTTTGTGAATGACTGAACTCGGCGCAGGACGCAGTGAAACTAACTTCTCTAAAAAATTGTCCAACCATGTCCCATCCGGAAATCAGATCTGCAGCAGTAAGGCTACACTTCACAGATGGCCGGATGTTTAACTAGCTAACCTACGAACCGACCTATATGACCGGAAAATCGACTGACCAATCGGAAAGAAGGAAGCCGAAGAAGCAAAGACCGGACTTTCTGGCCCTACCTTCATGTCATGTTTGCCTAAAGCAGCCGTCATGTACAGATTGATATTGATGAATCGGTTGGATGACATCATCTCCTCCTGCTCCAACTCGATGTGATTTAGGAGGCTGAGAAACCACTCGAAAGATCGCTGCTGCCGCGTGATCCAGAAGAAATCAACCTGTATATCAAATAATGAGATCACAGTGAAAATGTGTATGTAACATCCCACATTATTTCTGCAACCATTGTCAAAGGTTTGATAAATGCAGGTTCGCCGGTAGCGTTACTGTTGGCTGGTTGCAAATCTCACGTCTTTGTGGTCCTCGTGGTCCTCGAGATGTGGTTTGAGCGCTCAATATCTCAGCCATCACATTTTTATAACCTAAGATCCACTACCGTAAAGCCAATTTGATCTACCGTACTTTGAAGTTTAGTAATTATGGAGAACGTATACATACTTTATGGTCACATCTCTTTTGCTAACTAAACGCTTGCATTAATGAATGTGGCGTCTTTGAGAGAACATTTACAAAAAAAAGAGCTAGCGTGAGTGAGTCTTGTTTTACACTTTACCTTCTTGAGTCTTAGAAGCGATGGCGTGTCCTCCAGCCAGGCATGGTTGCAATTCTTGCATCGCTTGGTCGCCATCTTGTGCCGTTCGTGGATACTCTGTAGGATGGAAGCGAAGGGCGTGATGCCGATGCCTGCGCCGATCAACACAGCGTGGTCTGTCTCGAAGATGTGCTGCGAAGGGGCACCGTAAGGCCCGTCTATGTACACCTTGTCAACGGAGTAAGGATAATCATAATAATAGCAAGTTTGATTAGAAACTATGTTAAGTTAATCATAATTCGACGAAATTTGACCGAACGATGTGTAATCAAAGGTGGTTGGACTAACCCAGTCGACGTTTTGACCATCGTTTGAATGCAGACGTTCGCACGTTGCTATTTGTGCGCAGGCGTAAGTTACGTCACAAATAATCGACCAATGGACCTCAATCGAACTGGCTTGGTGCCTTGGATCACTTTGTTTTGATAGAACTACGTCAGGGCGATAACACGTTGAAAAAACATCTTAGTCCAAACTTTGAAAATCGAATCATTTTAAAAGCAATATTTCTCACACCTCAATGCCTGTGTGCTCGTCGGGATTCTGGAGTGTTTCGACAACGTCCAGGGAATGTTGGGTAAGCTTCCTGTTAAAGCTGCTGCTTCGCCGACGCGACGCCGGCGGTGACCGCGGGGCCCAGGAGACGAACGTCCGGGGCTGAAACCCCGAGGATCTCCCCTTTAGGTCAGTGTCGCTGCGTGCCGAGGATTCCCTCACCACACCGTGAGGAAACTGTCTCTGTTCGATAGACACACCACTGTCCTTTCTGGACTGCCCAGCAGTGGCGGTCGCTGGTTTTGTAGCAGTCGCTTTGGACGATGATGACCTTTCCTCAACGTAGCATTCGCTGATGAGCGAGCTCATCTTGTGAATCGGTGGGAGAAGCACGGGCCCCGATTGCGACTTCGCCCTGGTCGGCTCCACAGGCAGGATAGTCTCGATACCGCTCTCGGCATCGCTCAGGTCCGAGTATCGATTCTTATCGACCTCGTGCTCCTCAACGTTATTGCAACTGTCGACTCTCTGTCGATCATCTATTCGACACTGCCTTTCGTCCTCGTTCGTCAGCGTCCCTGGTAGGGAGAATCGCAGCTCCTGTCCTTCCACGGAGTCGCTGGTGCTTCTCTTGGGGGACGTGTGAGGGGATCGTAATGACCCTTCCTCCGCGAGGACCTCTAGGGTCTTCACTTCCTTGCCCTCGGTGGCCGGGTTATCGTAGCACTCTGTTTCCTTGTCTTGACGTTCCTTGAAGACGGCGAGGAGACGTTTGGTCCAATTACCAATGGCTCGAACGTGAAGAGTTATAAAAGCTGTACATTTAAAAGAAAGAACCACATTTACAAACTTTTCAGAACAGCAGCGCCATCCGGTGTCCTCGTTCATTTCGAGTTAATAGGCCTACATCACGACGATTATACTTTATCAACGAGCACCTGAAACGGTTAGCTTGTAGGATATCCCCCTAATGATGGTTACATAATTAATTCTACTTTACTCATTTACTCCGTGGCTTTGAAAGGTCTTTCGGTCCGTACAATGTGGTGTATGCGATGAAACTTTTATACATGTAATAGAATTCTTGAAAGAGAGACGTTCTGCGAAAAACCAGAGGTTGACCTCGACATTTCGATCAATAATGTTCTAATGGACATGGGGAACTTTAAAACAATATATTTTGTTTTTAATACTAAAAGGGAATAATCTGACCTTTTTGTTCAGGCGCGCTGGTTATGGTGAAGGGATGCCACTCATTCCTAGCTATCTGCGGGATGTTGATATGGACATACTCTCCTGGATGGTAGCGCAGCTTGGGAGGTCTGGGGATGATCAGCAGGGTCACCTGTACAGGATAAATGAGGTTAGACTTGTTGGGTATTTTCAAAGACTTACTATCCACCAGGCAAGCCATTCTGTGTACATAATGTTGCTAGGCCTCGATGAATGAGCATACAATTCGATAGAATGGCATGAGAATTATTTTTAAAAGTTTTTAACATTGTGCAACATCAGAGGTATGGGCACGAATTGTTTCCCCTTGCTACATCATGCATCGTTTGCAGTGTGAACACTGTCACCAGTCTGTAGGATAGTGCGCGACACATAACAGAGGTTGTGGATTGCTTGAAGACATCTTCGTCATTTTGTGGGTATATGTAGCTTAAGATATGATTAAACAAACAGGCTATTGTGTCTACCATCTAAATAAGCAGATAATCCATGAAGGCTTGTCTATACATCATGCGAATGCGAAGCGAATTTGACGTCATCAGGAAACATTGGCTTCGAAATTTGCCGGTGTAGCGTGAATATCCGACTCCATGAAATGTGGACTCATTGGTAGTACTGCGCACGCGAGAGTACGATACTATGCTATTTTTAGGATCGTTTCGGGAGAGTGACCTGTCACGTGAGAGGGATCAACCAATAATAGGGAAATAGGGGTCCGATTTTCATAGGAGTCGGATTTCATGTGACACCGGAAATAAAATGTGTTTAACTTCTTTTTCGAGTTCGCAGCGCAAACACTTGGCCTGACGTCACAATTTCACGTTCGCGTTCACTTTCTATCGCGCTGACTATGAAACGGTCTTAAGCTTCGAAAGAACACTGTTAGCTTGGTCTGTTCGGTGATTACATATCCATTTTATTACAAAAAAGCTGCAATGATTTCTAGTAACAGGCAACTCACGTTTGCGGGTAACACCACGGCTTTCTTGATGTACGTCCGCCCGTCACGGGCTCGGCGCACCAGCTTTAGTCGCAGAAAACGCTCAACGGCGTACAAGGTGCCAGGTAAGATGAACCACATCCAGAACGTGGTGGCGTGGAGTATCAGAAGAATCCAGAAAAGGATGGAGAACTGATGCGTCATGTGAAACACCTGGGGCAAAATAGGAAGCAATATAGACCATGTCGGTAAGCATCTATATGGTGAGGAATTTAAACCGTAAAGTGAATATTACTCATAGAATTATATATCTTTATAAATGAAACGAATGAATACCTTTCAATGAAAACGTGAACAACACAGCTACAGTCACACTGTTCGGCAAAACGAATTTCAACTCAGCGACTAACCCATTATATTTAAAATGGCAATACTGTGGAATGCTTGCTTCTAAAATTTCGACATATATCATTTCTAGACTTACAGAAACACATAATATAGACGAAGAAAGTGTAGGACATCAAACCGTGAGCGGATTATAAAAGGAAGAAAACAAAGGTCAGTATCTGGCGCGAATCACATGAATCTGATGTGACGTCAGAAAAAAAACCCCAACATTGACTGAATTACCTGGAAATAACCCCTCCGACGGATGAAGGAGAACGAGAAGACGAAGATGATGACAAGAATGACGGTCAGGGCGTGACCCGTGACGTTGGCGGTCCCGCCCACCCAGCCAATGCCGGGCGTCAACGTGAACAGGTACTCTACCAACGTGTAGTTGGTGGCTTGGGAAAGGGCGACTATATCGGATAATAAGCAACACCATATATTAGTCATACTGTAAAAACATTGGCGGGAAAAATGTTTTGGCAATGGAACATTGAACAAGAATTAGGCACCCACTGCTCAACATTTCAAGTTAATTCTAGTAACATTTTTAGGAAGAATATTCCCAAAAGTGTCCAGGTTTTTTATATTTAGGCCAACGCCGAGCAAGAATGTGTTCAACAATCAAATGCTTTAGAATATATACTTGACATTAAATCTTCAACCAGTCAATACAAAGAATGTCAGTTAGGGTGAAAAATTTCACAGTAAACCGAGTATATAAGAAAAATGTGGAGCTTTGCATACTTTGTAGGATATACTTTATTATAAATGATGATGACATTCATGGTAAAGCCAAGGAGACTTAAGAGGGATAATGATATATTTAATTGAAAAGAGAGTACCGGTAGTTTAAATAGGACAAAAGCAAGTTTACCATAATTCAAGACATGTCCATTAATATGCACCACGGTTAATCCCACGATGACGTAGCCGACCAATTTATGCAAGTCAACATGCTGGTCGATCAGGACCAGCGCTAGGGTCACGTTGGTACTGCGGATCAGCGTCAGGCATTTACGGAGCATGAGACAGAGCACGAACACACAGTCGAAACTCAGACATCGACCTAATTAGAAGAGAAAACATCAGGGCTTTCATTCGGGCAATTGGCGTTATTGTCACGGTCATTTTCGTTGCTATCTGCAAGGACAATATTGCAATGATTGTCATCGTAAACAACGACGATGTCGTCCGAAGAAAAAAAAATTCATTGTCGTAAAGAAAACTTATGTCTGTGTATTATTCGGCAGCAAGTTATTAGCTTTCCAGTGACTAATTGTCAAATATTCAAGGTTTAATTATGAACGTCGTCGTTAATACTCCAAAAATAAACGCACATAAGGCCCAAAAAACCTCTGGTCAGACCAAAGTTCCGGAATTGACGCGGGGACGCGGCTTTTTTTTTTTTTTTTGGCTTTTTTTTTTCTCCAAGCTTGGACTGTACAGACAAGGTGGGGTACTATTTTGCTATTTGGTGTCCTCATGTACATTGGTGTCTTCCATAATTTGCCTTGGTGCTCTCGATCATTTGCCTTGGTGCAATTTCCCATTCCTTGGTGCTCTTTGGTTAAAAAAAAATTGAGGAGGTGCGGCAATAGAGGGCGCTGTTGGAGCCACCGCGGAACATTTTGGAAAAAAAAGATTGACGCGCATCATTAAAATCGACGCGCGCGCTGACCAGAGACCGACTTATTTTTTTTTTTGGCCTAACACCAGATGAAACATTCTTATTTCTTCAGGACTAAAATTTGAGTGAATATTAATAAAAGAGTGCTTGGCTCGTTAAAATACATAAACAAGTTTTGTATAAAAAGTTCATTAGCAATTTATGATGTTAACAGATCACACCTGAGCAATGCCAGGAGATTAAGAATTAAGTTTTAATTTTTTTTTTGACCAACGAAATTGGAACCAGATAAATATTATATGGCGCAAAGGTGCGTACCAGCTCCTCGGGCAACCATCAGCCACGGCTTGTCTGGAAAGGCTCGCCAGGACCCGACTACGCCCCACACCGTCAGCCCCATGTGGAGCACCACGTACGCCGCAAGGAAGATGATGGTACAGAGGTTGTTGCGCAGACTCTTCACGCCGAACCAGGACGGGCAGCACTTGTCGCAGCAACGCCGTTCTGACGACTTCTTCTTCTGAGATGCCGACGGGGGACGCAACCAGTCGGCTGCACTGCGGGTTGCATTTATAGGAAAAGTAGAAAAGTCAGTAAATGTATTTTATTCCACTGTAAATCTTGTTTCCCTGTAAAAATAGGTGCTTAATAGGTGCTCATCTGAAACGGATTCATCCTCAATAGACCGATTTAAAGCCTCCATTATCTGCGCACGAGAGCAACACCACATGCACTGGATCTGTTTATACTGTAGGGTCTAGCCTCGCGTGTCAAAGGCACGTCCACGACTGTTGTCCCCTACATTAAGCATGGATGTGATTGGCACAGTCGTCGCGGGGTACGGCTTAGGCCTAATGAATAAACCTTGGTTCACCAAAAAAAATATGGCCTAGTCGTTTTGAATGACACAGGCTATTGCGACTAAATCTGATCAAACACTGTCTTGTCAGCGATGTCTAGCCGACCTAAGGGTGCAACAGTGAAAAAAAATTTCCCATAGCCACTAGTGCTAAATGCCCATACTTCAAAATTCTTTTTAAAATACTCAGAACTCTCACAGGTAGGGCCTACTTAAGCTGCACAGAAAAATGATGATCGACATGTCATCTTTTAATTTCTTTTCATTTTTTGGTGGATTGACCATTGACTTTTCGAGAAATTCTCGCCCAAAGAAGACGACCCCTGTTTTCCCTAAAGCGGAACGGAAGCCGTCTTGAAAAACGATCCCTCCACAACATGGCAAAATAGCGCCACTTTCGAGCCCAATTGTATCCAAAATGCTCAGAATTGGAAGCCCCGAGTCCGGGCCAGAGGTTCATTGCCATATCTCTTCAATTCCCCAATGTTATGGCTCTCAGAACTCTCTAATATAGAATATTTTGAGGGTATAACTTTTATTCATGAGCTCAGCGGATGGGTTTAGGCCTATTTACAGTGTGCACCCCTAATGAGTTTGGTTGCTTTGCCGGGCGCATTACAAAGTACAGCAGGGAGGTAGAACCAAGCAGTTTCGCGATGACGTTTTGACAGTTTTTTAACTAAAGATATTCGCATGCCTAATACGCATGTTGGGCATAGTTAGCTACGTCACGAATTGTCCCTGATCTGACTTGCTCGAACTGCTCACCTTATAGTCAGGTTTGCGGCGATATCCGGGTATTTCTCCAGCTGCACCTGTAATTCCTCGAAGCTGATGGTGCCGCTGGAGTCCGTGTCTGCTTCCTCAAACAGCACCTCGGTCAGTTCGTCCAGCGTCTCCTCGCTAAGTTGGAGGGCGCTCTCTGCCGTGCAGGACTTGAGCACCGTGCGCAGCTCACTGAAATCAATGGAGCCGTTGCCTGGGAGGGAAGTAGAGGGAGCGGAGATTAAGAGAAATTGGATACAGAGTTTGTAGTACTTTTAAGCGGTTGCATACCGATGTTCCCCATCACTAACCTTTACCCTAACCCTAAGGATTTTGGGGAACATGATAACATTAGGTATTGGGGAACATCGGGTAGACCCCCTTCTAAGCATATACGGGTGTCTAAAAAGCCAAACCCTCAAAGCCCACTCTTTTGCACAGCTTAAAAAATACCTCGCAAATATCAAAACATTTTGTGGAGAGTATCAACGAAAAAAACATGACAATCGGGTAAATATTGAGTTATGAATGCCAATTCAAAATAATTAAGTGCCGATTTTTCAATCTGTCCACGGTCTCAATTGTCATCATTGTTAGGAAGGTAATGGATTGGGGATGATGGTATAGTTTTGCTTTCTTTAATGTTTTATTTTTTTATTTGATTGTTCCTTTTTTTGCAACGAAGGTCATTAATCCTTTTGGAAGTAATGGTAGTCCTGAAATGAATTTTTTTTTATTGAAAGTTAGGCAAAGGGGGCTGTATGCACTGTTCGAGGAAGCCTCATCCCGAAATTTAAAATCCATGCAAAATTATGAAAGATTACAGTATTGACAGAATTATAGGTTTCCCTGGCTATTTTTAAACGTTATTCATTTAAATTTACCGTTTCTAATATTCATATTCATCAATCAACTTCGATGAAGTGCACTTCCAATGTTTAATTTCGTCTTTTGTCAAACAATTTCAAATTAAGTTTAAGCAAATTTAAACAATCAGTACACGTTTTTGTCCCGGAGTATTCCGTTTCGTCTCGTCCTTGCAAACCTTGTTATTCAGAAATCAAATTCGTCTAATTGATTGATATCAGACAAATTCGATATCTGAATCATGCTGCCATTCAGCAACAGCTTAGACGAATTTGATCTGTAATGACGAATATTCTCGGCCCGGTGACTAAAGAGCAGTGTTGTAGTCGAGGCCACAACCTCCGAGGCCGAGGCCAAGGCCGAGGCCACAACCTCCGAGGCCAAGGCCGAGGCCGAGGCCAAGGCCGCAACCGCAAGGCCAAGGCCGAGGCCACCACCTCCGAGGCCAAGGCCGAGGCCGAGGCCGGCTGTCAAAACATGTAATAAAATATAAATCACTAAAACAAGGCTAAGATTATGTTGGAGTTTTAACATATTTTTATTTGAATTCACTGAGTTTTGGAGTGCCTGGCTTACAAATTTACAGCTTGCATAGGGTAATTTCCTCTTGTAGGGAGTCCCGCGAATTTTATTTTTTAAAGTAAGAAATCTCAAGTTTTGTATCACTGAAAGCAAATTGCACAACAAAATCAATGGCGTTTGAATCAGGCTCATAGGTGTTTGCCCTTTGGAGATACAACAATTTAAATGGCCAAATTTTGAGTTTTTATTCTGTCAGATTTACATTATTTACTTTTAGCATGTTTTATAAATCTTATTTTCAAAACCTATCAAAATGCTTAGAATCATAGGAATCCCCATTAAATAAACAACAACTTGATTTTTGAATCAGGTTTTTACCACTCATAACCAAACAGTTTCGACCCCCCCCCCGACCTTCGCACTGTCCAGGCGCGCGCCGAGGAAACACCGCGATGCGACCAGACAATGCCAGACGGCCCGCCGTTACGCACGGGCAAAGCATAGTTCCAATCCCGCTCCACACAATGGGATAAGTGTCCACGCATTATCACTGTTATAAATACCGCGGTACCAGACAAAGTCTGGCAATGACCAATCCCACTCCAAACAACACGGCAACACGGAACATGCGTGCATGAAATCACTCAGTTCATCAAATGACCATGAATTCTCGGATCATCCGATTTGAATCCAATGGCTTCGAAGAATTTTAAGATCATGGCAAGAGGTAGGGAGTCCAGATGTTTTGGCCGTATTTCTGTAACCACGCAAAATTAGTCAATTTTAAACCGTGCTTATACATGTAATAAGTATCAACATGGCTCTAAAAATACAAAAAAAGTATCCTGGTACCACGAGGAATACTGACTCCTATTATTAAAACATTCATTCAGAACTTCGCATTCATTTGGATGGAAAAACGAATTCTGAAATCGCGCTTTCCATATCGACCATTTGCGCCAAACATTACCGTGTGAGCCGGAACTTTCATTTAAATCACCGTGTAAAAATAAAATCTACTTGATGAATCGAAACCGTTTTTCATATCTTTATGAAAAAAAAAATGGTACAGACCAGTACACTCGATCGTACCCAGAAAGTTCAGACTTTTACTTAAAACAGTGGCCTATAAAAAAAAAAAAATAATTAAGCTTGCCGCACCTTGCCGCAAATCATTTTTAAAGGTCGGGGTACAGAGGCGAAACGAGAAAATGTTGTACAATACTGCAACCAGACTAGTCTACTACCACATGTTATTGTACGCAGATGGAATTGGTGCCAGACTTATGTAGTCTGGCACGCGGTAACAGTTATAACGTTTGCACGCACGTAGAAAGCTGAAGCGCAGGCTAGGCGAAGATGCTACGTACACGTACGTGAGTACGTTCAATGCAACCATTTCCAGTTCATTCGTGCGTACATTGTATATGCGTTCGTTTCACGGAACCCACTGCGGCAGAATCTCGAGGGTTTGATACGGTAAAAAATTAAAATTAATTAGAATAGAAAACTCATTAAAATGGGCGGCCTCGAGCCGGCCTCGAACGATTCGCCGAGGCCGGAAGGCTCCGAGGCCAAGGCCAAGGCCGAGGCCTTGCACCTCCGAGGCCAAGGCCGAGGCCAAGGCCATGAAAATCGGCCTCGAGGCCGGCCTCGAGGCCGAGGCCGGCCTCGAGACCTCCAACACTGCTAAAGAGGGTGACCAAACTTTGAAATTGAATGGTAAATGACTTGTATTTTTTTTTTCTCGGGCAAAAATGAATGTTATTAGAGTTGGCGAATCAGTGAATGTAAAACGTTTTAAAATAGCAGGGAAAAAAACTAGGTCTATGTTTAAAAAAAAATGAGAAGCAATAAAAAGATAACAATGTGTGTTTTTCTCCTTATTTCGCCTTGAGCCCCTGATCCCCTCACTACTCATAACAACTGTCAGAATGTTTTAAGTGGGACATTTTCATTGTAGTTGACTACCTATAACTTGAGAAAGGCGGGCGTGGCAGCTGTGACCAATTATGTCTTTATTATTTGGTACCAGGGCAACGATCGATTGACTGAATAAACCAATTCAAACACACTGTGTATAAACATTAACATAACGTAGGCCTACTTTGAGTGACAGTTTAGAAAAATAAACAGAATGCTTGGATATTATTGAATGTCACGGTGAATAGACCTGAGACCTAATGACGTCACGCTTTGTTAACATGTGCGCTTTCCTATGAGCGCAAGGTGGGACCCTGGCTCTCATGGGAAAGCGCACAGATAAATAAACAAAGCATGACGTCATTAGGTCTTGCGGTTGCAAACCAGTAAATAAACTGCCATAGACCCCAATGATAAATGCCCCCACCTCAAAAATTCAGGAAAACTTGATACTCACAACTCTCCAAGGCATTCGAGACACACATCAAGCTAATTTCACATCAAGCTAATATCATCATCTTTCATTTTCTTTCCAATTATTGGGTGGTTAACTGATGATTATTCGTAGAAATTTCCATCCGAAGATGATCACCCCTTAAAATGGTCCTGAAGCCCATCGCCCACACTCCATTGCAAAATAGAGCGCTTTTAGGGATCCAATTTCATCCAAATTGCACAGAAGTACAGGCTCACAGTCCGGTGCACGGCTTCCACCCATGTTTTTTTTTTTACAAACCCTCAAGTTCATGGCCCACAATATGCTCAAATAATGAAGAATTTTAGGGCATGCAAATCGTGTAGGCGATTTTGGACCGAAAACTTCCCTGCAACCTTATAGGTCTATTCGAATCAGCTCTGTAAACACTGGCAAGTTTATCACTTTATTGAGTTAATGAGACTTCAATGGGGCAAACAAAAAATCTCGTAAATTAAGTTTATTTACCATCGACATCGTAGACGCGAAAGAGGAAGCGTAGCTTGTCTGTGGCTGTACCGTGGACGAGCAGCCGCAGCGCCACCAGGAGCTCCTTTAGACTGATACTGCCGGAAGAGTCGGTATCGATGAGATGGAAGAATCGCTCGGCAAAGAAAGACTGCAATCAGATCCATTAAAAATATCAATCAGTTAAGTATTCGAATAATAGTCGGTATCGATTAGATAGAAGAATTGTTCAGCGCAGAAGGCATATGGGCGTCAATCGGTGGGAAAGTGGGGGAAATCATATCGTTTGGTCCCCGCCCCCTCACTTTTTCGTCCCAGAATAAAAATTGAAGCCTATTATAATGATCTTAATGATGTTTAAAAGATGATCTTTTGCTCAACAAAACTGGTTTTAGTGGTCAGAAATTGCCTCCGATTGCACCACAGAGCGTCAAGAATCCTTTTTTTTCGGGGCCTTTAAGCGGGCCCCGAACCCCACGCCCTTAGGGCTTCACGCTCGCATTAGTGCTCATGAAGGTATGTCCCCCCCCCCCCCTTGAGCAGCGATTGACGCCCTAGGACTAGAAGGACTACAATGACATCAATTAAAACATAAATCAAGTTACGTATTCGACTGATATTCAGTATCGATTAGATGGAAGAATCACTCAGCGAAGAGCTGCAATCATGTAAATTAAAACATAAATCAACTTCATGTATTCGACTCATAGTCGATATCGATCTGCTGTGAGAATCACTCAGCAACGAAAGACTGAAAACACATCAAATCAAATCAAATCAAATCAAATCAAATCAAATCAAATCAAATCAAATCATATCATATCATATCATACCATATCAATCAACAAACCAATCAGTCAATCAATCGTTAACTATTCAATAAAAGATGATGTCAGCGATAGATGCTATCTTTTCCATATACTCAAGTTTGACATTATGCAAATCGTTTGGCAAAACTGCTGGCAAATCAAAAAACGTACGACATTTTGCTTATAAATGAAGGGAGGAATTGCCTCCCCTCAAATTTCTAGAATTCCAATTCTACGAAAAGTTACGAAAATAAATTGTTTAATGTTATAGACATCCGTGCTTCTAAGTTCTATGAGTAAAAGCTCAAAGAAGTTTAATATTTTCATAAGAAAGGACAAAGCACATTGTCCAAATATCAGGAAAACATTTCCATCCCAGTTTCGAAACAAACATTTCTTCACGGAAGAGACTTACAAAGTCCGTAAAAAAACATTCTTGTAGCTGACAACATTTTTATTTTAACATGAAGTTTGGATTGGTAGACTGGGAGATTTTAACTCAGACGTTGTTAGACCTCCTTCTTAGACTTCCACGCGGAGTATTCAGGAGGATAACCACCAAGTACCCAGTATACCAAGACAGTAACTACGTTATGGTTTACCTTTTTGACGTTGAGCGCTTTGGTGAATTCCTCCAGGTAGATGTTCCGATCATCGCCGGCCACCTGGCTAAACTGCTCCTCAAAGTGTGCCAGCCAGGAAGTGTCCCTGTCTATCCTACAAAAAATCAAGTCCATAGTTTTGATGGATAAGTAATAGCCACAGGAACGACTAGAAGGGGATGGGACTTCAATCTAACTGCTGATTATTGGTAGGACGTGCTGCTATATCGAAGGCGCAACAACCAGCGTGAATCGTAACGCGCATGAATATTCAACTTGTTCTCAACGAGTTCTACCTTTGTGGAAAGGTACTTCGAGAACTACCAACGTAATACACCTGAATAAGCATTACCTTCTTAGTTGTTCTCATGTGCGTTCGATTATCTTACACGTGCAAGTGAAACTTACACGTCAAGATCGTTCGAATATCCATCACGTGATACCTGTGTCTGCCCTGGTGTCAACCACCACTGCCCCTAGCAAGTTGGTCTCTGGTGACTGCCCAGGTGTATAATGACGTAACCGTACGACATCCTCTGGTGTAAACCCCGCGCATACACGGAGAAAAAAATCGAACCCGCCCACTAAACGCTTATCCGATTAACTCTGTACACAAAATTAGAAGTCTTTCAACCATGAGAACCATTCATCTGTCGTATCTCACGCTTTCTATGATTCTAAATCTGTTGACGAGTTCCATCGAATCTCATAGGCCAATTCACTGGTTCTTTTCTTTGCAATTAGTCATTGTCCTCTCAGTTGATAATCTGTATATAGGTCCGGAGGCATCGTCCGATGGCGCACAAAACATAATTGTGGGTACAACACACGCAGACCGCAGCCGATTAACCCGCATGAAAACACAATTCAGGCACAGTTAACTTTTGTCCGGCTCCATTCCCTTTGTTTATAAATCTTTCTTTATACGGAACTGTGGGCGACAGTTCTCCTTTGTACTCAACATTTGTAACACTCGATTGCAATTCTAACAAGGATGAGTGTTGGCAGTAATGTCGAGCAGAACCCTCCCTCCAATGTAAAATCCCTTTCCTGGCTTACAAGAGATTGGTTTAGTGTCTATACGCCGCCCAAACGGCAGGCTTTGGCGCACGGGTGTAAAGGGATTTATCTTATAGGGCTTAATACGTTACGCCATCACGCTTCAGCAGGTGGATGGCGAGAAGCCCTTATGTGGGGTACGTGCGGGGATGGGACCAACTCCAAAGATATATGCATTAAAGATTTTGATACATTGAATTAAAGTCTCTTCTTAGGTACTCTTTATGCACATGGTCAATTTGAGTTAGGGTCGCCCCTACCCCTCCCCACGTAAACGTATAGGCCTGCCAGTGTAATATGCACGTATTGACTTTATAAACAATGAATACCTAAATGCAGTATACGTCCCACGTCTCTGATTACGTGAGCCTTACATTTGATGATTTTTGTATAAGGTAAATAGGCCTATATAATATTGCATGTGTTCTAATTGGGAAAACCACACAAACAAAATGCTTTGTGTTCATACTGGGCCTGACGTCATATTACGTCACGGGGCACGTACGTGCGACGATGTCGCTTCGCCCTATCTATATGCCTCCCATAAAAATGTCACTAGTGTGTGGACTGCATGGAACAACTGACTGGCAGTCGCTTATTCATAAATGCAGTACACCTAAAACACGATGACGTCACGATTTGTTTCTTTTTTTCGCTTTCCTAATGAAGCCAGGTGGGAACGATTGGCTGGCGTCTCACCTGAACGACATAGGAAAGCACACATTGTAAACAAAGCATGACGTTATTATGTCTACGGTCGATTAAAGACATACAAGATCAGCGGAGTGTCATGGCCTAGCAGTTAAGAGCACCGGACTCATGTTCTGGTGTTTCAGAGGCAACAGTGATGTGGGTTCGAGCCCGCCGGCGGACACGTGGGCTCTTAAGCAAAGCATTTTTAATAACCATTATTGCTTCGTCCTTCGGATGGGACGTTAAGCCGTAGGTCCCGTGTGTTGCATAAATGCACGTAAAAGAACCCAGTAAACACTTATCGCATTAATCACAAATGGATAACCTACGAAAAGCCATATTAATTGGATTAAAGATCCATTGGTACTAATCACCCGGCCCGTGAAATTGTTCCATCTGGCTTGCTGTCATTTAGAAGAATTCAAGAAATGTACGCGGCAATATTTGGCTGATCGTTTTAAATGGAGAGTGCTATGAGACGAAATCATGTTCCGTGATCAAAAGGTTTTTCACTGTTTTTTCGAAAAGTGTAACATCCACGAGCTGGAACAACAACGGGTCGGGTTTTGAATATTCTTCCTTATAAATAAGCGGTACGTGTTATTTTTGGAAATGAACGAAATACACGAAAAGCAATGATCCTATTAGCCGTTGAGGTGAATTAGGGACCAATCTCAGAAACTTTCTACGATATCCCTTCGCTCGTAGAGAGGAAAAAAGTGCTATAAATCCAAGAATTTCACGACAAGTGTTTTATGAATGTGTAGTTATACAAACAACTAAACACTCGTGACGAAAAATAAACTTTGAGATGAGAAGTTCAAAAGTCCGGAAGCTATTCGCGTTGGTCTGTCGATTGGCACTTTCCCGCTCTGTTGATAGAACAGAATAATCATGAAAACACAACACCCAATAAATACTAGACCAGGTCTCAGGATGTTGACAGTAGTTCAGGATCTGGTGTTCATCATACGAACCATGGAGATACCACACAAATATGCAACATATTTCTTTGTGCGAAAAAGGTGTTGCGTAAAATTGAGACTGAAGGAAATACGGACTCATTGGTATTGCGCAAGCCTAAATGCCGTCTCATACTCGAACACGAATGGGTGACGTCCCAGCAAATCCATTCATGTTCACATGATGAACCGGTCCGGGTGTAGCGAGAATGTTTGACTCTATTATGAAATACGGACGCATTGGTAGCATTGCGCATGCGTAATTAAGTATGATAATTAGGAGAGTGACAGGTCACGTATTGATTTATAATAGCGTAATAAAGAAGTCCGCTTTTTATAGGGGTCAGATTTTCATATGACACCGGCCTTAGCCAATCAGTACATGCATCGACTTGTCACGTACGTGTGAGCGTTAGAGTCCATGCAAGGTAAAAGAGACAATATTTTATAGTAGTCCAAATGTCATTTGGCACCAGCACAAATCTGGAGTGGGCCCTCTAGGCCTATCTGCACTTTGACGATCACACGAAGTGTCTGTTGAGTCGTGCCCACGGTCACGATGAGGTAACATGATCGTAACACGGATCAGGCGCCGCTACACCCACTCTCCGGCGGTGACTTTGAGCCCAGATCCCCGCGGGGTTAACAGTGAGTTATTGGGTGTAAGAACATGGCACTCTGACAGCCACAGTTAAAGGCTGCACTTGACGTCTCTTCCTATACCTCAATGCTTAAAGGTACTATCTCGTATTGGAGTTTTAATCACGGTAAAGGGAGCCCTCTCGTGACAACCAGACTATGTGGTTTTGTATGAGGGTAATCAAAGTTACGGGGTTACTAGGTAATTTTAATTTTACTTTGACACGCAAAGCTAATACTATGCAGAAAGAACAAATATGACGATGGAATACGCGATCAGAAGGTGCTCAACCCTAGGTGGAAACTTTAAAAACATTCGTATTTTGACTCTGTATTCGAATGCGATTAAAACTAATTTGACTAATTTTTAATAATAAGTTATTTAATAGTTTATTACGTCTATCGTCTTATTTGCAACAAACATGCAGCAGTAAATATGAAAACAATACTTTGGCAACATTTTCTGGCGTCAATAAATGGCAATCATGATAAATCGCTTAACTCGCCAGAAACAAAATTCTTAATGAAAGCATGCGTGAGGGAATCGTTTTGGTATGTGAAGTTATCCAATTACTCTTAGACCAATTAAGATTCTGGACTATAATTCAGTTCCTAATTAACTGATAATTACTGTGACTAGCCTTGATCTTGATGGACAAATCTCGTGAGTTGACGTATCTATTAATCGTACGTTGTTCATCATCTAGTTCAAGTTAAATTGTGACCATAACTCGACCATAGGCGGCAAGGATTAGGACACGACACAAATCTGTCTCTTTTACACGCACCTGTCCCATAGCTGTGCGCTTAAACATCAACAGGTGGCACTTAATAGCTTTACACATACCGCATAAGCAAGTAGAATATACAACCAATTACATGGACCACATCTATCGCCAGATTTGCGTTTTTGGCCTTGAATTTGCCCGCAAGGCAGTGCAAGTTGATTCGATCAAAAGTGGTATCTGGATCAAATATCTTTCACAAAACACAAGTTCCCACGAATTTATTAAAACCCGAATTTATGTTATTAAAGGCATTCCGTAACCCAAAGTGTCAAAGCCCCATATAAATATTATCAAGGTGTCATTTTACTGTCGAGTGGCAGAGAGTACCATATAATTCAAAATGAGGCGTGATATGGTGAAGAGGTTTTTCTCTTTCTTTTCTTCCCCGTCAAGCCTGGGGTTGTTCAGGGAGGTCCGCTTGATTACACTGGGCAGTCCTGTAGATCGCAAGTTCCTGTTACGCGTTGTCGGCCATTTACGGTGACGAGTGACGCAGGGGACAGGAGGTCACGTGCGTTTCCATGGGAACGAACTTGAGACAAGCAAGTCAAACTGGCCCTAAGAGTAACCCTCCCTTTACCGACAGTGCTTGGACAAATACCATTCCCCAAAATAATGGCAGCACCACACTTTGTGGAGTTCTGTTAAAACGAAGGTTTAATTCAAAAGCTCAAATTTCGATGATGTTACTTATAATAAAAGCAATCAGACGGTGATGAAAAGAATTGTTTGGATGATAGCAGTGGTTGTTATAGAAACCGTGTGACCAGGATGTCATTACTTGTGACAACCTTTTCGATTAAATTGATAATATAAATGGTTATTTAAACCGTAGTTCGATTTGGTACCACTTACAGGCAAAACTGTACATTTTAAATCACTTTTTTTAAAAGTAACGTAGGGCCTACGTGGCTCTCATTGGCTTCTTATATACATGAACTATAATTAGCGTTGACCAAACACACTTACTCGAATTTGAAATTATATTTCAGAGGGAAAATTAGGTTTATTTCTTGAGCGAAAACAAATCAAAACCAACAAAAAATGGCTCTCAAATCATCACAACTCTGGGTGACTGACTGACCGACTAACCCATTGACTGACTGTCACTCGTGAGCAGGCTGACCGTAAGGCCAGAGCCAAATTCTGCTAAATGCACATCAAAAATCTGTCAGATTTATCAAAAATCTGCCAAATTCCCCAGAATTACTCGACACACGCTATAAACACTGAAAATCACATGCAGATTGGTGCTTTTGCCTTAATTAAGGTTCAAATTACATTATAAACAATCCATAGTCTCATAAAGATGATGTGAAATTATCGCGTAAATTTACGGCAAAACACGGATCCGGCCACGACAAAGTGCGTTTCCCAGTGAACCCCAGCACCTAGACCAGCCAACCTGTCCCTTTATGCAAGGGTTTGTTTGAAAGGATTGAAGCTTTCTTAAACAAAATGTACCAATTTTTTTTTCAAATTTGCTGTTTTTCTGTCAAAATAACCATTTTTGCAGAATTCTGCCAGAAATCTGCCCAAAAAATCCCTTCTGTCAAATTTTCTGTCAAACTCGTTTTTTAACAAAAAATCTGTCAAAGTTAACCGAAAATCGGCTAAAACGGTCACCCTGCTCGTAAGCAGTGCTTGCCTTGTCATGTTTGTTTAAAAATTCCCTACTTTAAGCAACAGCCATTAAGTAACCAGATCAAACGAATTCTCGTTCCTGAATTTAACGGCCCCGAATCGAGCTGGCAAAATGTATGCCCGGCACAGATACTGTTGCACTCTAACACGCCCAGCGTAGAGGCCAGTCATTCTTATATATTCCAACTCCCAGTAGTTAGAATTTCATACATAATATCTCACAACAAAAGTCAATTCATTAGCGCAGCTGAAACAGGTGTAATGTACACCCCAGTGGGTTGGTTCGACGCAACTTACCTTCGACATAACCTACTTGGAAAAGTAATTGCCCAATAGCCCATAAAGACTCAGTGCCGTTCTATCATAAATCTTTTGTTGGGAGTGGGGTCCCACTCAAAAAATGTCAGATTGAATGTTTGTAAACAAGAAATATACACCGATATAGTTCGAGCGTCTAAGAAATTTAGTTTTTAGTTGGTCAGTAGTTAACCTTGTGTAGTATATACATGTAGATCGTTACGAAACGTATATATGCAACCATAGGGAAACACGGACTACTCACGCACAGTACGGCCCAATTTTAATACAGGTTGCTAAAATTTTGCCTAACGGGTCCTATACAAAATGGTGCCTCTTTTACACCAGTAAAATTCACCTGAGTCTAGTCCACGCAAAGAAAATGACAAAGTAGCCCGTATCGCTCCTCGTGTACGGGAAATCGTTGGCCACTCCAAGGGTGTGAACTCCCTTGAAGACTTCGTGAGCGCCCGCTGGATGACGCTAGTTCGCCTTGCGCTAGTAAGAATGAGGTATTTGCATCTAAATCATGCTTATTACCTTCGATATTTTCTGCTGGTCCCATAGAGCCCTGCAACTGACTGAAGCACTGACTCACTATCACTTGTGAATTAGACTTGCACCTTGGCCCAAACATTTGACCCGGTTGACTGCCAAGATGGACCATGGGGCCAGCTTCAATTACCCAGTCTTACGAAGTGTTTAAATACATTTTTTATTCACCCTTTCGAGTAGAATCTTTTAAAGGGAAAATACAACATTTGCAAACATCGAAGAATAAAACTACCAAGTTTTACGAAATACCTTACTTGGATGTTGGTAAATGACAGTCTTAAGCATCCTGTAAAATTATGGCACCTGGTGCCGAGTCATTTTCAAGAAAATTTTATTTTTGTATACATTTCCAACGGTTGTCGTCCGACCACCGTTGGAAAAACCTAACTATTTTTCAACTACTGCTCCTAATTTACAAAAAAAAATTCAGTCCAAATGTTGTTTGCTATTGGTTACATGTTTATAAATTGATCCATTTTATCTTTAGTGCAGTCAGGGAACCAGACTACTTAGACATTTTTGTTTTTCTTTATTTTTCCAGCATTTTTGAACACAAAACTTCAAACATGTCAGTTAAACAATATTTGATCTATTATACTAACCCCTCAAATAGTTCATTTCTGAAAATTACAGCAAAAGCCAATGATGTACATTCCCTTTAACTCAAGTGAAATTCTCATCTCAGTGCCCAACCGAAATGAAGAAGATGTAATTTCGAAATTCAGCCAACATCTCTTGATACTTTCGTTCCCACACTTTAATTTGCTTAAATAGGCATTCTGTTTACAAGTGAGCCGCTCTTGTGGTTTCTGCAGAACGGTTAGAGCAAAGCAACGGAAGGTTACTGAGTGTGCGATGATCAAGCTTATGAACGAGTTATTCTTTCTGAGTTGAAATAACTCAGGGAATTTTGTTGTACCTTGCCCTCTGTTTTGTCCGCACAGCTTTTTCTACGGGGCAGGAGGCTATGCGTTGGGTCAGTTTCAAATTAGGGCCGGATCTGTTTTTTTTTCTTCAGGAAACAGGGAGGGCCGAAGGTTGATATAAAGGGGTTGAGTCTAAGGCGTGCCAAAGGCACGCCCTGCTTTGGGGGGGGGGGGTCCGGGTCATGCCTCTACGATGATTTCGCCTTCATTCTAAGGCAACACAAGAATACATTTAGAAACTTTAGCATTCCATTTATTATTTTTGGCCCCATTAAGCCAGCGGCTGAAAGGGGAGGGGGGCTGCAACCTCAACCCCCTCTAGATCCGCTACTGCAATTTGTGCCTCAGAATTTGAACGCCGATACGCGAAATCCTCCTTCCGTCTCCAACGAACTGCCCCTGGTTAGAGAAAGCCCCCAGACAGACATTTTCCCAAAAAAACCCCCGAAGTGCTGCAATACTGCACTTCACTCATGCATTGCATTTTTTTGGAGGGAGACATTTCATGAGAGCGACCCCACCCCAAGGATCAACCCACTAGTCATTCTTATCAAAACAACTGTCGTCCGCGGCGACGTGTCACTGCGCCGAAGGACGAAGATTATTATTGTAGTCGAAAAAAAATAACTGTTTTTATTTCTCTTAGTGGGCGATTACGTGACTTAAACAAATTCCGTCCCCCAAGTCGTAAAAATTGAGGTCTGCGTTTCTTCATTTTTATTTGCAATAAAACTGAGTGGACATCCCATAAACATGTTCAACGGTGGTGTATAAGAACATTACAAGTCAACGTGTCCTTGTGTCATAATTTGTCTTCCCAATATTTAGCCTGGTTGTACGGTGACAACATGCAGCAAAGACCTACACAAATTGTCTACAGTAGGCCTATGCGTCTTCAATAAGGAGATTATACCGAGGTTTAAAACCAGGTAGGGGCCATGGTGGCCGATAATGTCCTATAGCCGAAGTCTGGGTATAGAATGTGAAGAGTTTGCGCGGAATTACTGTTTCATGTACTAAAGGGCGTGCGCGAGCAGACGAAAAATTACTGCAACTTTTTCAGAATCCATGCATCCTTCCGCTGTGACGAAATTTAATAACAACGGTGCGAAACTATTTACTATATAGGCCTATCAATTTTTTTTTCGAATTTCAAAGCCTACAAACTTTTAAGAATACATATTAGAAAGCAGAAATGTATTGTCCTAGTTCAGGAACACGTTTGTTGTTGACTGTTTTTAAACCACCCACGTGACGGGCTCTCGACCAATAGGAATGGGTCAACTGTCTCACGTGTTCATAAATGGAACTTTATACTGTTTTTTTTGCAGTGCGGGTCGAAATCATAAAAAAGCACAAATTAAATTCATATACCTGTGACAGTCATGGCACCTTAAATGAATGGGCCCTTATCATTTCAAAATCACGTTGTAAATTTAGACGAGCAAAGTTATCCATCGCCGCCCGATTTATTAAGTTTGACTTGCAGTTTTTTTACTCGACCGCCAAATGGGGCACTTGAACACATCAAGTCTTCAGCCAACACAGACCTTAGCCTACAGTGACACGTTTGGACTTTTCAACTTGACCAAATAGTCGACCAAACTTTACAATGGCAAACCATGCAATCTTGGTTTGGTTGGTTCATAAGAGAGATCTTTAAAACAAAACAAAAAAGTTTCAAAAGAAACGGTTATCTTAAAAGACAACAGTTTGAAAAGAAAGGTTTTTAAAATATCCAGCCGGCCCAGTTACTCACCCCGATTCCCTCACGACGGTGTCCATGGCGAAGCTATGTTCCTTGCATTTCTCCACCCTCTCGTGCATGCCCACCGGTAGACTACAGACCATTCGAGCTGAGATGTTGCACCAGAAACACCCTGGTACCAAATGAACCACGCGTGCGCCGACCAAGCTATGAGATGTACTTATGTACTTGAGATGTCGTATACGTCAGTGTTGCGTTGAGCTGTATGACACAAGTAAACAAAACAGAAACATTAAACACAGCCGTTACTCACGTTCAACCTGCATGCATTGTTTATTTATTTATTTATTTTTTCAGTTGGGAGGGAGACACTGCAGGTATTGATTCTTGTTCCTATGTTCTTTGTCGCAAACTGTCAAATCTCAGAGGTAGGGCCTATGTATTTTTGATTGGACAGGTGTCACGTCTGTCACACCGAGATGTGAAGGCAAACAAGACAAATTTGGACCGGACCAGACTGCAACGACGTCACACTGGGTTTATTGCTATGCCTTCTGTAGCCATGTTCACAATGTAGAATGAGAATTATTTCTCAATTTAAAAAAAAAAAATCATTACAAAGGCGAAATGACCGTCTGTGGACTGAATTCGTTCAAGATGTTCTTTGAATCCAAGTGCTGACTGATGCACTTTAGAAACTAAGGTACTTTCTTCCAAAGACATTTAAGTGGCATCGTTAACCCTATAGGTTTTACACATTAACGCCATTTGCAGATGCTTAATTTTGTAAGACAAATGTGTTCATGTTTCTAAGTTGAATTCATAAGTTTCTCATAATGATTTCAAGTACACATCTAAACGTCTCCATTCATGTATATATATTCATATATCTTAAGGCAGTCTGCTTCATAATAAGCAAAATCGAACAAGCATAATTCTCTCAAATACCAAAAAAAAAGAAATATAAATTATTGCCGTCTGATCGAATGAATCACCAAACCTCTGATGATAAAGACTGAGAAAATCGATGGCATTTCCTCACAAAAAAAACAACAATAGCGACTTACCACACGACTCATTTTTTCAGGGAATTTAAAAACTTAATGAATCACCCAAATCGTGTAAATACAAGACAGGGTCACCAACACTACACCAAACGGTAATGCTATCTCCGGTGTAACGGCGCGCTTTGACCAGAAGCCGAACAAAGGACAGCCTCGTATTGAGTTTCGTTACCGTGGCAACCGCGATCTCGAGTTTGTTTCAAGATGGATTCCGTTTCAGCACCGGAAGGGCGCGATTCACGCTCTGTCGCCCATACGAAGTATAATCATCACAAACAAGCACGCATTGAATTAATAGCCCTGGCAAATATAACACCCCTCCTCCAACCCCTCATACTTCAACGATCATTGAGAATAAATAGACTGATTTTGGTGACCACAGTGAGAAGCCATATTGCACGTGTTAGGCGCAAGTGTTAGTGCTCTTAAACATGTTAAATTGTCTTTCTCCTGACGACTGATCTTCCTCCTGACGAATGTATGTTTAGATTAAACTGAAAAGCTACTTTTGGCTATTTTGGACTACATGTGTTCAAAAAAAAATGCATGGTTTGTTGTTGTTGTTGTTGTTGTTTTTTTGGTTTTTTTGTTGGGGGGGGGGGGGGTTGGGGGAGGGGGTGCTTTTGCTCCCATTGCAAAAAAAAATTTAAAAATACGCCTGACTTTTTACAGGGTCGCAAATAATCCAAAATGTGTTCAGTAAATATTCCCTATAACGAAATGTGGTTGGATTTTTTTTTTTTTTTTGCTGGAAATAGTTTAAAAACAAAATGTATTTTTTTGAGTGAAACTGTAAAATGGTACAAAGTTCAAACTTTAAGATGTGCATGCATCTGGCAACAAAGTCGAGGGAAAAGTAGCAGAATAGCGGAGATAAAATAGCGGAGATAAAATTGCGAAAGGCCCCAGACCCACACACGCTTGCCCCCTTCTGAAAAAGCACACAAAAAAGGAGAGAGAGAGAAAGAAAGAGAACAAAAAAGGGTGGAAAAAGAAAAAAAGAGGCGCAAAGTCATATTGCTGTTGATTTAATAGGTTGGGAGGGGGAGCAAATGTGTTTTGCCCACCTCCAGAAAAGAAATTCAGGCGACGCCCATGCCTATATTTTGATGAACCTCCAACTCATTCAGTTGAACATTGGTACTACATGTATATATATGTATTACCTCAAACCAAACTTGCTTGTTATAACAAAAGCAGCCAAGCGTCCGGAATTCGGCCACACACCTATGTTCCGACATACCTCATGATGTTTCGACACCCCTATGTTCCGACACCCCTATGTTCCGACACACAATCTTGTGTGCGGGTTGTCGGAACATAGGGTTGTCGGAACATTGTAGCGGTGTCGGAACATAGCGCTGTCGGATTCACACAAATCGTGCTTTAGTATAGGTGATGTGCTTCGTTTTTCTCTGAATTAGAAAGTATCTCAGGCAACTATCAATGAAGAGAGGGGCACTGTTTTCAGTATTTGGAAACCTATGCAGATGAAGATGATTGAAACTTGCCTTTGTGGGGACACTGGCGATTTTTGCTACATGGTTGTGGTTAGAGTCACTGATGTTTTTTAACCATGTGTTCAAGAGTCATTAAACCCTCGGGCACTTTACACAACATAAAATAATAAAATATGATTATATCAGTTGAGAGAAATGCTGTAATTGCCGTGTTCCTCGATACTGTTGTGAAGTCCATGATAAGTAGCAAAGCTATTTCAAACAGTTATAAAACAAGTCAACTTACACATTCAATTATGATATCATGAGTATTTCCGATGTTTGTAATTTTCAATACACTTTTTTCCAACCTCAAAAATATCCGTTCGCAAAAAATATACACTGGTGCTCTGATTTACAACCGTGTGTATAAGGTCTGAACTTGTTTCACTGTTCACAGCACACAGAACCATTCACGCCCAATAACACTGTACAAATGCCTACAAAGGATTCCTGGTTGACTAATTCACTATTGCCTCAGGCAAGTCTAGTGTCTGGACGTCTTTTACGTGATCTGTAGGAAAGCTAGGCTCAGTTATTGCACTTTAGCGAGGTGAGTTCCGCAGTGGGGGTGTCAGCGATTTCACTAGAGTATCATAATTATTAACAAGGTTAACAGCTCAAGCACTCGCATTTTTGTTCGGTTCGGTAATTCTGCTGAAAAGAAGTCTAATTTTTTTTACACAATGTTACGTGTACGTCACAGTTTAGACGTGGGTGGTAGTAAATATGGGTGTGATCAGTATAGCTTACAGTCGGAGTTAATATGTGAATGGTAGTAGAGTGTGGGTGTGCTCAGTATAGCTTAACGTTGGAGTGAAGCACTTTGTGAATTCAAGGAAAATGGCGATCTTTCGTCTGCTGTCTGTTTTGTCTCTATATGTGGTATCGCTTGCTATGAGCGCCTCGTCAACTTGCTGCCCTTCGTGTAGTTTGCGCTCAGTCGACCCTCTCAATCCCGACCAAATCGCGCAGATAGAAAGCAACCGGGCGTTTATCAGAGAGATCGAAGACAATCCGATGCTGCTCCACAACCAGTCCTACCAACGCTCGGTAGTCAATCTGACCCAGAACCAGCAGATTCAGATCCTGAGGAACATCCCACAGTTGTTCCTGAGCGCGAGGGAATTTGAGGAATCCCTGCTGACGCGAGGAACGATCACGGTACCAGGGGAGGGCACCGTGCCGGCGCGTCGGAGGAGAGCGACGGCTGGAAAGCGAGTCTGTCAGCCGGTTATGCGGTACCAGCCCTTGATACTCGCTCTCAGAGCAGACAGGCGAGACTTGGTCGAGTACATACAGGTAAGACATCGCATAAGGGTGCAGTTTAGACTTGATTTCAAGCCGGTAAACCGTCGAGTATCTATATATCAACGTGGCGCTGCGTTATGTTGTTTATGAATTTTATCATCTGCCGGGGGTCGACTGTCATGTCGATTATCGCGCACTGTGGGGTCGAGGAAAAAAAGACCACCGAACGATAGCGCTTATGCTGTTGGTAACAGCTCTTCGTTACAGTAACTTGGCGAGCAGACTCCACAAAATTAATGGTGATTGGTGCCTAACGAAAAAAAACTGGCCAATGAGAACTTGGTGACAATGCCTTTCCTCTCTGGAGTTACAGTGACGTTAAGTGGAGTGTCATGACCTATAGCGGATAAGAGCACCGGACTCATGCTCTGGTGTTTCAGAGGCAACGGTGGCGTCCTGGGTCTGGACACTTGTGCCCTTAAGCAAGGCACTTAAGCATTATTGCTTCGTCCTTCGCATGGGACGCAAAGTCGTAGGTCCCGTGTGTTTTATGCAATGCACGTAAAATAACCCTGCAGTAACACTTCGCCGAGAGAAGGGGTTTGCCCCGGTGTTTCTGGCCTCCTGTACTCCCCTGCGGAGTCCTTAGGAGAAGAAGTAACCAGGAAGAACTTGTGACCTAGCCTATATATACACGTTTACTAACGAGGAAAGTATTATGGGACTAAACGTCAATGAATGCACATTTGGTAGACCAGATGTATTAAAAGACTTCCGGTAATCTGACCATTCGGAACGCCAGTTCATACTCGGCGCGAAAGCAAACATGAACGTGAATTTGTGACGTCGGGACAAATTTTCGCGCTGCGAATTCGCAAAATTGGAACACATTTTCAACTCCGGTGAATTTCGTTGTGACATTCACTTCGCATTCGCTTTTACCTGATGTATGCACCGGACTACTTCAGTTAATTAAAAAAAATTTAAATGGCGTTTTGGACCAGCTTTATTAGTTTGATCATTCTGGTCTTGTTTCCACAGATGCCGGGCCAGGATAAGAATCAGTGGATTCTGGAGGAGTCATGTGACGACTCGGCAAGCTCACCACCTGCTCCATTAGCCTGCGCCGTGGTAGAAAGAGATGTAACTGGTGTCTTTGTCACTCTCTCCGATCCTTACATATTCGACCACGCCTACGTAGTCGTACAGAGCTGCGTCACTGTTTTTCAGTAAAAAAAAAAATAACCAAAAATCAAACGTGCAAATATAAAGGATTAACTACCACATCCTAACACCGAATTTGTGATTTGTATTTTTGTAATTATTTTCTTATTGCATACTGCAGCAACTTTATGAATACACATTGATTTTTAGGCTATAATGTTATGTAACAAGTAATGGAATCGAAGTTTTTAAATTCCTTGCATAAGTCACTTGTCCTCAGTGTTTTGGTTCTATTGCTCTCATTTTTACATGTTACGCCAAATAATTAATAAATACTAATCGAATACTTCAGCATTCACCTTTTATGGGTTGTATTTTTTAAAAGATGCTTATTGGTTTAATGGTTCAGATTAGATTGATTAGATTGAAGGGTTTTTTTTATTGTTCGTACCATTCTCGCAGTCCGAAGACTGAATTGCGATGGTTTACAATTTACAATTTAACAGAAATCATTAAAAAAAAAAATTATACACATGTTCGACATTGAAATATTCTAAAAAGACCATTATTTTTTTATGCATAATGTTAAAACATAGAAATATTCTAAAAAGACTCTTTGTACATACATGTGCATTAAAAAATGTTAAAATTCTACCCAGACTAGATAAAAAGAACCGTGTTTTGTATATCTACACGCCTTTCAATCACATAGTAATAAAAAAGAATGCATTTTATGTTTTACATTAGGTGTTGATTAATGAGTCTGACAAGATAAGGCAGGGTACTGCTCCGCAGTCTCTCCGTTCTACACCTAACGTCTCTCAGTCGTTCACTGTGCCGAAGCTGACGCATTGAGCTCTGTGATTTGGGGAACCAATGTCTGAAATTCTTATACAAGGATTTCGCGAACTTGATACAAAGTTGTTCCCTTTGCTCACTCAAGGATATCAGGCCAGTCACTCAGAGAGCGTTATCATACGTCTCATAGTGATCGGAGAGGATAATGCGAAGAGCTCTCTTCTGGATCATCTCTACGTCGTTGCTTTGTTGTGCGGTTATTGAGGAGTGCCAGACTGGTACGCAGTACTCCAGCAAGGGACGGATGTAACACGTGTATATGGTCAATAGGTCTTCCACTGGCAAGCGGAAGCGTTTCAGTGCGCGAATTAAATAGAATTTGCATGAGGCTCTCTTGGTTATATCCTGATTATGGCTATCCCATCGGAGATCGCTTTGGATCATAACGCCAAGTAGCTTTAAACAGTTCACTTCCTCCAGTATAGTATTATTCAGCTCTAGTTGGAGGGGTGGTGGAGCAACTCGTTTCATTTTTGGGACCATTTGTTTCATTTGTGGATTTTTCAGATTTTATTCGTTACATAATTTCAAGATTTAATGTTTTTTAATATTTTCTTATCATGCAGGTTAAGATATAAATTATTGGTTACCACAGAAAAAATACTCGACAGAAATATAGAATAAATATCGACACGTCATCCGATTGGGTTTTTTTTATATTCTTATTGACCATTATAAGAAATAATCAAATAAGCAAACCGACGCTCCAGCGAAGGGAACAAGTATGCCCAACATGCCATGCACCAACTACAAGGGCCAAGATTGGGAAATATAATCAACTCGGAAGTTATCTGCTCAGCAAAAACAGGTTTTTATTAAACCCAAGCGCCATGCCTCTTCTTTTAATTTGTTTTTTTTTCAGTGGCTAAAATATTAGGGTATGTATAATCATACACTTTAAATTATTCAGCTGAAGAGACTGATATCACATGTAATATATAATGAACATTCATTTCTCTCATTTCTAACCGCAAGTTCCAGATATGAAGGGTTTACCTCGGTTTTCAATGTTATATGGCTGACTAGTGAATAAAGACTACTGGTTCTTGTCTTCGATCGTGCTTAGTATAGGTGATGTGCTTCGATTTTCTCTGAGTGAGAAAGTATCTCAGGCAACTATCAATGAAGAGAGGGGCACTGTTTTCAGTATTTGGAAACCTATGCAGATGAAGATGATTGAAACTTGCCTTTGTGGGGACACTGGCGATTTTTGCTACATGGTTGTGGTTAGAGTCACTGATGTTTTTTAGCCATGTGTTCAAGAGTCCCTCGGGCACTTTACACAACATAATATATGATTATATCAGTTGAGAGAAATGCTGTAATTGCCGTGTTCCTCGATACTATTGTGAAGTCCATGATAAGTAGCAAAGCTATTTCAAACAGTTATAAAACAAGTCAACTTTCAATATGATATCATGAGTATTTTCGATGTTTGTAATTTTCAATACATTTTCCAACCTCAAAAATATCCGTTCGCAAAGAAAATATACACTGGTGCTCTGATTTACAACCGTGTGTATAAGGTCTGAACTTGTTTCACTGTTCACAGCACACAGAACCATTCACGCCCAATAACACTGTACAAATGTCTACAAAGGATTCCTGGTTGACTAATCCACTATTGCCTCAGGCAAGTCTAGTGTCTGGACGTCTTTTACGCGATCTGTAGGAAAGCTAGGCTCAGTTATTGCACTTTTGCGAGGTGAGTTCCGCAGTAGGCTAAAGTAAAAAGGTCATTGTTCGGCGATTTCACTAGAATATCATAATTGTTACCAAGGTTAATCGCCGCAGGCACTCGTTAATTCTGCTGAAAAGAAGTCTAATTTATTTTACACAATGTTACGTGTACGTCACAGTTTAGACGTGGGTGTTAGTAGATATGGGTGTGATCAGTATAGCTTAACGTTGGAGTGAAGCACTGTGAATTCAAGGAAAATGGCGATCTTTCGTCTGCTGTCTGTTTTGTCTCTATATGTTGTATCGCTTGCTATGAGCGCCTCGTCAACTTGCTGCCCTACGTGTAGTTTGCGCTCAGTCGACCCTCTCAATCCCGATCAAATCGCGCAGATAGAAAGCAACCGGGCGTTTATCCGAGAGATCGAATGCAATCCGATGCTGCTCCACAAGCAGTCCTACCAACGCTCGGTATTCAATCTGACCCAGAACCAGCAGATTCAGATCCTGAGGAACATCCCACAGTTGTTCATGGGCGCAAGGGAATTTGAGGAATCCCTGCTGACGCGAGGAACGATTACGGTACCAGGGGAGGGCACCGTGCCAGCGCGTCGGAGGAGAGCGACGGCTGAAAGGCGAGTCTGTCAGCCGGTTATGTCGTACCAGCCCTTGAAAATCGCTCTCACAGCCGATGGAGAAGTGGTCGCGATGATACAGGTGAACAACGCATCAGGCTACAGTTTAAACTATAATTATTTCAAGCCGGTAAACCGTCGAGTTTATCAACGTGGCGCTGTGTTATCATGTTGCCAGTTATTTGCTGGGCAGTGTCGACTCCCAAGTCGACTATCGCGCACTGTGGGGTCGAGGCGGAAGAAAAAAAACACCGAACGATAGCGCTATGCTGTTGGTAACGGTAACGTGGCGAGCAAACTCCACAGTGGTGCCGCCGTCGAAAACAACTCGCCAGTGAGAAATTGGTGACAATATTCATCCTCTTCTCTAGGCTATTTGCCCTCTCTTGAAAACAGGTTTAGAGGCATTTTGGGGTTAGGTTTATCTGTGGCAAAATGAAGAGAAACACTGAAGGGAATCATAGAAAAAAATTTGGTTGAAAGAGTTTTCACAGTTAAAGTAAAGTTATTTTTTGTACCGAGTTTTTTTAACTACACGAAAACAAAGGAATGTCCACATAGCGTATGTAAAACAAACATGTGTGTCTATGTGGGTTTGTTTAGAGTATACACACAAAATGGTGTTAAAACCATGCAGCTATGTTTTTCCATGCAGAGCCGTATACGTATCTCGTGTCCGCACCTATTACACACGTTCAGTGGGCACATATGGCACAACTTTGGCCTATAATTGCGCTTCATTACGTATCTCTATAAATGCCTAATCATGTTGCTTTACAAAGCCATGGTCGAAAACTACACGAGATACATTTGACTGCATACCCTGTTGGGTGAGAATAAGGATGTACTTTTCAGGTAAACACATACGGGAAATATCTCTCATTTTGTCATGGTTTTATACATGTAGTTTTATTGTTTTGAATGTACATGTACCACTAATGTACATCACTCGCGACATTGGTAACACGGATGACACTTGGATAACACTTGTATCGAGGCTGGTCCCTGAGGTTTATCATAGTCCTCTAGTGTACCGACGGACCGAACGGCCGACCCACCCGACCCAACAACCCACCGACCCACCGACCCACTCGACCAACTGACCCACCAACCCACCGACCCACCCGACCCGCCGACCCACCGACCCGCCGACTTACCGACCCACCACCCGCCCGACCCACCCGACCAAACGACCCACCGACCCACCGAACCACTGATCACCCGCCGACTTACCGACCCGGCCGACCCACCCATCCGACCAGCCGACCCACCCGACCAGACGACCCACCGACCTGCCGACCCACCCGACCCGCCGACTCACCGACCCGCCAACCCGCCGACCCACCGACATGCCCAACACGCACACCCACCGACTGTAACTTGTGACTTATGGCATATAGATGTTTACTGATGAAGAAAGTATATATTATGAGAATAAACGTCAATGAATGCACATTCGGTAGACCAGATGCATTAAAAGACTTCCGGTAATCTGACCATTCCGAACGCCAGTTCATACTCGGCGCGAAGCAAACATGAACGTGAATTTGTGACGTCGGGGCAAATTTTCGCGCTGCGAATTCGCAAAATTGGAACACATTTTCGACTCCGGCGAATTTCACATTCGCTTTCACCTCAAGTATGAACCGGACTACTTCAGTTAATCAAATTAAAAAAAACTGGCAGGTTGGACCAGCTTTTCTAGTTTGATCATTCTGGTCTTGTTTCCACAGATGTCGGGCCAGGATTTGAATCAGTGGATTCTGGAGGAGTCATGTGACGACTCGGCAAGCTCACCACCTGCTCCATTAGCCTGCGCCGTGGTAGACAGAGTTGTACCTGGTGTCTTTGCCACTCTCTCCGATCCTTTCAAATTTGACCACGCCTATGTAGTCGTACAGAGCTGCGTCACTGTTTTTCAGTAAAAAAAAAAAAATAACCAAAAATCAAACATACAAATATATAAATAAAGGATTAACTACCACATCCTAACACCGAATTTGTGATTTGTATTTTTGTAATTATTTTCTGATTGGAGACTGCAGCAACTTTAAGAATACATATTGATTTTTAGGCTATAATGTTATGTAACAAGTAATGGAATCGAAGTTTTTAAATTCCTTGCATAAGTCACTTGTCCTCAGCGTTTTGGTTCTATTGCTCTTTTTTTGACGTGTTATGCCAAATAATTAATAAATAATAAATCAAATACTTCAGCACTCAACTTTTTGGGGTTGTAATTTTTTTTTTTTTAAGATGCTTATTTGTTTTAGTGATTCATTCTTGGGACCATTTGTTTCATTTTTTCGCTCTTGATATTTGTGGATCTTCAGATTTTATTCGTTACATAATTTCAAGATTCATTTTTTTTTTATATTTTCTTATCATGAAGGTTAAGATTTAAATTATTGGTTACCACAGAAAAAATACCCAACAGAAATATGGAATAAATATGGACACGTCATCCGATTTTTTTGTGTATTCTTATTGACCATTAGGCCGAGTAAAAAAAAAATAGTTTCTCGTCCGGGGTTTTTGAAAAAAGGGAGGAAGCGGGGCTTTTTATTTTATATTTTTTTTTAGATGACCGCCTTTTCAAAATTTCCTGCAACCGTTGGTGTTTCACTGTTCAAAGACACTTTTAAAGATGAAAGACAAGTTGGACAAGAGAACTGAACATATTTACAGTGTCATTTAGAGTTGTATTGGTATTGGTATTTATTTTCCGATGAATTTGTAAACTTTTTCCATGTTTTTCTACTACATTTTTCAAAAATAAAAAATAATAAAAAAATCCAGGCGGCCTCCAAAAAGGAAGCGGGCGGGGACGAGAAACTTGGGTTTTTTTTTAATTCACCTTATAAGAAATAATCAAATAAGTAAACTGACGCTCTAGCGAAGGGAACAATTATGCAAAGAGTATGCCCAACATGCCATGTACCAACTACAAGGGCCAAGATTAGGAAATACAATCAACTCGGAAGTTATCTGCTCAGCAAAAACAGGCTACTATTAAACCCAAACGCCATGCCTCGTCTAATAGACTAATTCACCGGGCAGCCATTTTTTGATCGTGTTTGCTGAATCTATTTTGTTAATTATAAACTGTTAAATTGGATGGTGCCAGACTATTTTATGATTAAAGTGCGTTTCAAGCCTCACTTACAATTTAATTTGGTTTTTTTCAGTGGCTAAAATATTGGGGTATGTATAATCATACACTTTAAATTATTCAGCTGAAGTGACTGATATTACATGTTATTTATAATCTGCTCAGCCAAAAAAAACGGTTAATATATTTAACCCAAGCGCCATGCAAGGCGTCTACTAGACCGTACTCACTGGGCAGCCGTTTTTGATCGTGTTCCCTGAATCTATTTTGTAAATTGTAAACTGTTAAATTGGATGGTGCCAGACTATTTTATGATTGAAGTGCGTTTCATGCCTCACTTTCAATTAAATTTTTTAAATGTGGCTTAAAGGTATAGTCCATCATTTGCAGCCATCCGAAAAGTAACTGGCGTAATTATTGTTGAAAAACTAACTTGGTTGAAAGATAGTAAGGAGACTAAACTCCCTGTGAAATTATTCTTTCTGGGAAGCTGTCATTTTGAAGTAATCAACGAAAGAAGGCATTTCCAACGGTGATTCTTAAGAAGCACCGTAGGAAAATTTAAATTAGTAGTTCGTTTTGTTATTCAGCGCAGCGCGCACAAGTATTCGAACGACGCACACGCGCGCGCGGTTGTTATAATTCGTCGGATCAGTGCGCGACGTCGCGTATAGTTGCAATTCAAAACAATTCAAAAACATGATTAAGCAACTTTTGATTTGAAATTGAGATCTTAGAATGCTGTTTTTCTCAGAATGTACAGCTGAAGCTTAGCTGAAACTTCATCAGGTTAGTTGCTCAGTACCCTTCATTAGATTTTGAAATGCACAAATTACAAATGATGGACTCTACCTAGGGTATGTTTAATCACACATTTTAAATCATTCAGCTGAAGAGACTGGTATAGACCATTATCATGTAGCGACAACTTGATTTTTCCCCCGTAACCAGAGCGAGGCTGGAAGGAAAAATAGTCTGGTTCCTTTTTGCACAAAACATTGTCATTCAGTACTGTTATTGGATACAAGGAACATGACTGAAATGGTGGCAGTATGATAAAGGTCTATTACATGTTATTGAAATGAACTTCTATTGCTCTCATTTTCTACTCGCAAGCTTCAAAAATGAAGAGTTTACCTCGCTTTCAATGTAATATGGCTGACTGGTGAATAAAGTCTTTTGCTTATGACTTCATTTGGGCCAATTTCACATGGATGCTAGGCGGAATACCAGCCAAAAGTCATACAATGCCTATATATCGGGACTGGTTACCAGTTTGCCTTGCTCAGAACATAAATTGCTTAGCATCTCCACGAATTGGTCTAGGTTCTGAGCTAACGTTTGCTTATGCATACTATGGCCGGATGGAGTCATATACTAATATACTAATACTTTGACCTCACTTGCATATTGACCCCAATTGGGCGTGGTAAACCTTGGTGAAGCAATTTTGCCACATTTTTCATCAACAACCGTATGTTTTGCGCAATAGTGATACGTTTTGGAGTGTTCTCGTATGGTTTTGGAATGATGGCTAGTTAATTATTCATATGCACGAATGGTAATTCTGCTCTGTGTACACTACGTTTATGGGGAAATTCAGTTTTCACGGCGCGTATAGCGCCGGAAGAATTTTTGCTGCGCGGCAACCTGTGGTCCGATTTTTATGTTTTTGGTATCAAAAGATGCGCAAGGCTCGAGGCTAAAAAGTCAGAACAGCTCGGGTCGCGGAAATTTTTTTCAAAGCTATCGCGGAAAAACTGGAAGGAGGGGGAGGCGGATTCCGCCCCCGGCGCCTTTAGGGTTAAGCATACATGTCGTTTCATGGCTCAAGGCATGTCAAACCATTGCACGGAAATCGAGTGGTTTAAAATGTTGTAAATGCTCTTGTGATCATAACAATGTATCAAAGCGAAAATCGCTCACTGATTAGCAGATTCAAGCTGACTCCGTCAAGTCTGGTGCCCGGACGTCGATTCAGTTCAGTACCGCGGCCATCGGAACAGGCGACTGGTACTGTGTGGCTAATACGTCACCCACTCATTCCTTATTAAAAACTCCTGTCCCGACTGAATAAAAAAAAAAAAAAAAGTCGGAACAAGCCAAGGTCATAATATGTAAATAAAGAATGTTGACTAATCGTTTAATTGGGCTAGAAACATGAAAACCATTGTTCAGAACACTTAACGGTGCTGGATGTCGGCCGCTGAGGCAGATGGAAGACACGAAAGCCATATGGCCTTACGCCACTCTGAAGTGATGGCAAATAATTGTTGCTGTGAAAGGCCACATTTTATGCGTGTGATAAGTTGAGATGATTGAAGAGCAGGGAGTAGTGATAGAGTTAAACATGGAGAGCTGTATTCTGCTGCCGGTTATTTCTATGTATCTTCTCTTGCTACCTGGGAGCGCCTGGTCTCTTTGCTGTCCTACGTGTAGTCTGCGCTCCGTCGACCCTCTTAACGCCCAGCAAATCGAGCAAATAAGAAGCAACCAAGAGCTGATCCAACAGATCAAACTCAACCCGTTGCTGCTCCACAACCGGTACTACCAACGCTCGGTGGTAACCCTGACCAAGCGACAGAGAGGCCAGATCTTGAGGAACCTCCCAGATTTGTTCCTGAGCGAGGAGGATTTCAGGAAGTCGCTGATGACGAGAGGGAGGGTAACCGTGGAGGAATCGCCTCAGGGGATGTACTCACGCCAGAAGAGACAGACAACAGCGACCCGTGTCTGTGAGCCGTTAGCCGGTGTAGATGCCTTACAACTTGCTCTCAATCTTGATGGTCAGGTGGTCGAGATAATACAGGTATGGCAATTAATATTAAAGTATGATTTTGAAAATTCGGTGCTTATGCATGCAGGTTCAAGATCTTGATACAATCTACATGTTCATCAGGACATGAGATATAAACCAAAGATGCAATCCATTTTCTGTTCAAAGGATGAGAGAGCATTTGTCGGATAACGTGTCTTGCCCAAGAACACAAGCACCGTGATATAGTTTGCACACGGACCATTTACACAAACTAAATGGTCCGTGGTTTTCATGACCAAATATGGCAGTCTTTGTGGGCCCTTAACGTAGAAATACGTGAACCTATTACGCGCACCTGATACGTTAATCCGCAGTTTAACTCAGTATGTAGTCATGGCCCAATTTCATAAAAGCTGTGCTTATATACGGGGTAGCCGAGAACCAGCCAAAACGAACAGTCATACACCGCATTACAATTTGACTGGTAACCTGTTTTGCAAAGCAGCCCATTTCTTTATGCTTGGCTGCTCCACAAAAATGGCCCACCATGTTATATTTCAAGGAAATGTATGACAGAACATGACTGTATTATCACTAGGTCTTGTATATACTGTTTTCCATTCCAAAGATGCCGGACCAAGATTTGAATCAGTGGATTCTGGAGGAGTCATGTGACGACTTGGAAAGCTCACCACCTGCTCCATTAGCCTGCGGCCTGGTAGACAGAGTTGTACCTGGTGTCTTTGTCACTCTCTCCGAACCCTTCATATTTGACCACGCCTATGTAGTCGTACAGAGCTGTGCCACTGTATACGTTTGAAACATTAAACAATTAAAGCTAGTCCAGGACCAGTCTGAGCCACACGTAACAGTCAGTCTGTGAGATAGGTAACCAGACTAAGCCACAAGTATGGCTGTGTCCGAATTACTTGGCTACGTCTTGAAACTGCACACGTGTCTATGGCAGCGGCTGCAGCCACTTTTCATAGACTCGTGTGTAATGTGAAGCCGTAATTCAGACACGGCCTAACAGTCAGTCAGTCATATAGTTAAGTGTGAGGACAACAGGCTGGCCTCATTACAATCACATAAACAATACAGATTCACAATGGAGTGCGCCACCAAGAGGTTGCCACGGAGAGTCAATGTTTAAAGGGTTAGTTGCCACGCAGAGCCAAATCTATTAGTACAGTGTATTACAGAAAGTTGCCGTTGCAAATTTACATTAAAAGGATACTTTAATTATTTCATGAAAATGTTGTGAACAAAATGAAACCCTGCGGTAAAAAATAGGGACAATTAACTTTACAGTTTTGGACACAGAGATCTGAAGAAAATACATTTATTGATTAAAACATTCAATTTATTTGGAGAATTAAAGGGCACATACCCTGCTGTGGATAGTAATGGACGCTACGCGTTTAAATTGTTAAAAGGTACGTTCAACTAAGATAGGTTCATTCAGTGGTAGCAAATTATTAATATTTTGTAAAAAAATAAAGGAACGTGTTCTTTTGTTTTAAAGAACGCCGGGTGGTTTTATGAATTTTCTGCCCCAGTAACCAGAACCATTGTTTAATACCTAGATATGTGATGACTTCAGCGGACTCAAATATGTTGAAGTACGTTTGTCAGGAGGCTGTGGCCTCCTCCTCCCTGAATCAGCGCGATGAGCCCCCGCCCAACCCCCGCCGTCGCCCCCGCGAAAAAATAGTTCCAAAGTGGCCTTGCCATCTTCGTGTGGAAAATAAATTCCCCATAACCATAGGGCTGTTCTCTTCTGGACAAGCCCAAAATCGGTTCTCAGAAACTGCCATCCGCAAATGGCACGTAAGATCTCAATCGTTCATTGCCCTTTTAAGCCTCCCCATTTTACCTGTCCGCGATAAACAAAAACATTCAACGATGGCGCCCTTTGACCTTTGGTCAGTTAATTTTGGCAATGGATCTCCAATTAAACGTGTTTCTGATAAATTGGGGGCTCAGCCTGCCTGCTCAAGACCATTCAATCACAATCTCAGCAGGCCCATGGATCTTAAGCACCCATCCAAAACACGCTGAAATATGATACTCCCCCAACCAATACAGGGTGAGTAAAAAAAATCACGAACTCAAATGGCAGGATCAATTTTTTAAATGAAGTTTTGCCGGTAGCACTTTCAAAATCTAGGATATGAAAGCCCAATCAATGAGCTTCCTTTAAATACAAGAATCATTCAAATCACTTAATATGTACTTTTCAAGTTACCGAATTTTTAACACAAACATCGTTTTTAAAGTTCTGTCTACAGATCACGCAAAAAGGTAAGTGTTCTTTCAGCAAAACGAAAAAATTCACATGCATCCCTATGAGAATTATTTTCGTTTCGCTGAAAGAACAGTTACTTTTTTGTGATCCGTGGACAAAACTTTAAAACGGTGTTTGTGCTCACAATTCCGTAGCTTGAAAAGTACATGAGTGATCTGAATAATTCTTGTACTGAAAGAAAGCTTAATGACTGGGTTTTTTATATCTTAGATTTCAAAACTGCTACAGGCAAAACTTCATTCCAAAATTGGTCCTGCCATATGGGGTTCGTTTTGTTTGACTCACCCTGTATAGGCTGATATCCCCATTAAAATTTCAGTGGGTTTTTTACTACCTAACATAAAAAAATATCAATACGACGTTTGGATACAACTTTTTCATTAAATTGTTACAAAGCAACTTATCGAACTTCAACGACATGATTATATTCGAGCCTAAACCTATTTATTGCTAAATTTAACATACTGTCACAATCTCAGTATGGCTTCAGGGCCAAATATTCAACTGAACTTGCCTTGATTGATTTAGTTGATAAAATAACATCTAGTCTGGACAAACGTGAACATACAATTGGTATTTTTTTGGATCTTTCTAAGGCATTTGATACAATAAATCATGATATTCTAATTAATAAACTACAAACATATGGTGTCAGAGGTACTGCACTCGAGTGGTTTAAAGATTACTTGAGAAATAGGAAACAATTTGTTGTCTGGCAAAATAAAAAGTCCAATTACAAACCAATCACATGTGGTGTACCTCAGGGCTCAATCCTAGGACCTATCTTATTTCTTATTTATATTAATGATATTTGTAATTCTACTCGACCTCTGACGTTCATCTTATTTGCAGATGATACAAATATATTTTACAGTAGTAAACATTTGAATGATGCTGTTGACATAATGAACAATGAGCTTACTAATGTATTTGAGTGGTTTGTATGTAATAAATTATCTTTGAATTTTAAGAAAACACATACGATGGTTTTTACAAATCGAATTGTAGATAAAAGTATTCAGATTCGTTTTAACAATCATCATAATTGAAAAGGTTGATTCCTGTAAGTTTTTGGGGGTCATTATTGATGATAAGTTAACGTGCAAAAATCATTGTCAGAAAGTCCTTACACTTATATCTCGCAACCTTGGTATTCTTAGAAAACTTAGATATTTTGTCCCATCCCGTGTTCTATTTTCAATTTATAATACGTTATCCTTGCCTCATCTTCAATATGGTATACTTGCCTGGGGAAATACTCATAAAACCTACCTTGATAAATTGCTCGTTTTACAGAAGAAATCTTTAAGACTGATTAATGGTTCTAGTTTTAAGGATCACTCTGCCCCGCTATTTGTTATGTTCAACACCTTATCTGTATATGATCTTTATAAATATAAATTGTGTGCTCTGATGTTTAATTTTGAAAAAAACATACTGCCTTTGAATATTAAATCGTTTTTTGTAATGAACACAGATATTCATCATTACGACACAAGATCGTCAAATAAGCTTCATCTTAATAAAGTTAGAACATCTCTACACCTCTCAACTGTACGACACCAGGGGCCCCTCCTTTGGAATAAAATTCGATCTCTCTGCCCAATGACCTCAATTAGAGCATGTAAATTGTATTATAAAAAACTACTTCTCTCTACGGTTAATGTCAATGGTGATTAAGAGCAAAATTATTACTTTATTGCCAAGTAAAATTATTAACAACACATGTAAAGTCAAGGATGGTAAATTTCCCTCAAGTAACTTATTCTTTTTTTTGTAAAGTTTTGCATGAGCTCGTGAATTTAATGTAATGTAATCACATATTATTGATATATCCTATGATTATTCATGAATTGTATAACTACATGTATAACTACATGTATTCTTTGTGAAGGGGGCAGACCTAGTACAAGCTTCGGCTTCTTGTCTGGCCTCCCCATACTATTATTTCAAAGTTTCGTTAAAATGTTTACCTGATGTATATTATTCAACTGAATTACCTTATAGTATGGAAATAAACCTGAAACCTTAATCTAAAAAGAAAATGTTACCCTCTGGGGCATCACATCGTACACTTGTTCCACCCAAAAATATATTGATGGCGTTTTCACTCCGTGCTTTGACAAAAAAAGAAGCTGAACAGCCTCCACTGAGCTGAAACGTTTATTCTGATTTCAAGTTTCATTAACCTGGAAAGGGAATTGAACCTGCAATCTCCAGAGGTTTTGTGCAAAAGAACTTTGTTAGCGTCTCCAAAATTGGCCTGATAGCGACCATCCTTTGTGATCACGTCGTTGAAGTCAGGTAAAGGACATCTTCTCAAAATCCCCCTTTTTAACTTTCAAACTGAAACGTATCTATGTCCACAATGTCCACAGTGAATTGCTAGTTACAGTTTTATAACAAACATCAGAACAAACATCAGAACAACATGTGACCCGCTCTGTAAAAATGAGTCTGTTGTGGCAAAACTCACGTTTTGAGTTAACTACATTAATGAAATGGGAATAAAATAAGCTTTTATTTTGGTATATCAGGGACCTCTCTAGGACATTTGGTTGCATTGTTGTGCTTGTTTAATTGTGTTCATTTTTTACAAAGCTAGAAACGTCTCAAATGGAGAAAAAAGGGTTTGGAACATTACATATATACTGCAACTAACAAAGAAAAGCACCAAAAATCCTAATTTTGTTTGTCTTGTTCGTACAATATTGAAATTTCATTGTAAGACATTTAAACTAAAACTATCAAACAACCAAAAAAACAAAAATGCAAATTTTGATCAAATTTTCCCTGTTTCCATTTCAAAATGGCAAAAGTTTGAATTCAAATTATGCAAAATCAGACCGTCATTTTTGCAGAGCAGGTCACATATACCCTCAACTCAAGTTCACTACAAATACCCGGTCCCTCCCGGTGTACACTAACAACTACAACGGTACAAACTGGACAACCTGTTTCAGGTCTGGATATCAAATGCATGCACGTAGTTCTTTCACACAAAATGTCGTTTCATTGGTTATAATAATACACGCATACTTCGCGTGCCGATTCGAGATGAAACTCCCTAATTCGCCAGGCTAATTTGTTTTTGTTTTAGTTTATAATTCCGTGTCATTTTCGCCGAAGAATAACAAAGGTGGCCCCGAGGTCCGCCGGCGTGTTTTTGCGGGGGGTTAGCCGGTGAAATTCCTGCCTCCGACCCCGCTGGCCCTGTTGTTGTTAGCCGTCACCAGATGACGCCCTGCACCGTAAGTCATTTCTGTCATAATTCTAAACAATTTTTTTGACGGAGACGAAACACGCTCAAAGGAACGCGGGTTCACTTCACTTTTAGACGAAGGAAAAGCCTCCTTAGTCTTAAAAAGAAAAATGGGCTAAGATCTGACAAGAGTCAATATACATGCAACGAAAAAAAGTTTAAAAAAAATAATTGCCAGTCAGGATAATTGACTTCAAAATTAATGGGAAATAAGTTGCCTCTAAAGGGGGCTGTGCCATTAGGGAGACATTTATGTGTCTCCTTAAAGCCGGTGTCTCCTTATTATCGTTCAAATTACCACAACGTGTCTCCTTAATTGTACATTTAGTAATATAATGTTTTGTTGTATGCTTTCCGCACTATTACAGTCAGTTATCGACTGAAACCCCTGTACCACACTTGCTTAGCTGCATTCGAATTACCTATTTTCTTACATGTCAAACCTGGATAGTAATGAAAAAGGATTGTATATTGTAAAAGGATTGTAGCTTTAACTTCACCCCAACTTTCTACAAATCCAATCTTCGCCAATGTAAAGTTTGACGTTGGATAAACATTATGAGAACTAATTAGCTCTTGACACGAGATATAGAAAAGAATCGAAAACAAATACCACTTTCCTGGCGCCCAGAATTTCGGGTAGGCATTGTTGAAATAAGATTACCCCAAGAAAAAAAGTAAGATATCAAAGTAACATACTTTTCAATACACTTATCATATACGCAATATTATTGTCAGCCAAGACAGATGTTGACAACATGACCCGCCTTTTGAGTAAATGCCTCATGCTCCTGCAGAGAGTCCTTAAACCTAATGGAACGGGTCAGCTTATGTTGAGGATTCGAACTTTAACCTTAGCATCAATCTTGACTCGAGACACATGCCCCCTTTATCC